CACCAAAAGTTTGTTGACGGAGATTGATGTACAGCCGCATGGAGAATGCTTGCGAAAACAGACGACCTCCCGCCAGGCACCCCGCCTCTACTAGTTTTCATCGGCTCACGCCGGGTCTTAGAAAAGCCGGCTCATCTATCTCGCTCCGCATTTCCTATCTCCGGCCGTTTGATGTGGCATGAGTGACAACCACTTTTCGCGGAGCCGTACCCGAAACTTCCTATCTGCCGGGACATGGACTGCACCCCTTATTGATAGATCATGCAGCACAGGGACCCTACACACATACTTTATATCCACACCAGACCTCTGGTATTGCCAGGCTCTACTTCCTCCTCCTCACAAACTTTTACTCGTCACTGCAAAAACGGAAATCGCTTACTTACTGAAACGGGCTGGTGCGATTTCGCGTTCCTGAGCGAACACCCCAGCAGCACCCGCAAGTATTCTACTCCGCGCTTTGATCTTGGTGTACGCAAAGACGACCGAGTTTGATGCCTATGACAAGATTTTTTTCCCGTCGTCGCCCATGACAATAGCCTCATGGAAGTAGGGGATGTCTATCCAAAGACTGCAAATGACTGGCAGGCAAAGGGATGGAAGGATCAAAGTAGATGGGGATTCCTGGGCGAACTTGATCCAGGGCATGAGGGCATGGCTCGAGCGGCAAGTAAGGACGGCATGGCACGAGTGGATAGCATACAAGCATAGGTGGGACGAACACCCATCTACAATGACATTGTGTCCTTCTTCTTTCTGCACTCTATAGTTTGAGATGCATATTTTTTAGGTGCTTGAACAGCCACTAGTATCGTATATATTGAACACGAGCCCCTCACCGAGTTCCATCTTGATTTTTACATGGTTTGAGAGGACATGTCCAGATTTGGAAAAGAAACAATGAACTTCCGGAGTGCAAGTATAGTATTTCATAAAAAAAAATTTTTTACTTTAGCAAAACAGGCTCCCCTCTAGACAGAGGCCAACTCTCCCCCCCCCCCCCCCCAAGCCCACGATTTTTGATCACAAGCACTATGAGCGCCAAAAGAAATGCTCCGTTGCTGCGTAAGTTTCAAGTGCCGATATTCCCCATTGCCACCTCGTCGTATCGATTGCCTTGGGGTTTCAAAGCACTAATACTTGCGGGCGTGGCTTTCATTTCCTCGTCCGTCAGCTCAGTGTCTCGAGAAGACCGATTTTCAACAAGGTGTTCTGGCTCGGTGGTGCCCGGGATCGCAATGATGCCCTGAGCCGCAACATAGGCCAATGCGACTCGGGCCACGGTGCGGGAATACCATGTCCTATTTTGCGTGCCAAAAGTTCAAAGGTGGTAAGTAGAATAGCTACCTCAACGAAGAATCGGGCACAAGATTTGCTCATGCTAGTTTCTCCTCATGCATGCCGCTCGATACTGTACATGGTTGACATACTCGAGGCGGAATGCCACACCAGCATGCTCAGTGTCGCTTACTTACTTGAGATTAAAACCAAGACCACCCGACGCGGCCGCGTAGAAGCCGCGCATTCCGGGACGCGGCATGGGCGCCGGCAAGTCCGGGGACATGTCTCTCTAGCTTGAAGATGGTCCCGCGAAGTTCTAAGTACGTACGTACACCAAGTGCGGGGCACGAAAAACCATCGTGTACGTAGTCGGGAGGCGCAAAGTGCCGTCATACACAACTAGACCCGATACTTAGACACGCGCGCGGTGGGAATTCCGCTGATACAGCTCTTGATTACAAAATCAGACAGATAAAAACAAAAAGTAGCTCGGATTCACTGCTTGTGGCTTTATTCTTACTTACTCTTACGTACCACAAAAAACAACATTTGCCATTCTCGGTCGATTCCGCCGTCATGGTAGACACTTCAGTGCCCTCTCGTGTGACGCAGCTCCCAATGGGCGACGAAGAGCTACGCTACAGCACTTCAGAAATCCAAGAATACTTCCAGCGCATCAAGCTCCCTCGGCAATATCTTGACTCGCCTGTGCTGTGCGACGCGGCCCTGGCCCAGACCAAACAACACGGCCTTGCCCTTTTACACGCCATAACCCGGTACCATGCGTGTAATGTGCCGTTTGAAAATCTCGAGCTCCATTACTCGGCACGCAAGGTCATCACGCTGCAGATGGCGGATCTATATGCCAAGATTGTCACGCAGCGCCGCGGAGGTCGCTGCATGGAAGGCAACACGTTTTTCGCCACGGTCCTGCGTTCCCTGGGCTTCCATGTGCGCAACTGCGGCGGGCGCGTGTCACGCGCTATGAGTCCCTACCCCGAGGTTCGCAAGAAGCAAGCGTCTACATATGATGGGTGGAACCACATGCTCAACCTCGTCCGATTCGACGGCGTCTGGTACGTTGTGGATGTCGGCATGGGCGCCATGGGCCCCAACATTCCTTTTCCCCTGGAACATGGATTCCAAACGACCAGCGTGGCTCCCAGGCTGATTCGTCTCCAACGACGCGCAATACCCGAGTCGTACGCAACCAGCTCCAACGAACTCTGGTGTTACGACGTGTGCTACGCTCCGAGCGCTACTGGCGACAACAAATGGACGCCTGTGTATTGCTTTACCGAGACGGAGTTTCTGCCTCAAGACTACGAAATCATGTCGTGGTTTACATCGACGAACCCACGATCCTTCTTTACCAAGTACGTTACGAGCACGAGGATGCTGATGGACGACGCTGGAGACAAGATTATCGGCAACATTACCCTTTTCGAGGGCGGCATCAAGAAGAGTATCGGCCTGGACCGCACGACTGTAAAGGAGTGCACAACAGAAGACGAGCGTGTGGCTGCATTGAAAGACATTTTCGACATTGACTTGACGGACGAGGAGAGGAATGGGATTTCATCCGAACTTTGTCTTGGTTAGAATGTATGTTCCCTAGCATTATACTGGCACCTGTTGGCTGGATATACGTACTTTTCTTGTGCTTGGCAAGTCCTGATGTACATACAAATGAATGTGGTTGATGGGCTCACAAAGACCAACGGATTTAGCAATATATATATCAATTATTTCACCAATTCAACTTCCAAACATAACACTATCTACTCATCGCACTAAAGCGCATGCTGAATAAACTAATTGATAAACCAGCAATGCCTTAGTCATGCGGTATATGTATATCTATCTATCTATATACATATATATCTGTGTGTGTATGTGTATATGGATATGTATATAGATGTATGTATATATATATCTGCATGTATGTATGCAAGGAAAGAAAAACTACCATATACAAGATAAGCACAAAAGTAATGACCAAGTTGCAAGCGCGCGGTTCAGAAACGCGGGAGGAAAAAAAAAGAAAAAAAAACAAAGTTTCTCGGGTAAGCAAGTAAGGGGTGGTCTGAGTGTAGGTGCGTGTGCGTAAGAGAGTCAGTGGGAAAGTAAGTGAGAAAGTAAGAAAGTGTGCGAAAGTGTGAGAAAGTGGGTGCGTGTGTGTTAGCCGTGCTTACGCGTAATATCGTATCGAGGTTTCGTATCGGAATCCGGGGGTGTTGCGCCATACTTGGGGCGACGATCGGTACACACACCCACACACACACCCACACACCCACACCCACACACACACACATACATGTCCAGACAGACACTCGACGCATTTGCAGGAGGAAATGATTTTTTTTTCAAGTTTTCGTATTTTGCAAAACTAAACAATACATGTAAAAACCAAACGCAGGGTTATATATATATAAGAATACACATTGATGGGCGCACGCCAATCAAGGCTAGCTGGCTGGATAGATAGACAGGTTAAGAAAAAAGGCGTTATACTATGTTCTGTTTGGGGAGGAAAAAGAGGCCCTAACTAACTACCATTAAGCCAAAAGCTGCGCGTGGGTATCATGACAGGCAGACTTTTTTATTTGTTGTTGTCAAGGACGACGGCGACTAGTTGGCCGGGGAGAGAGAGAGAGAGAGAGTCATATCCAAGCGGGCATAGAAACAAAAAATGGTTTGGGAGGGGGAATATGGCAAAGTGAAAATACGCAAAAAAAAAGATGATATGACAACAACAGCGAGACTCATGGTTCCAAAAACGCCAATGGAGGTGAGGCGACGCTTAGGAAAAGACAACCTTGACAGTCTCGCTGTCGCTGCCCATGGCGCAACCACCGCCGGTACCGGCCATGATGGGGTCGTAGCCACCGCCGCCACCAGTGCCGGCACCGCAGTTGAACAGGTCGTAGTCGGAGCCCTTTTCGCAGCTGGACATGCCGTTCTTGCACTTGAAGACGCAGGTGTTCATGTCTGATGTGCACTTGGAGCCCTTTGCGCTGATGTTGTTACCGTTCATGTTGACGTTGCGCGAGACATCGAAAGCACCGTCCTGGCCAAAGGTAACCTCCCACCATGTGTTGTCAATGCCACCAAACATGGCGAGCTTGGTGTTGGGGTAGGCGGGAGCGCAGGCAGCAGAGGCCTTCTCAGCAAAGGAGAGCTCAACGGATTGGCCAGACTTGAGGCCGACGGAGATTTCGGGCTGCATCTCGTTGAGGCACATGTTCTTGAAGTCATTGGATCTCCAGCAGAAGAGGACAGCGTCATCCTGGTGGTCGTTGGTGAACTGGGCCTTCCAGGGGCTGTCGCCGCCGATCCAGATGCCGTTCTGGTTGGACGTGGGGTTCTTTCCAATCTTGGCACCAAGACCCGTGATCATGGACTGGAGGCCGTTGAGAAGGTCGCCAACAAGGTGGTCAATCTGGTCACCAAGGTCACCGAGAGGGTTGTTGGAGGTTTGGCTGGGCGACGGGCTGGGGCTGGGGCTAGCAGCTGGCGAGGGCTTGGGCTTGGGCGCAACTGGGGGAGCAGCCACGGGCGATGGCGATGGCGAGGGTGAGGGTGAGGGTGAGGGTGAGGGTGAGGGCGAGGGCGAGGGCGAAGGCGAAGGCGACGACTTGGGGGGAGCAACGGGGTAGGCATCCAGAGGAGCTGGGGATGGCGATGGCTGGGTCGGGGGGGCTTGTTTGACCTCAGCAACGGGCTGGGGAGCGGGGGCGGAGGGCTGGGCGGCAGATGCAACCGCGGCAGCGGCAGCGGCAGCGGGAGCGGGCGAAGGGTGGTTGTAGGCGACCTTGCTCCAGTCGACGTCGCTTAGGTCGTAGGCGACCTTGTTCCAGTCGACATCGGCGGCGCTGCGCTTGGCCTCGCTGCAGACAGTCAGCGACGGCGCGGCGGGCTTGCCGGGCAGTGTATACTCACGCTTGACGGCGGGCGTGGAAGCTGGCGTGGCGGTGGTGGACATTGGCGGCAGCGGCCTGGCCAGCAACAATGGTGCTCAACACCAGGGCAGAAGAGTAGCGCATTGTGGAACAGGGAGCGGTGGGTATCTGTTGCGGAGGCGCGGAGAGGGGGTTTATACAGCAGACAGGTCGTAACGGCGTTCAACGGCGTGTCACAGAGTGCTGGGAGGAGGTGTGGTGTGTCAAGCGACTTTTTTTTTGTTTGGCGATAGGGATGGGGGGGGGTATGTAAAGGAGTGACTGTGATGGTAAGCAAGACCAAGACGGGCGTGAATGAGTGAACGCGCGAATGTGGCTAATGAAGGGAAGACGAGGGACCGTGGGTCTGTTAAGTATGCTGGTGCGGTGAAGAAGGAGAAAAGGGACGGCGAGCGGGCAGAGGCAGCGCCAGTCGCGCAGCCCCATCTCATCTCCCACGCGGCCGGACGGGGTTTAGCGTGGCGTCGAGTGTGCCGGCCTGCTAATTTAGTCAGGGCCAATTGCACCGGACAGGCGACCCCTGAGCTTGGGCGCGCGCTGTGATTGGTGTGCCTGGCTCAGGCACAGCTGGCGCTCCGTGGTTTCACACCTTGGCCGACGTGCTGCTGTCTGCCTCTGCCCCGTCGGCCCCCCTCTGCCCTTGTCTAGCCTTGGCTGCCACGCAGACCGCCGCCGTGAAGCGACGCGTCGCCTGCTACCACAACAACAGCCCCAGCCCCAGCCCCAACAACAACATCGGCGCCAGCCCCAGCGGCAGCGCCAGTCCAGGCTCGTCACGTGACGCTGGGCCTGGCTCCCGGCGGCAGGGCCGCGCAATTGCCATCACCACCAGGTGGGACCGGGGTGCTGTCTTGTCGCCACCACCGCAAGTGGACAAGGCCACCTGGGACTGGATTCCAGAACCTCTCTCTCTCTCTCTCTCTGCAGCCGCGTCGCCTGCATGTTGCCCGGCGAGGGTGCGCCAGTGGGTTTTGCCTGCTTGGGCCTAGCCTCGAGCCGTCGTCGTATACCGTCACCGTCAACCGCATTTACTGTGCCTAGGTGTGCGTCTTCCTTCCCCGCCGGCCTGTGTAATGTCGGTGGAGCGATAAAGTCTTTATCGCCCTGTGGGGTGCCGAATGTCTAGGTGTGCAGGGTGAAAACTCTGGAAAGCCACCACAGCAAGGATGCATGCGACGTGGTGGGTCGCGGTTTGCTGGTCGTTGACTGCCGTGACGCTGTGGATGCGCATGGCAACAACGGTAATGGCAACGCCTTGGCTCAACGGCCGGTGGGGTGTTTGGGTCTTGCCTGGGCTGCATTGCGTTGTCGTCTGGATCTTCTGTTTCGTTTCTTTTCTGCTTGGTGTCTTCTGTTTCTTCTGTTTCGCCCGCTGTTTGCCGTGTCAGTGCTGTGTCATGGACAGAGACAAAGAGGGTTTTGTTGGCTGTGAGTGACTTAGTAATCAACGAGCTCCTGCCGCATGCAGTCATGGCCATGGTCGTGGTGGTGCCTGCCCTGCTGACCGCCGGCTGTGTCCATTGGTGACGCATTACACTACGCCGATTCACACCTACACCTACACACTCTTCCCACTCCCACTCCACCTGCAGCCGCATTCCGGCAAAGATTCTCATTGGCACAGCCTGCATACACACGGAAACTATCGTGCTGGCTTTTCAAGGCACGCCAGTCACACAAAACACAAAATGCCCTGTGCCTGGCCCCGAACAAGCCTCATGCACCTGCTGCAAGCTTTGCTGCCTTATCGATAGCTACTGGTGGGTTACCTACGTCGACGGCTCGCAGCCTCTCCACCACCCGCGAGCCTATGTTCTGGACAACTAAAGGCAATTTCGCTTGTGCATAGTTTTGCGGCCCTGTGGAGTGTGTTGTCACTTTCTGTCATGAGTTTGTCGCCTCGACTGGCTGCGAGCTGCTGGGAGACGTGTTGCCGGCAAGTTTCTTCTTCCGCCACCACCACCGGCTCTACACCACACCATGCCAGGTAGCAGGCGAGCCAAGCCAACGTGTTTTGCACGTGGGGCCGCCGGTCAAGCTGTCTAAGTCGATGTAATACCTCAGACTGCACACAACCACGCACCTCGACACGAGCCGGGTGACTCAGAACGACATCATCTCCCCGCACACACACACACACACACACACATTTCGTCACCCACCTCTCCCTCGCCTGCCAAGCATTCGACTCGCTACCGCACAAAACAAAATTGCCCCAAGAGTCTCCAAGACGTCTGCCCACCCCTGCCTCGCATCGCCACTCTGCTTCGCCTCACCTTCCGAGCTACCGCATCCCATCCCATCCCATCCCATCGTCGAGCCTCGAGTCGTGCCTCTCCTAGCCATCTCCAATGATTCAACAATATACGCCATGCACCCGTCAGCTACAGTCGACCTGAGCCGGCAGGCTGGTGCGGGTGCGGTGCCTGGCGATCAAACACGCCTCGGCCGCTGCTTGGACGGGGCCGGCGATCCCGTTTGCCGATCTGCACACAACAAAGTTAAGCTGCTGCCCGCAACAGTCGCGACACCAGAAACACGTCAACCAAAGACATGTCGATGCCTGACACGCAAACTGAGACATTCCCAGACACCCAGTGGCGTGCTCATGCCATGGCACGGGCCTGCCGGCTGACAGGCTCAGACACTGCCCACAGCACCTGTTCAACAATCGCGACACCCCGACACCCCGACCCCCTTCCCGCAGCACCCCCCTCGTCAAACATCCGTCGCTGCTATGGCCGCGAACTGCACTGTCACGACTCACTGCTTCCAGTCTAGCCGCACAACATGTCCGCTCGCCGACTCGACCACCCGGCGCTGCGGCTTCGCCAACGGCCTTATTGACATGGCCGCGCCAGAGCAACAAAAACAATGAAACAAACATCAGTGTCGGCCAAGCAAATATCGATATCGCTATTACTCCATCGACATCATCGCCGCTGCGGGAACTGCATACATTGCCTCCGACATGACGCGTCTTGCTTGTTTCGTTTTTCCTTCTCCCTTGCTCTGCTCGTGTGTTTTGAGGGGGGGGGAGCTGCTGCATGCGTGCATACGCGCCAGATCTGTCGATGCTCGGAAATTACCTCCTCCAACCGGACTCTGTGCCCGCGGCTATCATCTCGTTATCATTTCGCGCACCTGTGCGCAAACGCACGCATGCAAGCAGCCAAAAAGCCCTCTCTCGGCCAAGCATAACCCCAAGACGGGACATTTCGAGAGCCATTTCGAGAGAATAACAGACACAAACAAGCTTACTGTACCGCATGCACATGGCTACATACAATATACACAGCAAGGGGAATCCCTTTTGTCGTGGTATACCCTGACCTCCCGCTTAACCTATACAAGCCACGCTGCGAATGCCCTTACGCGTCGCCCTGGCCTGGGCGCCTTTTTCCCCCCATATCCGCGCCTTGCTGTCTGTCCGTTCCCCCCCCTCGATTTTCTACGGCCCCTCACCCATTCATCCATCGACCCACGTTATACACAGGCATCTGCCACGTTATAGTCGATAGTGCGCCGAACATCGTTTACCGTTTTCTGCCCTACTCCTTTAGCGAAGGCTGGGATTGTGAATCATAGCCGATGCAGCTTGCAGCAGAGATTGCCATGATTGTTATTGTCGAGCCCCACTCTTGACGTTTGCGCTAGCCTCATCTGGGTCTTAACATGGTCTTGTTGTGCTGCATCCTGTTCCCACGCATGAAACATGTACGAGTCGGTGAGAGAAATAATAAACAAGTGTGGAATTGGAGGCATGGTGTGTGTGCTTCATATATCCGTATGTTTCCGCACTCCTAACATCTGTATTGCAAAATACATTCCATGCAACACATTGAACATGACCCATCAAACAACCAACCAATTATTAACAAAGCAGCGTAGCAGTCTAGCTAACGAAGGAAATATGCTCTAGTAGAGTATATCACCAGCTCCCCCTTTTCCATACAACTTTCCAGCTCGGTTTCCAAGGAAAAGTAAACTCTGATATATCCATTTCCCACCATACTCGAGAATTCAGCCTCGAAAGTCTTCTTCTTTCTTACTTTCTTGCTTATATACCATACGTACAGACATACATGTATACATACCACCAGCATGCTAACAAGAGATATTATCATGTGATAGCCAACATCCACCTCATTCATTCCTATCCATTCCTATCCATTCCTATCCGTTGCTACTCCCGTCTACATAGCCTAGCACAAATAAAAAACAGTCTGGAAACTTGAAATCTGCCAAAAGAAATATGGCCTGATATTTTGATCTGATCTGATCTGATCTGATGTGATGTGATCTGGCGTAGTATAGGACAAGGAGATCGACAACACAACGACCTTGTTAAAAGGTATCCTGGAGGAGGATGAGATACACGAGGTGATGAATGAATAAATAAATGAATCGTTCAAATGGCCCAGATATACTCATTCATGATTTTGGAAATGCAAATGACGTCTTTGATGTGGCAAAAGCACATGATTCCTAGATGGGCATGTGGAAATACTCATGTTTCGATTATGCATCTTAGTTTTATACATCAATACTGGAAAATATATAGCCTTGTAAGTCGGTTCTTTTTGGTAGGACAAGTTGATGGATTCTGGATTCCTGTAAGATTCGCTTTTCGTGTATAATGACGTTGAATGAGTGGGTGAGTGGGTAGGTAGCTCTTGGGGGTGTTATGCATATTCTCCGCGTACTGTCTGTCTATTCAAGAGGAAGAGGAGAGGAAAAAAAAAGAGATGAATTTCTAGTTGAAGAAACTGAGAGAGAACTTATATGTAGGGCAGTGTTATCATACATATACATAGATTCCCCGCAACGAGGGGAGGAGAAGGAGGAGGAGTAGTAGGGCTATGTGTATGCTGTGATGGATGGACTCTACTTGGTGAAAACAAGTCGTAGCACCAATACTATGTATGTAGAACACCAGGCTTAACTCATCTTGGGAACAAATATATAGCAAGTCCAGCGAAATCACCATCTAAACCGTTATTTATATGTATAGTTCCGCATCTGCTCCTAGACAAGCACAAATACCAAATCTACTCACCTTCTAGCTAGTATCAAGCCGGAGCTTCAAGACACTAGTTGGGTATAGTATCTACTCCATGTGAAACGCGGCAAATATAGCAATGCACACGCGGATGTATAGATGGCAAATGAGTCAGCTGGATAATCGGCATACTCGAGTCTCACATAACGATATTTCCTCATACACGCTCATACCAGAAAGTGGAATCTTGAGCGTTAAACATCTGATATAGCTAGTAATCGCGCTAGACTCCATAGTACCGCTTCCAGGGCTTATTCTTGTCCACTGGAGTAGGAGTAAGAGCGAGGATACTGCTGATGCTGATGCTGACGCTAATACCGCGAGGAGGAATCGCACATTGAACAAGCAACACGCACTTCCGCATCTCAGCTCTCAAATCAACATGTACTAGTATTTCCACGTCTAACATCAAAAAGTAAAGCTAATCTTTGTCCTGCGATGAAAGAGCCTAAACAACATCTTGCGTCCCAACCTACCCTTTGAGTTGCAGTGCGGATATAGCGTTGTGTTTCTGGAGTGGTGTTGAATTGAAAGTGGGGCGGATGCATGTAGACGAGCTTTCACGACAGAGACGAGATAGTAAGATGGAGGGTTTGGGAAGAAAAATTGGGTGGGGATAGGGTTGGGGTTGCGATGGAAGTTAGTGTTGAGGGTACTATCTTCCATCAAGCTTTCTACAGCTCATATATCATATCTCGTCGGTAAGTCGAGTGGGCATGGGAAAAAAAAAGTCTCAGATAGTACATACTGCCGTCCATACAACCACTACCACCACCACTACCCCACTCTCAAGTTCTAAACCAAGCAACACGAAGCCGAGCTAATCTAAATCAATCTCACATCTCCCACCAACACACATGGGCCGAGAAAAGACGTTACACGAAACAGAGTGCGTGTGCAGAAAGCTGCTTCAACCGTGTCCTGGATACAATGGCGTTATATGCATAGTCAGATTAGCACATATCTTTATATAAGGAGCGAGCGAGGGAGGGAGGGAAGTAAATAGCAATGAGAAGAGAAACAAGAGAAACAAGAAGAGAGAAGCAAGTGAGTAAAAGAATAAGACGAGAATAGTCAAGAAAAAAGCCAAGAACAAACTACAAAACAAAACAGCTCCAAAGACAGATAGTAGTACAAAAGAAAAACAACATACTACTAATATACTCAATCATACACTCTAGAAATAAAAACATGATATCATCTACACCTATTCATCCCTCACATCCACCATAACAACACATATACTGTATACTATACTATACTATACTATACTATACTGCAGCAGTCATCTATACATACATGCAGTTAAAAAGATCGCCATGGATCTACATCGATGCAAATCCAAGATGAGCAGAGTAGTAAAATACGCAACAAGGGCAGCAAAATAATACCGGTTTTTTTTTAAAAAAAAACACCCAAATTTCTTCTTCTTCTTGGTAACACTAAGAAATAAGTTTACTCTATATATGTGTATATATATATATATGTGTGTGTGTGCGTAGGTGTATCTTACCAGAGACAATTGCACTTCAGACTCATGTACTATATGTACTATTTGCTTACTTGATGTGCCTGAGTAGAGTCATTTTTATAATTGTCGTAGAGTTTTGATTGCGTTAGCAAAGGCCAAGTATGAGATTTGCACGTTGAAATGAATTATAGAATAGATAGGCGTGCTGTATATAAAGTATAAAAGTACTTGGGCACGCCTGATTGGGGCAAAAGCAACGAGGTTGTTGATGTATCCAATCAGGCCATGGATATGCGTTTAACAATTCAACACCCCACTTATCAACACGTGCGCGCGCACATGGATCAAGCACAATCTTGAACAAACGAGACTTTTCATTTTTTTGAAAAGTAAAAAGTAAAAAAAAAAGCGGTGTATAATACACAAGCTGAATCTATATTCCTTTGCATCTCCTTCACAAATGGCAATCCATCACATCAAACCACCAAGACTCAAAATTTTTCATACAAGAAAAGCGAATGGACGTCCGAGGCCAGCCGTACGGGTTGGGGGGGTATCTCGAAACATTTGGAAAATAAAAAAAAGACAAGCGAAGGTTATGAATACTCGCGGCTGCAATCAGCAGGGAGAAAATCATTGTCGTATTCCCCAAATGATATGGGGGTGAGAGAGAGAGAGAATGTAGGTGGTATGAAAGAGTCTGTATCCAACAGAAAGAAGAGAAACGCCATGATATGCATAAATGGGAATCAAAAGTATAAGCAAAGCGGTCGCTACGTGGAAACAACGGTTTGATCCAACGTGCTCAAGGGTTGTAGCCGTTGTCGTAGTCACGCTGTCCAGGAGTGTTGCTGCGCTGTGGGCCGGGTCCAGAGGGAGTGTAGCTGCGAGAAGGAGGGCCTCGTGCCCAACCTGGCTGCTGAATTGGTGCAGTAGCGCTGCGCTGAGGCGGAACTGAACCATTCATGTCGCGGTTGGGCAGGGGCTGCGACATGTCTCGACGCTGCATAGGAGACTGCAGAGATGTTGGTACACCGGCCCGAGGAGGTGCAGTACCCGCTCTTGGCTGGCCAACAGACTGCGAGGGCGCAGGAGAGCCCACCCTCAAGATATCAGGCACTTGTGGTGGCTGATAGTCATTCACGTTTTTCGGGGCGACCTGGTAGTGAGAAGAAAAGTCTGTAGTGTTTACATCGACAGGCGAGAGCTCATACTCTTGGCCCATGGCGGGGCCGCGGCTGTTATAGGGACTGAATTCCTGGTAGGGGCGGTTGGGGTAGCCCTGTGGCGTGCCTCGTCCATCATTCGAGAGAGGAGAAACCACATGAGACTGGGAGCCATAGGGAACATGGTTGTTGAAGTTGGTATCGACGCGTGGCATAGGGCCTCGGTGGGGCAATGGCGACGCTCTGCCTTGAGACATGGGAGTAAAGGACCTATCCGGCGCATATGGCATGTTGGCTTTCTCGCCATAGTATCCGGAACCGTTGCGATCGAGAGGCATTGGCGGCACTGGCGAGGACATGCCCATGTTACCAGCCTGGCTCAGCATGGGCACGTCGGGACCATAGCTGGTGTTGGAGAAGGCGGAAAATTGCGTTTCGGATCGCATCGGCATGCCGGGACGTTCGTTGAGCGTCGGCAGAGACGGCTTCATCATGAGGCTTCGACCAGTGTTTGAATTGACGGTGGTGGAATGCGACAGAGGGCTCGGCGCATATGGCGGAAGCGTCGTGTTTGTGTTCATCGTGTCGGTGCGTTGCAGAGAGAAGATGGAAGATGCGTCGTCGTCGTCGCGCAGCTTGGGCAGAGTAGGTCGGGACTTGGATGCGTCAAACTCGCCCTTCTTGATTGCCCTCTCCTCTTCCTTCCTCAACTGGTGATTCTGCTTCTCAATCGCCTTCTTGATCTTCTTACCGACAATGCGCTCCAGACGCGTCTCTACCTTGCGGCGGCAGTAGTTGGTCAGACTGCCGTCGGCCTTGGGAATGTAGTGCCACAGGAAGAAGATGTAGAGGATGACGGCAATAATCAAACTCAGGGCAGCAATGACCCAGATAACCAAGGAGAACAACATGGCAAAGTAGACGACTGTTTCCTGCCTGTTACCCGTGTCAATCATGGTCTTGATATTGACGAAGAACTGCTCAATGTCGGAACGGTCTTTGGCAGCATGGTCGCCTCCGGGAATGATCTTGGCCTGCATGACGGCGTACAGCGTCATGGCGTTGATTGCGATTCTGGGGCCTTGGGCGACAAGGATGAGCAGGGCGCTCTTGAACTGGAAGTAGACGAAAAGCGCAATGTAGTTGACGCCCTTTTTACTCTTTGTCAACTCGGCAAAAACCAGGAAACGGCGCCAGCCCTGGCCCGACGACGTGATGCGCATACTCTGCCAGATGACAGCCATGGGCTCGAGGTAGCACTCGGTCACGCTTCCGGTGCGCATGACGCGCAGGGTGCGGATGTAGCGGTAGACGAGAAAAACATAGGAAATGATGATGGTGATGGCGAAGATCCACTTTGCGATTTCAAAGGGCACGGCGGGCTTGATGGTGCTGGTCCACTTGTCAAAGGCGAGAAGGTTGATGGCAGTAAAGGCGTCGGCGGCGTAGACGGCGCACGAAATGATGACGAGGACCCACAGCCAGGCATAGGAAAAGGGCGCGAGGCACGAAGTCGACTTGAAGTCGGAGAGGGTCTGGCGACGTTAGTATGGCCATGTTTGCTTGTGCCGCCGCGCTCTTACAATGTGCGTCCACTTTTGCTCCTCGGACACACTGATGGCCTTTTCGCGATCCCCACAGCAGCCCATGGTGGGTGGTTTTGGGAATTAGGCGCTATGTACGTAATGAGTGTATGTATGTATCCGGTCAACGGTACTCGGGTGTGCAGTCCAGCTGTTGGTCGAAGGAGTGGCTTTGGTGGCTAGAACATGGGTTGGGCTTGGTTTCAAAGGAGGGAGGCAATCTCGGAGAGATGGAGACAAAGATGGACGGATGGACGGATGGCGAGGGTGGTAACAGGCCTGCTGCGCACCACGGATCCAGAGGAAAGGGCGACAGGGTAGGAGGGAGTTTTGTAGGACGAAGGGCTGAGGCTGGGGGGAAAGCAGGGGACGGGGCCTTTGCCAGATGCGTAGGTGTTCAGTCGCTCGCTACGAGGGTGCGGTGCGCATAAGGAAAAACGCGTGTGTGTGTGGAGCGTCTCGTGTTTGAGAGTTTGAGCGACAAGGCTTGAACAGGCGTGACGGCGGAGTGGCCGAGTCCGAGGCAATGCAAGTGTTTAGTACCGATGGGGGGAAGGTGGCACTAATTTGAGTGTCACGGCGGTTTTTTTTTCTTGCTGGAGGAGAGGTGGTCGAGGGTTGCGGCGCAGTGAATGGGGGGGGGGTGTTTGTGAATAAAGCGGGCGGGCGTGAGCGGTAGTGAGCGGAAGGCGCGAGTGAGCACGCAGGGGCCGTGGCACGGGAGGCACAAAGCGAGCGGGTTGGCAGAATGCGTGGGAGTGAGCGAGTGAATGAGTGGATGGCAGCGGCGAGAGCTTATGGCGGTGTTGTGTGTCGTCGGCGCACCGAGCAGACACGAGTGGTGGTGGTGAAGGCGGGCGTGCGCAGGCGGGCGGCACGGTGATGCACTACGGGCTACTAGAGAGGAAGGCGCGCCCCGCCGCCCTGCGCGAGCGGCTGGCCCACCACACGCACGCCCGCCGCCCATTGGCTGAGCCACAGCGGGCGCGTGTTTGACCCCGTGTGCGCGCTAGGCCCGATGCGGCAGGCGGCTAGCCTGTTCCTCAGCGCCTGCGCCGCACTCGCCGTGGGGTAAATTGGCCTGCCAATCTAACCACGGCCCCATCACTATCGCCGCCCTTTATGCTCCCGTCTACAAGTACACTGCTGCGGTGACCGTGGCCGCAACAATCGCGCGCAAATCCCAATACCAGCCGCCGCCTCCTCCTCCTCCGCCTGTCAGCACGCCGGTGCCACGGGCGCGTGCGGCGGGAGCAGCAGTCGCCGCACCCGCCTGGCGGCGCAGAGGAAACCCTCGCCGTCTGCGTGTGCCACAGTCCATGTCTGAGGCCTGCATATCCTGTCCACTTAACGTCACACACCAAAAGGTCCGATTCTTTTGGCACATCGGCAACGTCGGCTGCTTCAGCCTTGAACCCCCAGCCTTGCCGAAACGAAACACGCCTGGCGACGGCCATTGGGTCCTCGCTCCCGCCCGAGAGCCTCTGCACGCTTGCATTGACGCCCGTCTTGCCTTCCTTCGGGGCCTCGCCATCCGCCAAACCCTCGAGCCAGAGTCGAACCAAGCCGCTGCGCTGCCACCTGGCGCCACGCTGCTCGTCGGTTGTTTGCTGTCATGTGTCAGGCGCAGTGCATGAACCTCTGCCATGTCCCCGATAGTTAGCTTTCCTGCTAACACGCTCCTGCCAGGCATTCGACGTCATGGCCGTGGCTATCTTAATCAAAGCGACATGGGCACGAGTCGCCACCGCCGGCCATGGCGAAGTCGCCTCTGCCAGCATTGCATTGGGCCGTGACGATGAACAAATAAGTAGAGCCGGCCAAAGAAGACGCTATAAACAGACGGCACCGCCGCGTCATGTCCTGCCATGCAAGGCTGATCTGTCATGACGCTTACCTCTGCTGTTGGAGTTTGGCTCCCGCTTGCTCTACTCAGCTCGCATAGCAACATGGACCCAACGCGCATCCCAACACAATGCCCATGAGCGCACCAAGGCCTGCAACCTCGGCCACCCTGGACTTGTCACCGCCCGCAAGGGCATAGCAGACTTGGTACATACTGAGAAGGGAAGTCTCTGAGACGCGTCGATTGCAGCACTAAAGGCTTGGAGCGGCAAAGGTCGGCGTTGCAACTGTGGCCCATTTGGGCCCGCCCCAACCGCTCACTCCGTACTGCACACGTACATGTGGCCACCGCAAACCCAATTGCTGATTAGAAGATATTTCACCGCAACCTTGCAATGGCAGCCCGCTATGTCAGGCACAATCACAATATGCACACAGCGTGCATTGGCGATGCTTGGCCATGCCTGTCAGCGTCTGCATAAGCTGCCACGGTAAGAGGTGGCTCCATCACCGCGTGCTTACCAAGGCTCAGTTACACCCACTGTCAGCTGTCACAGCATGGAGCCGACCCAGTACTGCGCTCAACATTTCGTCAGGACACAAATGCCTACATGTCTTACAAATCAAAGGTTGGCTAACACCAGCATGCCAGCCCGAATGCGGAAAGAGGGGCCCTAGGCGTGCCCCGCGACAGGGATCTTGTTGAAAGACGGACGTCATACAGGTGCTTTCGCGAAGAGCGCAAGAGACGTATAAAGACACCATTCTTCGTCTGCCTCTGCTTCTGGCCCATTCAGACGCCTACGACCCGAGCAGAAGCCTTTGCGCACATCGTCCTCACCGCCAGCCGTAATCATGGGTGCCGAAGCTGATACCGCAACGCCACACTCGCATCACGCCATTGCCAAAGACACGCCAGAGGACAAGAAGAGCGACCAAGTCCCCAAGCAAGATGAGCTGAGAAACAAGGCTGCGCCTGGGGTATGCAACCATTGAGCTGTGGATATCTCCCCTGCTGACCGCCTAGATCTCATACTTTACACCCGCGCAAGAGCCCGTCGCAGGAACAGCCCTGGGCATGCTCGATGGCAGCTCCAAGATCCCCAAGCTCTTCCAGCCCCTCAAGCTCCGCGGGCTCGTGATGCAGAACCGCCTCGCCCTGTCTCCTCTCTGCCAGTACTCGGCTGAAGACGGCCACCAGACCAATTGGCATCTGACACATTTGGGCGGTATCATCCAGCGTGGTCCTGGATTGGCTCTTGTCGAGGCGACTGCTGTTGTCCCCGAGGGCCGCATCACGCCCGAGGACTGCGGTCTGTGGAAAGATTCGCAAATGGAGCCCCTGCAAAAGATTGTCGAGTTTGCACACTCGCAGGGCCAGCATATTGGTATCCAACTCGCACACGCCGGGCGCAAGGCTAGCACCGTAGCCCCATGGCTGAGCAAGGGCGACATTGCTACCAAGGAGATGAACGGCTGGCCGGACAACGTATACGCTCCCTCTGCGATTGCATTCAACGACAAGCACTGCATGCCCAAGGAGATGACCAAGCAGGACATTGAGACCTTCAAGCAGGCGTTTGTCGATGCTGTCAAGCGCGCCGTCAAAGTTGGTTTTGACACGATTGAAATCCACAACGCGCACGGCTACCTCCTGCACTCATTCCTTTCTCCCGCCTCCAACCAGCGTACCGACGAATACGGCGGCTCGTTTGAAAACCGCACGCGTCTCACTCTGGAGATAGTCGAGCTTGCCCGCAACAACATCCCGGACAGCATGCCGCTCATCCTCCGCATCAGTGCGACTGACTGGCTCGACGAGGCTGGCATCCAAGGCTGGACTGTTGATCAAACCGTTCAACTCGCCGAGATACTCGCCGACAAGGGCGTCGACCTCCTCGATGTCTCATCTGGCGGACTCCACGAGAAGCAGCACATTCATGGCGGACCCGGATACCAAGAGCCTTTTGCCAAGGCTGTCAAGGACAAGGTTGGAGACAAGATGGCTGTCGGAACCGTCGGTAGCATCACGGACGGCAAACAGGCAAACGGCTACCTTGAGAACGACAACCTCGACGTTGCCTTTATCGGCCGCATGTTTCAGAAGAACCCTGGCTTCGTCTGGCAATGCGCCGACGACCTGGGTGTCGAGGGACGGTGGGCCAACCAGATTCGATGGGGCTTTGGCGGCCGTGGCAAGAAGTAAGTTTCTTGCTACTTGTACAACAACGACTCTCCTATCTTCTATTCCATAGACTTGAACCTTAGACGAGCATCTCTTGCTACGAGTCCAACGAATCTAATACACTTTACTTCAGGGATCAAGTCGTCGACAAGAAGGCGTTTGCCAATGAAGGTGCATTCGAGATGAACAAGCGCGAGTAACGTGAGCTGCTGAATCAAACGTCAAAAACGCTGCCATGATGTGTGCCAATATCTACTGATAAAAAAAATAAAAATTATAGCAAACAGTGCACGTCTAGCCTCGATAACCATTCGTCTCTTTCTTCCCAAAGACGCCTTTCCACAGCAAAAACGACTCAAAGGACTGGCTTGGATACCTGGCGACGCCCCTCTCATTCATGTCCTTCATCTGTCCTAACTGCTCCACGGAAAAGACGACTCTTTCACCCTTGACCATGACTGTTTCTTGCTGTGTATACGGATAAATGTCTGCTTGTGTGCCTGGAATCCGGCGGTCGGCCGTGTTTGTCAGGATGGCAATCAACGTCCTGATACCCAGGATGCTCTGAATATTGTCGCCCAGCCGCGGGAAGACGCTGTTGAGCACAGAGGTGGCGGCTTGCGAGGTTTTTTGCAGCGTGCTGTACACGACGCCGCCTGGCGCGTAGGCCAGCACGTCGCCGTAGATGTCGCCGCTGCCCGTTCTCAGGTGTTGCTGGTCAGAGGGCGAGGGCGACTGGGCGGCGGTGCCCAGCCTTTCCCCGATATACTGTATCCACTCTTGCGCAGCTGGCATGATGGGGTTGGGCGAGTCCTCGTCGACGGCGTGCACGCTCTCCACCATCCACCGCAGTACCGCGTCGCTCAGCACCTGGTTGGGATAGATGGTGCGCGACAGCAGGTTGGGAAGCCAGCCCAGGGCGTCCTCGATCCAGTTGGTAGGGCTCTGGCGCACAAAGCGAAACGTCATGCGCCCGACGTCGTAATGGGTGCCTGGAAACCACTTTTGCGTTATCCGGGCCCTGGGCTCGTCGTCGTCGTCGTCGGCATCTTCGCTGGCAGACACCAGACACGGCTGGAAGGTCCACAGGCGGTCGTGCAGACACGGCGCGTGGTAGCAGTGCTGCACCACGCTCGAGACGCTCTGGTCGAAAAACTCAAACGGGCTCCAGTCGAAGCCGATGCCTGCGCTCAGCCGCGGGATGCCCAGCGCGCCCACCGTGTCGATGATGCCCATGAAGCGGATGGGGCGTTTGACCTGCCACACGCGGTCGTGCAGGCCTTTCCAGCGCTGGCACTCGTCGCTCTTGGGCGCATCCACGGGCAGACTGGAGCGGTACGTGCGAAAGATGTCGTAGCAAAGGCGCTTAACCTCTTCTTCAGCATACTCTGGCCGCCGCTTGATGATGCCGCAATTATTGATCATGCCCGCGATGCAGCGCACGGTGAAGGCGCCGCGACTGAATCCAAACAGCCAGATCTCATGGTCGTGCGTGTAGTGATCCACAATGAACTTGTACACGGCGATGCACTCCTCGCTGATGGACGACGCCGTCGCCCCGTCCCAGATGTACTGCATGAAGTTCTTGTTCAGGCCCACGCCCTCCTGGTAGCCCGCCACAATGTCCGGCGTGCGCCCCGACGCCGCCGACTTGTGCGGCTGGATCCGATGCACTTTTGCCGCCGTGACGTCGCTCGCGTCGTACTGCACCGTCCCGACCATGTCGGCCAGCTGCCGGATGTTGCTGGGCGGCGCGTCGTCGACGGCCGTCTCGCGTCCCACCCAGGTGCCGTCGCAGAAGACGACGAGCCGTTTGGCCGGCCGGCCTTGAGGTGGCAACGCCATGCTGCGTCAAGTATGTGCGTGTGTGTGTGTGTGTGAGAGAGAGAGAGAGTGAGAGAGAGAGACAAGAAAAAGCAAAAAAAAAGAGAAGAAGAATCAAACCAGGGATTTATCAAAAGGAAAAAGAAAAAACCAAGTGTTTCGCTCCTGCTTTTAATATAATCCTGTCCGGTCGGTCTGGTCTGACCAACGGAGGGAGGGGGGGAGGGAACCTTATCGTGGGGTCACCAAAAAAAAGAGAGAGAGGGAAGGTTTTATACAAGTAATGGATGCATGTAAGCTGCGGTGAATGTGTTTATAACTAAGTAAAAACAGGCAGTATTTCCTTCCTTCCTTCCTACACCGCACCGCACCGCACCTCGTCCTGCTGTTCCCTTCAGCTGAGGCTAAGATGTACTGTACTGTACTGTATGTAGATAAGACAAGGCAACGCGGCTGAGCCCCACGCCATGCCCATGTCCATGTCCATTGTTCTGCGAGCGTTCCCTTCAGCTGCGTTTTGGCTTGGGGGGGGGGCCCCGAAACGGAGATGGGGGGCTGTACAGGGGGGCGGTGCGCGTGCGCGTGCGCGTGCCAACACCGCCCAAGTACCAAGAGAGAATGAGAAGAAGAAGAAGAAAAGCTCCACATTCGTTGCTCAGCTTACGTTTGGTGTCACAGGTTCGCGCGGCCTGAGTGTTCTGGTGCGGGTGTTTGAGATGGAGGGGGGTGCTTGGCTGGGGCTGGAAGAGGGAGGGTAGGGATCTAGGGCTGATGGATGTATATCCTTTTTATGTGCGTCTTTCTTTTTCTTCTTCCTGCCTCTGTCTTTTCTTTGGACATGGATGATGTAGGTACACCTACGTATGTATATAGCATGTGACGTCATGCGTCAGGTTGCATGTTCGCTTCTAACCTGGCGTCTCGTGCGTGTACAAAGTCGTTTTCACGGTCTTGCAGCATGCGAAGGGCGGGAGACGTGGTAATGGAGAAAGGAAAATGGGGTATCATGATTCCGTCGTAAAGTATATGCACTCGTCCCAGGGCCTCTATTAGCCAAGGACCTCGTCGAGAGTCTCCCACCCGTCTCTCTGCGCATCCATCTTGCGCGCTTGTTGCTTGCCGACGCCATTCTCATCTCGTCCTGCGTCCGCGTGCTCGGCCTTGTCGTCGCCGTCTACAGCCCCGAAACTGCCAAGCACCTCGCGCACCTTGTCTGCCATCTTGCGCACGCCCTCGACCTCGGCCCTCTTGCGCCGCACCTGCTCCTCCATGCGCTCAATCAGCGTCTGCCGCGCCTGGTGCGGCCTGTACTCGTTGATCAACGCATGCATGTTAGCCACCATGGTCATCATGTCCTTGAGTTTCTGGTCCTTTTGCTCCGACGTCGGGTCCGCGGCCATGATGCCCAGCAGCGAGATGTAGCTGAGCAGGATACTGCGCAGGAAGCGGAAAAGATAGTTTTGGTGGTCGATCGACGCGGCATTTGTTGTTATTGTTTGTTGTTGAGTCGCAGATGTTGTGGCAGAGTTATTGTCACCGCTACTAGGATATAGCTGCTCGTACTGCCAGTCCTGGAACACGCCCTGCATCTTCAGCTGGTCGGCGATAAACTCCATGTTCTTCATAAACACATCTGTGCCCTGGGCCTTTGCGACTGTGTCGAAGACGTGGAACTCGGCATCGTCGGCGGGCGGCGCGGGAGGAATCAGGTAGCGGACTTCGGTGGGCAGCGCGAGGATTTGCTCTGCTGAAAGCTTGGTCGCCGACGCGTGTACATCGTCCGTGGGAAGCCCAGCTTCCTGCTCGATTTCCTTGAGGCGTGTAATGTTCTCAGGGCTAAAGTGCTTGTAGAAGGGTGGGGGGTCGGGGAAGAAGCTGAGGATGACGTCTTCGTCGTCGACCTGGCCTGGCTGCTGGGGATCTGCCATGGTGGTGAGCAAGACGTGCGCTTAATCAGGTGCTGCGTCCGGCCGGCGCTGTATCTTGCGGGTTCAATTGGCAGATTGTTGGTGTTGCAACGGGCATTCATTCACGCGACGAGTAGCTTGGAGCTCCAAGCTCGGACCCCTGTCGAACTACCCAAAATGTCCCCGCCCGCATCGCACCCACCCCCCTTCACACCGGGAATATCCGCAATGACATCGGCACTCTGCCTCGATCGGTTACCCATGGCCCAAACAAGCTTCATTCTACAAGTTCAAGTCTGAGCATGATTGGTAATGATCTGCTTACAATTACAACTAGTCGGGAAATGGTGTGCTTCGCCGAGTATACTCCGCTTTTGCCGAACTCGATTGAAGCAACGGCTGTCAATGACGCGATACGTTGCCATTACCAATCCACACGGGTGGATATGCCTCCGAGGATATAGGCATAGGTATATATGATAGTAGCAAATCCCGCCAGAAGTGACATCACACTCTTGTGGGCAACTCCCACCACATCTATACATTCCACAATGTCTACGCAGAAAGCAGCAGTCCACGTCTCTCAGGGCGTCTCTGAACTTCGCGATGACGTCCCTCTTCCCAAGCTCCCAGCCGACAACTGGCTTCTCGTCCAGACCAAGGCCGTTGCGTTGAACCCGACTGACTGGAAGAACATTGAGAGAGCGCCTGCACCCGGCGCCATTGTAGGATGCGACTATGCAGGTACCGTGGAAGAGGTCGGCAAGGCCGTTACAAACTATAAAGTCGGGGACCGTATTGCTGGGTTCGTGCGTGGAGGTAAATAGCGTACCAGTCAACTTTTCCCGTCGCTTGACTAACATGATGCAGGCGATCCGGCAGATCATTCCAACGGTGCCTTTGCTGAGCACATCAAGGCCAAGGACGGCGTAAACATGAAGATTCCCGCTAGCATGTCTTTTGAAGACGCAGCGACGCTGGGTGTCGGCGTGACTACCGTGGGCCAGGGCCTCTACCAGGAACTCGGCTTGCCCCTACCGCCTGCTAAAGTGGAAGAACAGACACTCGTTTTGATCTACGGAGGATCCACGGCAACAGGTACACTCGCAATCCAGTATGCGAAGTTGTCTGGCTGCGAGGTCGTTGCCACGGCATCACCCCATAACTTTGAGCTTTTGCGGCGTTTGGGCGCCGACCACGTCTTTGACTACAAGGAGCCTGATGTCGGGGCCAAAATCCGCGAGGCAACGGGTGACAAGCTGAAATTGGCATTTGATTGTATTGCAGAGGGCAACTCGTTTGAAATTACGGCTGCGGCGATTAGTTCGACTGGTGGCCACATGTCGGCACTGCTACCTGTCAAGGACTACCCCAGAAGCGATGTCAAGACAAAGCTCACCCTGGGTTACACGGCACTGGGTGAACGGTACAACGAGAAACTGGATGCTAAGCCAGAAGACTATGAGTTTGGCGTCGAGTTTTGGAAACGGTCGTACGACTTGTTCGAGAGTGGAAAGATAAAGACGCATCCGGCTGAGGTAAGGAGTGGGCTGGCTGGTGTGCCCCAGGGCTTGCAGGATTTGAAAGATGGGAAGGTTTCGGGTGTGAAGTTGGTGTACAAGGTGGATTAGTGTGGAATAACTGCGCTTTTGTAAACGTTGTAGTTGAGGGTTGTATGATAGTTATGCTTAGTTCTTGGGTTAGCTCGGTGCCTTCGCCTTGACCGTTGAGTTGATATTGCCCTTGACCTATTTGTAGTATCTAGGACGTGGAGGTGTTAAATAGAGTAACTTCAAATACTTCCAATACCCACCAACCTGTTCCAGGCAAGTTGATCTCGTAGACATGGAAATAGCTTCCTGCACAGCGTGGCGCCAATCAAACTGCGTTTAGCCTACACGTGTGTGGAAACAACCGACCATGCATCTCCCACCCGTCATCGACAAACGATACCCATCGGCTTGAGATATCTGGACTTGCCTTCCTATTTTGCCTCTTGCAGTACCACCGCGGAGCCCAGGACATGCAGTATTACGGTATGTGCCTACAGGGCAGGCCTCACTCGACCAATCCTAATCCGACGTCGCAACATGTGCAATGCGATTAATAGACAGCTGTCTTCACGCTTGAAATATCCTAGTCTAACTGTCCCATATCAATCTCATCATTTTGTTGAATGTAGTATGCAAAGGTATGGAGTAGCGTATCATTATGCATACCTGCCGGCCAGAGGCACGGGTACAAGCATGCAGAGATGGCCAAGGGCCCAATCCTGGTTTATAAACAGCTCACGTCCCCAAAAAATAAGAACAATCAGTGCCTGTGAAACCTGCAAAATGCTTTCTCTCCTCCTGACAGCGGCCCCGCTAGCCTCACTCGTCTCCGCATCCTTTGACACCAACTTGAACTACCATTCGCCTTCTCGCCGCCACGAAAGCCTCGGAATAGACATACCTAAAGTCACAAAGAGAACCCTATCCAAGCGCTCTGCTCCATGGGATCCCGCGCAGCTCAAGTTCACCCACGGCGTCGCTTCTGGAGACCCGTACCCCGACTCCGTTATTCTCTGGACTCGCATTGCACCCTCACTTGAACATGACAGGTCGAATGTGACTGTCAGCGGCACCGCCGCATTTTACAACCACGAGACGGAAAAATACATTGCGGCTTCGCCGAATCCGATTTGCGTGGACTATCGTGTTGGTACCGACGGCAACTTCTCGGTGGTTGTAGACGAGGGAAAGGCGTATACGACTTCTGATATTGATTACACTGTCAAGGTAGTTTATGCTCACGTCCTCGGCTCGAATACAAGCTGATTCCACATAGATTGAAGCCAAGAACTTGGAGCCGTTCACGCAGTATTACTACCAGTTCAGCGTGTGTGGGAGCAGCTCCAATAAAAGCCCTCTGGGACGGACAAAAACGAGTCCAAGCGAGGATGATGACGTCTCCAAAGTCGGGCTTGCTGTGTTTTCCTGCTCAAACTGGCAAAACGGATACTTTAATGCTTATGGAAATGCTGCTAGAAAAGACCAGGTCGACTTCTTTGTATGCTGAGATATATGACTGATTGGGGCTTCACTGACTCAGACTTCAAGGTCCATCTTGGTGATTACATTTATGAATCTACCAAAGGCAAGCTCGGCCAAGATCCTAGGGCAACGGATCCCCCGCGGGAAGTCGTCACTCTCTATGGTTAGTTTACGCATGTTGGCGTACGTGTGATGCCTAACATGTCGCCAGACTACCGGACTAGAATCGGCCAGTACCGTACGGATGATGACTTGAAGCTTGCTCACCAGAACTTTGCGTGGATCCCGACGTGGGATGATCATGGTAAGTAGCCTGATATTACGTTTTGTACTCGACTGATGTTGAAGAAATTGCGAACAACGGGTACCGCGATGGTTTCAGGTAGGCTTACTTTGGATACACTCTGTTACGTGTAATAACAAAGCAGCAACATGAACAATACTGAAGAGAGCTTCTTGCAGTACGGAGGTGTCAGTGTAGATTCAAGGAAGATGAATGCCGTCCGAGCATACTTTGAATGGATGCTGTGAGTTTTGTATCACACTGCTTTTAGCTCTACTCAACTCAACGCACGCATAGCATCCGTCAAGTCGACATGGACGACAACCTCCGAATCTGGCGCAACTTCAAAATGGGCAAACTCTTTGACCTCACCATCCTCGACACGCGCAACTACGACCGTTCCATTACGACCCTGGACGAAAACGGCGACTACATCGAGATGCTCAAGGACGATGCTGGCCGTTCGCTCATGGGAAGTCGCCAGGAGAACTGGTTTTACCGCCAGCTCTCTGAATCGCATGAGCGCGGCGCTACGTGGAGGATTGTCGGCAACCAGATCATCTTCTCGCGCATGAACAACAGCGCAGTCTACAGCAACTGGCTGAACGCTGACCAGTGGGATGTGAGTATTCTAACCAGTCTGTTCATTCAGAGCACTGCTCACGTTGACAAGGGCTACACTGCGAATCGCAACCGTACCCTGCACCACCTTTACAGTAATAAGATTTCCAATACCGCTTTCCTGGCTGGCGATTCCCATGCAAACTGGGTTTCCGATCTCGTATGGCTTGATGAGACCCCGTATGACCAGGCCACTGGTGCTGGTGCCATTGGAGTCGAGTTTGCCGGCACTGCTGTCTCTTCCAGTGGCTATGGAGCTGGCCGATCCATTGCGAACTCGAGCGACCGCTCAGCAGCTCTTGTTCGTGATAACCGGGAGTTGCAGTGGACAGAAGGGTACTACAGAGGGTATTACGAGCTTTTTATCTCGCCCGAAGAGCTCAACGCGCAGTACTACGGTAAGCCATGGTGTTGTGTTATTTCCGCCTCGACTCCAACTCATGCTGACGATTCGTAGGCTCTCCTTCAGTTGCAACTCGCAACCCTCTCGATATTAGCCTCGCCAACTTTACTGTCAGGGCTGGCACTAACCATCTGGCGAGGACTAATGACTCGGTTGTCGCTGTAGGCGGATACGTTGAGAGCGGCTCCTTACAACGTGGGCCAACCATGCCAACGAACCTAACTTTGAACACGGTGACTGGCTTGTGGAATATTACTGGCATCGAGGAGATGTTTATCAAGTACTCTTAAAGAGCTTTGGGCTTGACAGGATGATGGCTGCGGGTGGGGCTGCGGCTGTCAGCACTTTAACTCCGCAACCAGTAATATCCATGACAATTGATAGTCCGTCGGAGGAACTCAAAGTCCGTACTAATGTCAGTATTGCCATTCTCTGCAGACACAGTTTTGTGCCGTCGTGATGGCTTGTCCAAGTCTCTTGGTAGAACTGCCCAGACCTGCGAGTGGAAATTATCTATCAGCAGTCGAGTAAAGGGCACCGGCCCATCTCGCAGTACCTCAAATACTTAAAGATTGCCACAAGCAACCAATCGAGAGGGTCAACAGCGACGCCTCGCGAGTCGAGCGCGCGCAGCACCGACAAAGGGGCGCACATTCAGCGGCGCAATACCTCGACAATGGCGCCGGACACCCCGCCCACAGCTGGGATCTCCATGACGCATAGCTGGTGGCTTCGCGCTATAAAATAACCACGGCGGCGCCTACGCGTAGATAAACTCCCCCCATCCATCCGTCTTGCGCACGAGAAACCCAACTCTTTCGCCCTTGAACACAAACATGGCGGCGACAATGAAGGCCTGGCAGTACAACAGCACGGCCGGCGGCATTGAAAAGAACCTGGCTATCAACGACGCGGCGCCCCAACCTACCATCCACGATGACCAGATCCTCGTCCAGGTCCACGCCATGGCGCTGAATCCCGTCGACCACAAAGTCACAGAGGGCCCCATGCCGCTCCGCTTTGTGGGATCCAACATCACGCCTGGCACCGATTTCTGCGGCACGGTAGCCAAAGTCGGCAAGAAGGTCGACGAGTACCAGATTGGCGAGTACGTGTTTGGCGCAAAGGTTGGCGCGCTGACGGGTGGCACCCTCGCTCAGTATGTAGCCGTGGACCGAAGCATGTTGGCGAGGCTGCCCGAGGGCGTCAAGGTCGAGGATGCTGCTGGTGCGGGCCTTGTTGGGTTGACAGAGTACGTGTGATTATTTCCTTTGTTTCCAACGACGCAAAGCATGATGCTGATGCCAGGGTAGATACCAAGCTATTGCGCCCAACGTCAAGAGCGGCGATAAAGTCTTCATCAACGGTGGATCGGGCGGCACAGGCGTCTTCGGCATACAAATTGCAAAGGCGCTGGGCTGCCACGTGACGACGACTTGCTCGACACCGAACATCGACTTTTGCAAGAGCGTAGGCGCCGACGAAGTCATCGATTACAAGACTTCAAATATTGCTGAAGCGCTGGCCGCCAATGGCAAGGCTTACGCCCTCGTGGTAGACAACGTCATGTCGCCCGCAAACCTTTACAAGGCATCCTCTGCGTTCCTCACGCCCAAGGGCAAATTCGTGCAAATCGGCATGGAGAACAACTTGAGTAGTATGAAGACGATTGGCAGCAACATGTTCCGGCCGGGCTTCTTGGGCGGCGGCAAGAATCCCTTCCAGATGCTCTTTACGAAGCCGTCGGCCGACGATATGAGGCAGATGAGCAACTGGTTCAAGGAGGGCAAGCTCAAGGGCGTCGTGGATTCCGTGTTTGAGTGGGAGGATGCGCCAAAGGCGTTTGAGAAGCTGAAGACGGGAAGGACAAAGGGAAAGATTATCGTTAGGGTGCCGCAGGATAGAGCAAAGGAGAAGGCTGCGGATGCGTCTGCGTAGGTCGAGGATAGACTGTGATTGTTAGTACTCAGAATTAATATACTATGGGTGTTTATCCCGCCCGTGCACAAAGTCCTTCTCTTCATTGGTTGTGGGGTGTTGTGTGTTTCTCAACGTCTGGCTGCCGTGCACAGGGATTGTGTCCGTTTACAGATCTCCGTCTGGAGCTGAGGTAGTTTGCGCTACACGTGCTGCGCCATGGAGCAGCTGCTGTGATGTAGCTAGCATACCGTCTCATCGGTCCTCTCCTAGGAGATGGTGAACTTGTGATTGGGATGTTTTCGAAATAAAGCTGGACCGGAGTTACACTAAGTAGTGGTTTCGCCGCTGCAATCGACCAGCAGGATGCAGCGTTGATGCGGTAATGGTGCACCACCAGAGGTCTAGCCAAATCTAGCGTCGAACCATGCACAAGATATGGGGAAGGTCTGGCTGAGGAGCGTTTGAAGTGGACATGGGGATGAAACGCGTAGAGCAGCAACCCCCAATTAGTTCTTGGCACCATCATCGCATCTCGGTCAACATCGCGACTGATTTCCTGGTTTCTTTCCTGTAGGCTCTTAACACATGCAACAATGTATTCGACAAGTCGGCACGTGGTCCTCGTCGCCGCGTCCGTCTCCCTCCTCCTGCTCATCGCAATATTGCTGTCAACAGCCATCGAAATCCGCGGAACACCAGCACCAGTCATACAGATACCGCTCGCGCAGGCAGCCAGAATAGGAGACGGCGACGACTTGGTCGCGGCAAAGGAGCTGCTAAACGGCACCAGCTTTGACCGCGGTGATGTGTTCAACGGCACCAGCATCGTATCCGGAGTCACCCTCGCACCCACTCCCACCATGACGGCAACCGAGGAAGGAATAATTGGCATTACCGCTGAACCGCAGAAGAGCAAGGGCTGGGATGCCGAAGGCGTCCTGGGACCCAAAATCACGGCTACACCTACCCCGAAGCCAAAACCGCGCCCTCTTTCTCCCCCACAGCTGCCCATTGTCGCTCTTACGTACTCGGGCGCGGGCGGTCCCAAACACTGTCGCGGCAGACTGCTAGCAAAAACACACTTCCCGCCGCCCCTCGAAACCTGGAAAAATGGAACCTGTGTGAATCTCCCGGCCGAAGCGCGCTGCGGCGTCTTCTTCTCCAACAAAGGCGACAACTGCGAGGCGCAGCTTTTTAACGTCGAAAACTGCTATAATACCTCGCGCTCCTACATCAACACGGTCGTGTTTATGCCTGAGGAACGGCCTGTTGGTGCGCTCTGGACGAGCATGTGGGTGCGTTGCGGAGTCGATGTGCCTGAGGCCAAGATGCTGGATCCGGGTATTCTCGGTGGCGCGCTGAAGAAGCCTCCTAAGGGGGGTTGAAAAGATGCGGAGAGTTTTTTGAATGATTTTGGTGTTGGATATCCGGCATCTGCAAGTTATCGGGCGCAATTACTGCAAGACTGGAACCAGGACACGACTTGAGGGCTGTGGAGCTCGTGGACCGGCTTATGATGTTTTACCTGAATGCATAGCAAAGGGCGGGAGTTTGGTTGAGTGCATATTCAGATTTTACGAGTGAGTGTGAGTGTTGTCTCCCACTTGCTTATCTAACGGCTTCATCAGTACTCGACACGGGTTAATACTGGACCTTTTGATTCATTGGATTGTTGAAAAAAGAATAACTTGTAGCCACACGGATCCGTACTCTACGGCGCCCGCGATCCACGCACTTTTACCTGTTTTGTTTAGCTTGCTCACTGGCACCTATACCCCAAATAGCCTTCGCAGTTGCAACACTTTACCCGTAATCTGCTTGAGCTTCAGGTCAACTTGGTGGAAACCAGGAGACGTGGGCAAATGCTTGCTCACATAGCTCAAGCAGGGGATTTGTAATATATATTCCACCGACCATGGGGTCAAATGAGACAACAATTCCTTATATTTGCAGGAGATATGGCATGTTACACAAGTAGTCGGTTTGAATTCTGCCTAGCCACTAGCCTCCACTTTTCCCTTCACTCTCAATTCTAGGGTGTTCGTCGTTTGATCATTTAACGCGTGTTTTCATCTTTCAACAACCTTCGCGCGCTTTCCAACGCATGAGAGAACAACAGCCAACGACAACAGCAAAATGTCCCTCTTTGGATCAAGAAGGCTAAGGCAACTGCGCGATGACCTATGTACACTACCCGGCCACACAGTGCTGCAAGATTACTTGCAAGACCAGATTGTTTTCTCCCTACGCCGCGCGGTGCTCGTCACTCTCCACCGCAAATGGTCTGAAAATTCGCCTTACCGTCTGACGGAACTCGGCGTCACGACCTTCGACAGAGCCAGCAGCGGGCAGAACCAACTTTTAACGCCTGGACCGCATGCAGAAAACATCTTGCGCCAGATATGGTCTTTCCGCCTCGTTATCCGCTCCACTGCCCATCTCGATGCCTCGATGCACTCGAGTCCCTTTCACTTCGGCACCACGCTATACGCATCGCAGGAGGAAGCGCTGGATCTCCTGCACCAAATCTGGCACCAGCCCATGAGCGCGCGCAACGCCAAAGCCGGGTTCCGCCCCATCATCTACATGTCGTTTGGCGACAACGACGCTCTGAGCAAGACGCGCAGATCGACATTCGACTTTGATCCATCGAGCCTCAACACAACGGTAGCCACGCTGAACGCGCAGTTTATCCCGCAGAAATGCAAGATCACCCGCCACGCCAACGCATCTCTAACCTACCTCCTCTCGCAGTTCAAAGTGCCCACGTTCCATACTGAGAACAGCGGTAACGCGGCCATGTACGCTACCGTTGTGGCGGTGCTCTCCGCACTCCGCGTTGAACTGTACCAGGCCGACAACAACGCTGTCGCCAAGCCAGCTCAAACAAGCCAGTCCAGCAGCAAATCCGCGGAGGAAGTACTGCAGGGCTTGATGGACTGGCCTACGCCCGCGCCTCCGTTTGGCCTGCTGGTGTACTGCTGCAGGTGTGGAAGCACCGAGCATGCATCTGGGCAGTGTACAAGTTGGTATTTGAGTTGCAAGATATGTGAAGGGGCGCTGCAGCATTGGAGAAGGGAAAATGCAGGCACTCATACGGAGGGAATGTGCTCGTTTGGGTGGGAATTGGACTGCTGATACATGGAATGAGAGTATGTGGCGTGAAGGGGTGGTAGCAGGGTAAATTCATCTGACGAGAAATCCTTGGGTCTAGAAAGGCAATAAAAAAAATATTGCATGGCGCTTGTGCTCTTGGGGATGAGAAGATGACCTAGATTTTGGGCGATGCTCAACACCAAGCTTCTGTTCGGAAGAGGTTGAAACACGTAATGGTATATTCAGAAATCCACACTAATGGGAATTGAAGAGACTTTGGAGAGACGGGGTCTTTTGTCGATATCAAGCACTGCTATGTAATGTTGCTGCAAGACGCACCTAGACCCTCCCCGTTTTCTGAAATGAATAGTATTCGTGATCCGCATGATGCATTAACACACGTATAAATAGAACTATAAATTTATAGCGACCCATAGCATACGCAGCTTTCTAGCTGACACTTCCATGCGAAGCCCTACCAATCAAATGCCTCTGCCTTGGATCTCTCGCTAAAAAAGAAAAAACTGCTTCAAGGATATATAAAGGCGCTAAACTTCTACAGTGGCGGTATGCGGAGACTATTGTTCTACTTCTGTAAAGCGGATATGAGTCTACTATCCACTCCAAATCGATATTCATACAGCCCAAGATACACGCACTACTTCTCTCCTTCAATTCATCAGCTTACTGCTAGTCCATCACAGTAGTATCAGCAGCTATGCTATAAACCTTGGTACCTTTAAGAATTCTACACACCAGCCACACTATCCGCGCCACCTCACTCCCTAATTTCCTACCAGACTTCCTCTGCCCACCTCTTTCACAGCGTATCCCTAGTATGAACTCATCCCACCCATTAGTGCCGCGCTGTTCCTTTTCTCAGAAGCCTACACGTACCACTCATAAGAAGAACGCTTAGTATTAGGCTAGGTGAATTCAACAGTCTAATCACTCGTACTTGTATTGCCAGGCTAATCGCCACACTAGGTGCATTAGCAGTTCTAACCGCAGAGTTCATCGTCGTACTTACGCTAGCTGAATCGTTGGATCAGTACTTCGCTAGGACAGGTTTGCTCAAACGACTCAATAGCAGGTTAACTAGCCGGGCCACGCTTAATGAATCGTTGGATTGAGTCGCGAGGGAGTCGCCAAGTAGCCAAGTACCTGGTTCATCGTCATTTTCAACGCCTAGTCAATGGGCAACTAAATTTCTCATTTCACGTAGCTAGGCCGGGCTAATTAGCAGCTTAGTCGCTGTTTGAATCGCTAGTGAATCGCCAGACTGGTGTTAATTAGCGATTCAATGGCTAGTTTCAAGGGCGCGGCGCGGATGCAATGGCCAACTCAATCGCTCGTGAAGCGTCATTCCAATCGCTTGTTAAGCTTCCGGCGCCGGTTATACTCACTAAATGCATAGGCCAGTGAGTTAGTAGTTCATCGCCATTCCAAGCGCCATCTCAACCGCTACGTAGTTTGGTCGCCCAGCAGCTGCTGGTTGGATCCTTGAAATCAATCGGCATTGCAATCCTACTGTAGTTCAATGGGTCGTTCAAATCGCTGTTTCAACCACGACTTAGTTAATCGGCCAGGTCAATCTCCATGTTGTCCATTTCACCACTGCCCTCTGTTCAAGGTAAGTAGCAGCAACGCCCAAGCCCCTCTTGTGTGCAATCCAGCATCCAAAGCCAAGACCACCTAAACCAAGCCACACAAACGCCTACGTACTTTCCCGCCAAGGCCTCACTTCCCCCCAACGCCAACCACGCACTAAGCAAGCAACTCTACGTACCCAGCCACGCAGCTACTTGACCCGCAAGCTAACTAGCCACCTCAACCACTAAGTAACCCAGCCACCCAACCCAACTCAACCCAACCCAACCACCCGCTAAACCACACGCACACGTCTAACCAAACCCAACCCAACACAGGAAAAGCTCCAGATCTCAGCCATATCGCTTCACCCCGCAGTCACACTACATAAGTGTGAGTCGGTACGAGCGCGGCACAAGGCATAAGGGCACAAAAAGGCAAGGCACAAGGCACAAGCACAAAAAGCGCAAGGCACGGCATAGCATAGCATAGCACAAGGGTTAGTATTAGATCGCAGATGTGGCATGCCATGCATGCATGCAGCTATGCATGTCGATATGTATGCAGACATGTACAGCTAGCTAGCTAGATAGTGGTGGTGGTGGTGGTGGTCCTCCACGGCCGCAAAGTGGGGGGGGGGAGGTTCACCATATCGACTGCCATCAAACACCCGCATATCCACATTCACCACGGCATCAAATCAATACCCCCTTGGACCCAGCTGCTCTATCTCTTTCTCTCTCTCTCTCTATCGCTGTCTCTTTGTGTACATGTGCAGCCCAGCCCCATGATTGAATCCCTTAGCGTAAGCCAACCGGGCACCGTTTTTCTGCCAGATAGCCCTAGCACATGTCCCCTTGTTCGTGCATGGATTATGTACACTCAAGTCAGCTTTTGATTAAACTCTGTTTTTTTGTTTTCGGTACAGATTACAGGTTACAGACACTTGCGTGCTTGGCCCGGTTTGCGCCAGAGAAACAGATAAGTAGTGATTAGCCGAGAGTGTCTTTATCAAGGGTGTCCCCCCACCCCCCCGCACAACAAGAGAAAAAGAGAGGGGGGGGGAGGCTAATCAAGGTCCAGGGAGGTAAGATTTTCGCCCATTGGGCAGAAGTGCGGATTTAGAGTTAGACGTGGGTTCCTGGCCCTAGGAGGTTTTGGCCGTAAATAAAAAAATGACACGCTGGCAATGCGGTTGCGCGCGGGCTCTCCGGGCTCCATGACTCTTGGGTGCGCGGAGAATAGGGCGGGCGAATGGGTGGTTAGATTACGATACGGGAGGGGACTTATTGGCATCTGTAGAGGGAAAGGGATTGTGTGGGGAAAAAGAGGGTATTATTGGAAGGTATAGTAACTATATCGCCGTATGTAAGGGGGCTGATGGTGGTCGAGTGAGGTTGGGTTCGGAGAGATACAGACTTGCTTGGGCGGCGGCGGGTATGTTTCTTTGTTTTTCCGGCGGGAGGCCATGCAGTGCCTCGGAGGGGGACAGTGGTGCTGTGTAAGTGTGTGTTGTGAGTGGACACACGTCGACCAGTGGCAATGTCACCGTAAAGCCTAAAAAAAGTAAACGACCAAAAAAAAACAAAGTAAGCAAAAAGGGCATCAGCATCGAAGGGGCCGGGACCTGGTGGTGAGTGCGGGGAGATGAGCTGGCAAGGCGTAAGCAGTATTGGTTGCGCAATGCCCATGTGAAACGGGCGTCCGGAGAGGGCCGACGACGTATCGGGGACTTGGGAGATGGGATTCGAGACCGTCGGAGAGTCGTGTGGGGAGACGCAGCTGCTCAGGTACAATACAGGAGTGACAGAAGGAATCTGCTTGACCGGTGAGGCTGGCATGCATGCATGGCGCACTTGGGGGCATAGGCCTAGCAGCTTAGCCGCATGGTGGATACCTGTCATGACGGGGTCGGTCAAACTCCACATCGACACAGGCCAGATTACGCAAGATATCCTTGAGGGCTGTGCTTCGTTGAGATATTGACATGTGCTGGCAGCCATTCACGACGGGCCGCGGCCATGGTATCAGACCAGGAGTGCGCGACTGGGCGGGCTGCTGGCAACGGCGCGCGAACTGGCATACCCTCGGCTGGCGTGGGCGATGTGCACCTGGAATGCCCCAGACAGGCCGCAAATCGCTTGGTGCATCCGCCATCGAGTGCCAGCTGTACACACATGCCATTTTTGATGGAGCCGTGTTCTGGATTCGTGATTCTGGGCTCTGCATCTCGCCATGGAACGAATGCCATGGCGAGTGGAGCTGGATGTGTTGAGGGGCCGCGTGCAGCGGGGGGGTTTGCGCGTATACGCTGCCAGAAGACGCCGCCGCTGCTGCTGCCGCTGCTGCTGCTCCCAGTTTTCCCATGTCTGATGGTCTGATGGTCGCCCGCCCGCCCGCCCGCCCTCTGCAACTTTTTTTTTTGCCCGCGCAGCCAGCATCATCATCACTACCACCCCATCCTGACGTATATATGGCGTTGCTAAGAAAAACCGGCTAACGAAAGCGTCATGTCGTCGGTGCTTCCCCGGCTGACGCGTACGTGAAGAGTCGATGTGGTAATCCGGCTGGAAATAGGGACATGATCTTGGGCCATGGCCTCCCAAACAGTGAGGCTCTCCCCCTTCCCCCCTCCCCCCACGAACTGCCGATTCCAGGTATTCACCCCGTTGCCGTCGCCAATGTGCTGGGCGAGGGTGCTGGGTGCTGGGCGGCTGGCGACATGGTGAAGAATGCTGGTCGTCGAGTGAAACGGCGTCCTTCGTTTTTGCCACTGGGTTGTGGTGGCTCGGCAAAGGTACCCCGCAACACCATGCTGCCCACTGCCACTGCCATGGCCACCCATCAACCATCAAAATACACCCCACGCACCGTGTGGATTGGCTCGAGGGCAGTATTGTACTCGCCGCATCGCGGCTGCATCTTGTCCCCTGGTTCATTGGCGCCGTGACTCCAGACTGACGGTTGCAGTGTGTGTATGTGTGTGTGTGTGTGTGTGTGTGTGTGTGTGTGTGGCAGAATGCAATGCCAACTTTGGGTCGCGGACCCTGACGTCTGCCCTGCCCCGCATCACCAATCCTGCCGTGCCATCGCCATAGCCTTACCCCTCGACAAGGCTCTGCCGGAGAAAAGACGTCATCGAGTTAGGCCAACGCCCTGGTGAAGCCGACGATCATGTCGTAGCCTGATCCTCCGTCGTGGATACATGCCCGAGGCCATGTTGTTGTATGTATGTGTATGCGTATGCCAGACTGTGGCTCCGATGCCGCCGCCACCACCGCCGCCGCTGCTGCTGCTCCTCTCCCACAACACCGGTCGCGTAGAAATAGAGGAGGCGGCGCAATGTCCTGGGCTGTCGCCGCCAAAAAAAAGGGGGGTGCATGGAAACGGGCGGGCGGAAAACGACGATGATGAAGAGGGTGGTGGGCCATAGGGCAGAAACGTCAGGGTCTGCAGCTGCTGCAGCTGTAAACCTGTTCACAGGCTCGTATCGGTGCTGGCGATCAATATATTCCTGGCCACCTGATGGCAGCATGGGTAGCGATAAGACTAGGGCTGCCAGGGCGCCATTGGCCATGTGTGAGTCGCAGCAGACGAAACCGCCTGCAAAGGGAGCTGCCGGCGTGGGCAAGACATGGTAGCTGTGATAGCCGTCGTGTCTATGGCTGCCATGGCGGCGCAAGACCAACTGCTGATCGCCTGAGTGTGTATGGGCGTCTCAGAAGATGGATGCTGGGTGCAGCAACGTGTCGTGATAGTAGCCACATTCTGCCACTTGGCGGTTGCCCCGAGTCTGCGCTGCCATTCGCCCAAGGTACAATGCACCGGCTCGCAAGGACTCCCCGTGTAAGCCTTATTCTTAGCAACCTGTGGCAAACCTCACGTCAAAACGGGGCAATACCAGTCTGAACCATGAGAATAGGAACATGTCCATTATTAGCTACTACTACATACTTGGTGATATCTGGCTACTAAAAATTCCCCTAGTCCCACATCCGTCAACGTCATCCCAGCCTTTTTTTTTTCCATCGCATCATCCCAGGGTCCTCAGACCCGACGTGCATAATCCATTACCCTCAACACCGTCAAGGTGGAGGCCGCCCCCTTCCCGCAAGTGTACCCCGTGTTTTCCCTCGTTCCTTCAACCGTCCAACCAGCATGTATAAGCAGCGCAAAAGCAACGCATGCAAGGGAACATGACGACTCTGTGTTTGGCGGTGGCGTGTGGCCAGGCGGAGCTTTTGCAGCATCCGTCGACCTCGCAGTGGTTGAGTGCGGGCGCTCGTCCGCACAGCGGCGCGCGCCAGCCTCGTTAGGCCGAGACCGGTGGGTGTAGTAATCGTGTCAATCGTGAGATCGTGTATTCTAAAGCGCAAGACAAAACATTCACGTCCTTATTCATCGGTAGTAGCCAGACGACCGCTGCTCGCGGATGTCCCGGGTCGATGGCTCGCGGACCTCGACGGCGTAGTGCTTTGCGTTGCGGCGCTGCTTGGCAAGGTCCTCCTCGTAGAGGGAGCCGCGCTTGGAGTTGGGTGTGTTGCTGATCTCAGCCAGTGGTCGCTTAGCCTTGGTGGTGGTGGGCTGAGGCCAGTCAACAATGTCACCCGATCGTGGTCGAGACGACTTGGTGGTCTTGGTCTTGGGCTCCTGCTCAACCTTGACGGCGTTGCTGCGTCGGGTGGGCGAGGTGGAACTTGTGGGCGAGCGGGGAGCGACGTAGTAGCTGCGGTCCATGGAGACAAAGGGCTTGCGTGAGCGGTGGCGGAGGCTGCGTTCAATGGCCTTGAGGAGACTGCACACCTCGACGTAGCCGGCGGGGATCTCGACACGGACCAGCTTGTTGTTCTCCTCCATGGTCGAGTAGGTGGCTCCATCCGACTTCTGGTAGATGTAGCGGGCCACGTCCTGGGCTAGGCCATGGCCGACGTCACAGAGCTGCTCGTGGTTGCGGTGGACCTCGTAGGGGTTGTGGCAGTGGGCGCACTTCCTGGCGTGCATCTCAAAGTGGTAGGCAGCCCAGCTCTCCGACGTGTTGACGGGACGGCAGAAGGAGATGACGGGGTCCTCGTAGAAGCCAACGACGCGCTCCTTCTTGGGGACGGCCGACTTGGAGGCTACGGCAGTGGGCATGTTTGTGCGTGCAGAGGGCATGTTGGGCGAAGATGGCTCCGGCTTCTTCAGTATGGGCCTGGGGGGAGCCGTGGTGACGTTGGTGCCAAGGTACGGTATTGTTGCGATGGGGTCACTCTCGGGCGGAGAGCGACGGGCGTAGAGTAAGTGGTGTGTTTGTGTGTTGGATGCTTATGGCAGGTGTCTGGACGGGGCAGACAGCAGCAGCGTGGTATATGGGTTGCGGTAGTCAAGGTGGTTCTGGGGGGCCATGATGGGCGCGGGTGGCATGGGAATATATGCCCATGGTCACGACGAGTTGGGTGTGGGTGGAAGCCTGAGCTAGGCTGGGGTTGCCTGCGCCCATCAGCAGGGGTTGGGTTAGCACGTCTTGGTTGGTAGGGGCAGGGGACACCCCTGCAGGGCTAGCGAGGGCGGTGACTGCACCTCCCCCCGAGGGCGTAGATGACGACGGTGTCTTGGGAACTACGACTAGAGACGTGTTTGGGCCCACGGTCAGAGAAACGACGACAGCCACGGCGGGGGGCGCCGCTGATTGGCCGTGTCTAGTCGCTGTGCGCGTCCGCTGTCAAAACAAGGAGGCACTGAGGGCAGCAACACGCGCCGCACAGAGTGCTGAAACGTGTTCCGGTAAGCAGTGTAGACGTATGCTCGACGGCGGCAGTGGTGAGGTTGCTGCTGCTGCTGTTGCACACACGGCTGCGCCCTCTGGCCCCCTTCTGCCATGGGCCTTGGTTCGCACGTGCTGGGGGCAGCTGCCGTCGCTGCCTGCGTCTTGAGGCTTCAGCCACCGCCGCCACCCCCGATTGGGCCTAGCGCTCGCCAGATGCAGCCGCTGCGCACACAGCTGGAGCATAGCCACAGCTGCTGCACCTTGGTTGACCCGCGTCTCAACACGCACACTCGCACACACACTCATACACAGACATTACGACATGACGCTCGATTGATTGTGCCAAAAACGCCCATGTCCGGCTGCGCCTGCTCCAGGCCGGACAGACAGGTGCTTACTTGGCTGGAGGCCCCGCCCGACTACAGGGGAATGGCAGGTGGTGGTGGTGGTGAGAACAGTGGTACCGGCAGACAAAAACAGCAGCAGAAGCAAAACACGGCCAGCTTCGTGGGCGGCCTTGATTGCGCGCCAGCTGGGCGGCTCAAGGGCAGCGGAAGGGCAGCGGAAGGGCAGCGGAAGGGCAGCGGGAAGGCAGCGGCAGTGACAGTGACAGTGACAGCGACAGCGACAGACTCAGCTCACTCGCACTCGCACTCGCACTCGACAGGCGCCGGCCGACGGGCGCGGCGTGCAGGGCGCTACCGTCCCTACCGCGCGTGCAGTCATGGTGCTTGCAGCTTGCTCGTCTTGTCTGACCGGATTTCCTGGCCCCACCGCACGCGTGCATTTGGGCCCGCTGGTGACTCTTTCGGCCTGCACCCTGGGCGGCGCTGGCAGCAGTTCGCCCGCTGCCGAGTCGGACGTGGCACCTAAGGGGCCTCGAGCGACAGAGAGCCCGTCCGCGACACGAAACAAGAAAACCTCGACGGCGCGCTGTGGTCCAATCGCTGCCAGAATATTAACCCGTCCATGTCCTGCCCTCGCCGTCGACGATTTCTGCCACCGGTGACTCCAACCAGCGTGTGGCTGCCCAATCTGCCACGGGCGTGGTTCGCTGGGCTCAGCGCTGCTCTCTCACTCTTGCCCTGCTCTGCGGTGCTCTTGCCTTGCTCTGTCCTGCTCCTGCCCTGCCCGCGCCTGCTCCTGCCCTGCTCCGCCCGCCTGCCCGCCCGCGCCTGCCCTGCCTGCCCTATGACTCCGCCCGCGCCTTGTTCGGTCGGCTCGCTCCGAGTGTGTCAGGCGCCCTCACGCCTGCCCGGCCAGTCTCTCCGCCTCGTGGCTGGCCTGCGACGTTTTTTTCTAGCGCCATGGCTATCCTCGCCCGCTATGCCCGTTGACAGCTGCACACTAGCGAGCAACCCTCGACATGCGAACCATTGCGCAGCCACACGATGCAGCTAATCGACCTTTCAGTGTGCGGTACGTAGCTGCCCGCGCTCCCTGCCTTGCACTGGGGCCCTCGTGGGCTTCCAAACCCCTCTACCAAGCTCTGCGATGCCCGTCTGCCCTCTCCAGAATGACGCCACACTGCGGCGGGACAAGAAACGAGCCCGCACACTTGGCCGCACACGCGCCCCCCCAGCACCCGTCAAAATCCCACGTGACGGCACCCGTCTCACGGCGTGGAACAGCCCGCGCCCAAGTCCCCGCTGTCTCAGTTGCCTTGTCGTGGGCCTTTTCCGGGCCTTTGCCGTGGTGAAGCTTTGCGGAAGAGCGCATCAGCGACGTTGTGCGCAGCCGGCTCATCATGCGGTCCACTGATACGAGGTAGATCTGCCGCCTTCCGGCCTCGGCCATTGCCCTATCGTGGTTGCGCAATGCCCAGCAGGCAGCAGCAACAACAACAACAACAACAACGAGCACTCATGCGATTAATCAGCCTCTTCGGTACGTTCCTGGTCCCGTGCGTCGACGACGACAATGCCACCGCCGCCTCAGGGTTCGCGTTCCATGGGGCCTGCTCGAAGCTTTTTTTTTCGCCTACTCCTCCATCAGGTGACGGTTTCGTCCTCACCGACCACCACACGGCTGCTGGGATCAGCCTCCTGTCTCATCGGCTGTGGCGCCATCTGTGCACATGGTGCACGAAAAAAAGTATCTTGTATGTTTTCCCTGGTTACGTTCACGTAACCCTCCTTCTCTTTCGCATGCTCACAATCAGCCGCCCAGTTCCAAAACTTGACCGGTTGCTTGGCCAATCGTCAGCACCAATCCACTCGTGTGCAAAAGAAACACCAGAGACCGTCGCATACCATCAGCTGAAAAAAAAGGGGCGAGGGACGCCCTTGGATACGAGACGGCGCCAGCGCTGTGAGTACGCGGCCTTGTTGGGGAGGGGGGGCGATGCGGGGTTGCAGGTTCGCGAATAATCTAGTCGCGACTTGACTGGCCATGGCGTTGCTGCGACGAGGCGCGCGACAGAGGAGAAACGTCGCAAGGCGGTGATGGCACTGCAAGCACTGCAAAATGGCGGCGAGGCATCAGGGCATTATCAGCTGGGCTTACCCGTACGTCGGTGAGGTCGCCACGAGTACGGTCAGCCGCTGACTACTACCCCACAATCTGGCGGGCTCACCGTTCCTGTTTGTACGGCCATGGTCGTGCTGGGTCGCTCAATTCCATGGGCGTGCGCGCAGTCGGAGATTTGTTTTGCACATCTCCCCGTGGCCGGCTTCCAAAGTTACGCGACTTGCACTGCGGCGCCTGGCTTCCGGAGCCCCTAGCCCCTCAACAACAACGCTCTTTTGCTCCAAAAAGAAACCAAAATTCGCCTTCTACGCCTTCATACGTCCAAATCCCCTACTTGCAAAGCTGAGACACATGACCGCGCGTTTCAGCACTCGGTCAGCCTTAGCCTGTTCCTGGGCTAGCGTGCGATCTGTGCCCTCACACCTCACACCGCTTTTCACCGAAACTTTCAGCAGCGACAGATTTTGCTTGAAATACCTGTATCCCCTTCGCTTCCTGGACATCTTTCCAAACCCAACCACATCTTACCGGAGGAAAGGACTCATCGCGAAAAAAAAACTGAGAAATGCCACCCCGAAGCGTCTGTCTGAATGTCTTTACCCACAGTCTTGGCGAGGGCAATGGAGCGGTGAACAACAGAAACCCCATGTTGGAGAGAAGAGATAGTGCGCAATGTGGTATGCCCGCCCAACACATGCTTTTGCATGCTCGTACGCCTTTTCCGACACACGATATTGATATTGGAGCAGATATTCCGAGGAGGACGTCCGATGGCACTCTGGTGCCGCCATCCGCCGCCAACTCAACCTCGCCCCCTGCAGCCTTCAACCGCGCAGACCTCTTCCGCTCTCTGCGCCCCATGGCCAGCACCGAGAGTCTCAATGGCTCCTTGACCAGCAAGCGTAAGTTCTATATCTCCCGTCTCCAGTTTGAATGGGGGCGCGATGCAGGAACCCGATTTGATTGGCTGCACTGCATTAGCGCGCACGTGGCGCTCCACTTTACCCACTCCCATGGGGGCCGCCCATAAGGCCTAACACCACGACATGGGAACACCATGACCACCGACGGCTACATACCAGACACAGACGACTAACGTGTAACAGCTTGCACAACATGCTCTGGCCAGCACGCCCGCCGCCGCTGCTCTCGCTGCAAGGCCGCATACTACTGCGACCGCAACTGCCAAAAGTCGGACTGGAAGACGCACCGCAACATCTGCGAACCCGTCGGCCAGACGTACTCTGCGCCGGAGACGCCCAACGTCTCTAACCCAGCAAGCCCGACCACCGAAGCTTGAACCAATGTCGCTTCAACGCACATTCAGACGACATTTGCGCCAGACACATGCCGAGTTGAACTCTCAGTGCTGGACACGACCTTTGACATGGATCCTTGTCAAATGCACCATGCACATGGAAGAGAAGAGGACATTCATGCGGGAAAACAAGACAAACGAAGACCAGCGATCGTTTGATTGCTACGATACTAATGATACGAACACCAACTTGGGCACCGGAGTGGAAAACGGAGGGCGTTTTTTTGGTTACCTTTCTCTTGAGCGTACACTGACATTCCCCAAAGTCTTTACCTAGAAAGAGCGACAAGCATTCAATTGCAACCATGCATAGCGATAGCGGAAATATTCTGAATTCTTTGTTCCTTTCTTTCTTCCAACACTTGTTTTTTTTCTACACGTATATAGATATATAAACAACAAAAGGATGTACTTTCCCCCCCCCCTCTCTCATCTTGAGTACATCATGTTATGTGTGTGCCCTTTAACCGTTGTAGATATCAAGAGAGAGAAGAAAAAAAAAACTCCGATCTTAGATAAGCAAGCATATCACCGACCGACTTCACACCATCTAAGATAAGAACACATATGGAGGCCCTTCACAAGACAAAATAAAAAAAATTGAACAGACTATGCACATACATGTAATGCAGCCCTTTGCACATCTGAAACACAAGTGTGAGGATTTTTATGCAACCCACACGGCCAAATGCCCATGCTGACTCGACACGCCTTCCCGCTCCTACACCGCTTCCGTGTCTTTGGCGTCTGCCACACCCACACCCCCCCTCCCCTCCCCTCTCTTTGCGCTGCTGCTGCTGCTGCTAAAAGCGACTTAACGTACATGTAATTTCTGTACCCTGGGGTATGTATAAGCTGCAAGGGGAAATGCAAGCAAGCATCGACGTGGCATTTTAACCTTTGGCGTGACCGGCGACGACGGACGACCGACGACGACGACACCTTTGTAGGTAGCTCCACCCTTCGGCAGCAGGAGAGAGAAAAAAAAAGCCACACTACATGTAAGTGTGTGGGCATTTGGATAGCCCCCCCCCCAGACCCCCCCGACCCCCCATGCCCCTTGCATCTTGGAAAGTGGGAAACAGCGCATCTCCTCAACAAAGGTAGCCGAGGCGTGTCCAGACTCTTTTCCCCATCTCTCTCTGTCTCTCTCTCTCTCTTTCTCTCTCTCTCACTCTCTCTCTCTCTCCTCTCTCTTTCTCTCCTCTCTTTCTCCGTCTCTCGCTTGGAACGGGAGCGGGGGCCTAGAACTTGGAGAAGGAGGAGGGAGGGGGGAGGCGCCTTTTTTTCTCTCTCGCTCTTGTAGTACATATGCCGAATGGGATTTTAACTTTTGGCGCGGGTTGCACAGAGTCCCGGATTCGCACAACACAGGCCCCGGGGAGCGGCCGGCCGTCCGTCGTCTTTGGTCTCTCGGTGCTGGTGTTGCGAGTGGAGACGTCGGTTGGTTACATGTGCATATGTACATAGTTATGCAGCGGGCGGGTTTTTTTTGTTGAGCCCGGCGAGATCCGGTGTGTTGCGTATACCTACATGAATTGTCTTGGATTGCTGTGTGTGAGATAAAGAGCGAGAGAATGTCTATGTGTGTGTGAAAGTCCGAGGGGAAGGTGGGAAGGGGTGCGTGTGTGCGTGTGTGTGTGTGTGTGTGTGTGTGTGTGTGGGTAGGGCCTAGAATCCCCCCGGGGGCCTGGAGCAAGCTTGGGCGAGGGCTGCATGTGTGGCATACAGCTCATGTGCAGGTGTTGTGCTTCTTTTCTCATGCCAACGGACGCGCCCCACTCCGAATGGGGTAACTGCGAGTATTAGCCAAAGTGGAGTTTTCGTATCGATGCGAGAGCGCTTGCCGCGCACTCGACGCCCTCTAGATATGGTGTGAGAAGCAGAGTGTGACTTGTTAGTATCGAGCCCACACCACCCTCCCAACCCGTGTTGAGCTTCCCGTACGTATGGTTCCGTGTTATTCTGCCATTTCGTACATATGTGCCAATACTAGAGTGCAGATGCGCTACTCTATGTTATCGTCCGATGCACCAGGCCTGGCCAGTTCATGGTACCCCGGATGTTATCGCCTGGGAAGAATACGCCCGTGGGGTCATGTCGTTTCGACGCCTGGCCTAGTCTTGCTTTGTTGGCGACGCCGTAGCCGGATATAACGGGCTGATAGGCATTTGCTGTATGCCATGTACGTGTATTCAGTATAGCCGCCGAGTTGCTTGGCCTTTTGCTGTTGGAGTTGCCGAGACGTCTTGGGCGCTTCTGGATATGGCCTGTTCGTCCTTTTGCTCGGCCCATTCCTCAAGGCCCAGACCCGGAGCGTCTGCCGCCCTTCTCCTGCATCGTCGTACGGGCTTACTAAAGACCGGAAAGCTGATCGACTCTACCCCGCCTGCAACGTAGCGTGAGATGGTTGTTCATCCATTTCATCAGCTCAGTGTGGACTTGGAAGCACTGCGACCGCGTTGTCGAGTGAAGGCCAGCAGGCATGCTTTGTGCTGATCCCGGTGCTGTCTTAGCTGTCATATTCCTAGCGTCTTTGTCCATGAAATTGATGACAGGTACTTTTGGAGAATAGTGGGCCGATTCGCCACATCGACAGGGTCAAAGTATTCGTACTGTGTCGTGCCACTTTGTATCCAGAACTGTATGCGACGATGACAATGTGTGGAATCTTAGTATCCTGCTCAGCTGCCTGCAAAATGTCCCTAAGAGTCTCAATCAGTGTGGACATGTATGTAGCGTATTGGTGTTTGCTGGAGAACAGAGGTCCTGACGAGTTTTGCAGTGGAAGCCTGTGGCGATGCCGAGATTGCTACCGCCACCACGTAAGCCCGGGATAGATCTGAATATGCTTTTTCGCTCACATCCGTGATGACCCCAGATGCAGGAGTAAGCTCGTATAACGTAATGTTTTTCACATGCCATACCGTACTCGTTGGTGTGGCGGTCGATGCCTCTGCCGAGCGTGAGCCTGTCGATTCCCACTGTCGAAGCCTGCTAAGCGTAAGTTTGAATGTTTCAAATAAAAAGGTTGGTGAACATAGGCGCTCACCGACAACTGCAAAGGCCGCAGGGTGTTCGATATTACATAACTGCTTCCACGTATTGCCAGGACCGGGGGCAACAGGTGTCTCATCAGCGGACAGCTTCAGCCTCTTCATTCTCACCAAATCCACTATAACATCATCTTCAATGCTCTAAGCAGGTAACACCGGATGACCTCCACTCTTGACTGCAAATGGATACTGTGAAAGCGTACGAGTAGTCCCAAAGTTGTGATGTCTAGAGCCGCTATAGGGATGAATGGTACAAACCAGTTTATATCAAGCTGCTGCTGTGATCACTATGTTGTTGATGCTGCCTTGGAAAATGTTAAAGTCCAAGGCACGAGCTCAAAGAATTGCACTGTCGTTGATTTAGTGTATTGCACATGTAGTACGAACAGCAAACTCACTGCAATTGAACAGCAGCCTTTGGGGGAATGATTTATGAATAAAACGGTCAGTCCAGGTTTTGTAGATATGGTCACGCTGATTATGGTAGGTGCTTTGGTAATGTTGAAATGTAATGGCTCGAAAACGTCTTGGGCAGGTACGGCAGCAGTGCTCAAGGCGAGAGCGGCAAGTGATTTTTTTGAAAAGCCTCATCGCTATAGAGACTGACAACCGAATTCTTGAAGCTTGTGGTGAAGAATGGAGAAACCGGACTTCCTGTGCAAGTATCATTTTCTTGTTGTACCTACTGCTAGACTTTCCTGCCTTATTCCAGGTGATCTGGAGACGGCAAGCAGTCTAGAAGTGGTGTCCTGATTTACCAACTTCATTCTCTTTACTCCAAAGCAAACTAGTGAGCATGGGGGCCACCTTCCTTCAAGCACTCTGCAGTATGTATAGAAGCGATGTAGCCCATCTGTCCAATCAGACGCCTTCAGGTTGTTCTTCAAAACGGCAGCAAGGGACGCTATATGCAAATCGTGTGACCGAGATTCTTGAAGCGATGCGTTTCGTATGACCTATATTGCTACTGAGGTGAACTCCCTGTAAGAACGCACAGAAAGATATGATGTGGAAGCGTTGCTGCCCGATGAGAGTGTACTTTCAATTCCCCTTTAACCATGGCTGCGACGCTGCATCGCCAAAGGTATTCGTATCAAAGACTCAAATGTGAACTAGAGAGACACGGTTTGCGCTTGCATTCGCATGAGTAAATGGCCACATTGCAGAAGAGGAAATAAGGGTGATGTTGGCCTGAGGTGTGAAGTGGGATGCAGAAATTGGGCGGGGATTGCAATCTTAAACCTCCTCGGCCCGCGGTTTCCCGAACATCGTGGCGCAGCTTGCGGCGCAGGGTATGAGTCGATGCTTCCCATTAGCTTTTTGATGATCCATAAATGAGGTTTGGAGGAACGACCGCAAATTTCCTAACGGGCTCGTCCCCTCAATGACCTAGTGGCTGCTTCAATCTATGATTAAGGTTAATGCTAAAGCAGTTGGCTGCACAACGTAACAGGGTGCGTAGTAGAAGAAAATGTAATAGATATGTGTGCTTAATCGATAGTAATATTAGAGAAGTTTCTTATATATGGAAATTGATATTGTGTTAAGAGGATTCCAGTTTAGCGGCACGTATCTCAGGTAACAAGTTATCAGGCTGAGCTTGTGGTGAAGCAATGCTTCGCTTTATTCCCACCACTGACTTCGTTGCCAATAGCGCCAACAGTTTTTTCTTCTTCAAATCTTCAACTATGCAGCTGATCAATTTGTAAGATTATGAAACGAGAATTTGCAAGAAACAAAAGAGAGATACGACCGTCCTTGGTTTTTGATAGCGACAACCAGGTACCCAAATAATCACGGGCTGTTGGTTCAAATGAAACAGTGGTGTAAACCCTTCACTTGAACCCTGCAGATATGCCTCTGGCTCATGATCAGTATAAACAATAGGAACATTCCAAGTCCAGCAACCACTAGGAAAGACTTCTCGTTCTGAGTTTGCTGTGTCCCTGATTGGAAATTGTGCTATAGGAAAAGGTGCGATGAACCATTGATCATCACAACTCAACACATTTCCATGTTTCAGAAGCCGTCAGTCTACAAACATTTTACTCTCCCCCCACTTCGCTACTATACAACTCATACCGAACCTTTGCCTTTCTGAGCAGCGCCAAGCAGAAGCAGATAGCCAAGCAAAGCACCAAGCTCACCCCAGGTTTATCCACCAATCAGCCCGCACCACCTCAATCCACTCTGTAAAACTATATGTATCCAAGTACCGAGTCAGAAAAAAATTATTGCTTTTCTAAAGTCCAAAGGTACAACTAGTAGAAGAAAAAAAGAGCATCAACACCATCATGGCGAGCCCCTCCATCGTGGATTCGCTCAAGAGCGCAAACCTCCTCCCTTCATCCATCATCCCCGACTCCTTCACCCCTACCCTCGATCTCGCAGTCAAATTTCCCTCTGGGCTTTCTCCCGAAAAAGGCAGCCTTGCGCGCGTGACCCAAATCAAGGATGAGCCCGTCATCAGCATTTCCGCTACCCCCACATCTTCATCATCCTCTACCTTCACATTCATGATGATCGACCCCGACGCCCCAACACCAGATGATCCTAAATTCGCATACTGGCGCCATTGGATCGTAACGTCGATCCCAGCCTCATCTACCGACGACATCATCGCAACCGGGAAAACCATAACGCCGTATCTGGCGCCTGGCCCCAAGGACGAGAGCGGTCCGCATCGGTACTTGTTTCTGCTTTTTGAAGAGAAGGAGGGCAAGACTATTGAAAAGGTGGAGATCGGGGGCGACGAGTTTGTGGAGCGGAGGAGTTTTAGGGCAGAGGAGGTGGTGCGGAAGAAGGGGTTGAGGCTGGTGGGCGTGCAGTGGATGAGGGGCGTGGGGGATGGGTGGAATGGAGGAAATGATGAGCCGTGAGAAGAGAGTTCGTGGTAGCTTCTATCTAATATTGCTGCATATATTTGAGACTCTCCCAACAGTTCTCCAGAAAGAGTTCTAATATATATGTTAAGATCCAGCCTTGAGCTGGTTCTTTCTGCGAACAATACTTCTCGCTCTGACAGTTTTGAACACAATCCGTGGATTCCCACTCTTTGAAGACCATAGCAAGAATTCCGTTAGATACCGAGCAAACCACACGTCCCCAACAGCGCATGCAATCGACGTATTGCGTGAATCACCCAGCCGAATCCACACCTTAAACAACCACAACATTGACAGCATCTCCTCTTTCAAACATCAGAACCCTGCTATCTTGCCCTACAAGCTCCAACAGCAACCAGAGACCTAAATCACCGTATCCAGACAACACACAGAAAGACGCCGCAGCAAACAGCGTGAAGAAACGCTCACTTTTCTCGAAACCAGCACATCCAATCATGCCAATACACAAGCAAAGCTGCACAAGTCCCAGCTTATATTCTATAAATAAACCCTGCAGACCACATGATACCACGAATAAAAACCTCATCAGTACACGAATCGAAATATGTGCATACAGTTGATCTCATAATCCGGCACGCACTGAATACGGTGAGTAAAGCTGCAAAGCTGCTTCTTTATCCAGATGATCACCTTGATAATAATATTATTTGTCCATCAGTGATAGGTGTAGAGCGCCACATGTACACCGCTTACAATGGCATCTCATATCTTGTTTCCTTGCGATGTGAAGGATTAAGTTAAAATGTATTTGTTTCTGGTGCATATCAGGCAGTGTTGCTTCAATGCACGAAATGCAAGAGGGAACTTGTAGACCCGGAAATGAGATTTAAACATGTCCTCAACACCTCCTCCTTCCTAAATGATAGCCAGACTCCACAAGTCCATGTGAAATGGTGCAAGATGCGTGGGACACCTGCTGTTCCTCATCCTGTCCAATCTTACCAACGCAGCCATCACATCCCTATTTTAAGTCATATTTCTTGGCGGGAGTGTATGCAATTGTGAAACTATGTAACAGTACTGTATATGTAATATCCTGCCGTCAGTCTTCTCAACATATTAACCAATCCTCCCGGTTTTGCCCAGCGACACGGATTTCCGATATCCATCCATTTAGGAACTACCATTCCAAGCGAACCGCGTCGAAATAATATACTTCTTCTTCTTGTTCTTCGTTTCGATCATCACCAATTACGCCTTAACCTCCTTCAGCTTAATATGCAATCCGCCCTTAGGCCTAGCCGTAATCCCACCCTGGATCTCAACCTCATACGCGGGGTTCTCAAATTCGAATTCAAATTTCCCCACAAAGGCAGCGACCAAGCATGCGAATTCGGCCTTTGCAAAGTCCTTGCCGATGCAGCTCCTCGGGCCGTGTAGGAAAGTCGTAGTGGCGTAGTTGCTCTCGGCGCCGCCCGTGTTGGCGGTGCCAGGCTGCATCCAGCGTTCTGGGTTGAATTCGCGGGCGTCGGGGCCCCAGAGATGTGTCGAGGTGTTGACGGCCCAGGGACAGATGACGAGGGTGGTGCCTGCGGGAATGAAATGCGAATTGATTGTCGTGTCGTGAGCTGCTTCGCGCAATGTGAGTGGTACAGGAGGGAAGACGCGCATGGTTTCTTGGAGGACGGCATTGAGATAGGGCAGACGATCGATTTCCGTCGAGGAAACTTGGCCACCGTTTTCGAGTGCTGAGGACAGCTCTGCGCGGATTTCCTGTCGGAGGCGTGCCTGGACGTCTGGGTGTCGGCATAGGAGATAGACGGCCCAGGACATGGCCGAGGCAGTGGTTTCGTGGCCTGCAGCAAGGAAAGTCATGAGCTGGTTGACCAGATCCTCGTCACTGAAGCCACCAGACTCCATGGCTACACTCAGAATATCCAGCCCCTTGGCCTCTCCGCTTTCCATCTTTGCGCGCTTCGAACGAATCAGGTCTGCGGCTACACTTTTGATGGTACGAATTGCACTTCCAATCTCGTCGTTCCGCTTTAGAGGTAGGTTGGTAGCGAGCCAGTGCGGGAGCAGTCCAAGGATAACCTGAACGAGCTGTGCACCACGGGTGTTGCTGAAGATTTTACGGTATGTCTCGTAGAGTTCATTGTTAGGATGCGTGATGGAATCAAAGTCCTTGCCCATGCCAGCCACGCCAATAATGTCGAGCGTGGCGCGGGAGGCCCAGGATCCTATTTCAATAACGGATGATGTATCGGGACTGCTGTTGATCGTCTCGGAAATCTTGTTGGTCATTTCTTGGGATTTGCCCCAGAAGATCGGGTACAGGTCCTTGACATGGCGGAAGTTGAAAGCAGGCATGAGGTGTTTCCTCTGGCGCTGCAATTGGTTAATATCGAGATAAATATCTGCTGAAGCTCATCACGGCGCTTGAGGTTCCAGTAGGGCAATGCATACCTTGTGCTCATCGCCTTCAGCAAGCAAAACACCAACCCCAAGTACTCTTCCCAAGCCGACCCTTAACCTCGCCGGCTTGATAAAGTCGTAGCTCCTGTGCACAAGGACCTCGGCGAGGGCCTTTGGATTCGTCACGAGCACCCGAGGCTCATTGAACAGCCATCGGTAATACAAGACGCCATCATTCGGCAAACTGTCGATCCAGTCTCTCTGCGGCTCCCCTGTAGGCTCCTTGTAGATCCTACGGAAGTGGCCAAGTAAAAAGTGCGAGTCCTATTACCAAGAAGCATGAGTATATACGTCTTGCAGATAACTCTCTCAGCCTGCTCTGGCCGTGGCTGAAGAAACAAGCAGCACAAAGAGAATGCGACCAAACACTCACCGGAGGAGACGGAAGCTTCCTCAGCGGGGTCAAAAATATAGGATACACAAAGACGTCCCAGGCCAGCTGCGCGAAATACAGAATGGCAAACACAGACGCCGTGTTCTTGACGGGACTCTTGGCAGAGAAGGGCGTGACGCCGGGCGCATACCGCGAGCTGAAGAAGGTGAATGCCGCCGAAGCCAGGAGCAGCAGTCGTTTAGACACCGCCATGACGGGGTTTGGGGGCGCAGGAGAGGTGAGCGGGGGTTATGCAGCGGCTGGGCGATACGTTGGTGTGGCGATGGGTATGGGGGTGCTGGCTACGAGGCGATAAGGCAGGGGGGTTCCGCCAAAGCGCTAAGTAAAAGCTTGTGATACAGTGGCGAGGTCTACCTCGACAGTGTTTGGCATCCGACAAAGCAGGGCAATGCTATATATATATATATATATATATGTACAGTGGCTGAAGGAGATGGGGATGAGGACGAGCGAGCTGTCCTCTGCGACGCAGATGTCGAGGGCGTTGCTCTTTCAGGCAGCCCACACAGTTCCTGTTTCAGCGGAGGTGTCGCTATCGGCCAATCAGATGCGTGGCGACGCGGACAGCGACTCCAGTCGGCACAACGTCTTGCCGACTGCTGCGCCACAAGGCAGACCTCATTGGAGCCGGCTTGCGAAGTTGTGTTCCGAGGACGAAATCCGTTTCCTTGTTGGGTGCTGCATGTATGCGAGGTCGTGGGTGTAAAATGGATGCCTAGATGTTGCGGCAATAGCGGCGGACGAAAAATGTTACTTACGCGTGGCCTCTGAGTAAACTCCATCATCGTCTTACGGAGCTGATTACCCGCAAGGTCTCGTGGATTGACTACAGTCAGGCTGAATCGTACTGTGTTGATTGTGTTCGTGATATTATGTTGTTACAAGCCCAGACGACGAAACGGGCTCCTAGGAATTAGGCCCTCCGCCCCTATACACCCCTCTCTCCCCCCTCATCGTTTACGCCGTACACCCTTGCCACCTCCCGCGTTGCCAGGCTTTCTGCCAGAACTTGTCCCTTGATCTCGCCCCTGGGCTTCCTCGTCTCTGATCAACAAATCCTCTTCGCCATACTCATCCCCAGATTCCTCCTCATGCTCATCGCCCGACTCATCCCCAGAATCGTCTTCCGAATCCTCCACCGCTGGCATCTTTGCCAAATGCCCCGCCGTCTGCTTGTTCCACAGCTCCGCATACTTTCCCCCTTCATTCCTCAGTAGCTCCTGGTGTCTACCTCTCTCGATGATCTCGCCCTTTTCCACAACCAAGATCTGGTCTGCATCTGCAATCGTGCTCAGTCTATGCGCAATCACAAACGTTGTGCGGCCCTGGCTTAGTTTGCTGAAGGCTTGCTGGATGAGTGCCTCGATGGAAGAGTCAATCGCCGACGTTGCTTCATCCAGCAGAACAATCTTGGGGTTCTTGAGGAGCACGCGGGCAATGGCTATGCGTTGTAGTTGTCCACCCGACAGCCGTACCCCGCGTTCGCCCACCTTGGAGTCGTAGCCATCTGGAAAGCTGACAATGTCGTCGTGGATCGCGGCGGCGCGGCAGGCATCTTCGATTTCGGCGTCAGTGGCGTGGAGTTTGGCATAGCGGAGGTTCTGCCGTATGCTTTGGTTGAAGAGGACAGGGTCTTGAGGAACGACGCCGAGGGCCTCGCGCAGACTGGCTAGCGTCACGGAGCGCAGGTCTTGTCCGTCAATCACGATGGAGCCGCTGGTTACATCGTAGAAGCGGAAAAGAAGTTTGAGCATGGTGGATTTTCCGCCGCCCGTTTCACCCACAAAGGCAATGGTCTGACCGCCCGAAGCTTTGAGATTGACCTTCTTGATGATGGGCTTGCGCGGATCATAGTGGAATTCAACGTCCTTGAACTCCACCTCCCCAGTGTGAACAACGAGGTCCTCGGCGTCCTCCCGGTCGGGGACAGAGGGCGAGGTGTTCAGCAGCTGGAGCAGGCGCTCCGCGTCAATCAGAGAGGCCATGATTTGTCGGTAGCTGTACGAGAGAACGTAAAGTGGCGCAGTCATCGTACTCCAGTACATGACCAGAGTCACCAGGTTGCCAACTGGCTTTTGCCCTGTAACAATCTGTGCCATGCCGAAGACACAAGCGCCGGCGAATCCAAAGGTTGTCACAATATCCTGTGCAGCATGCCCGCCATAGGATCTAAAGTAGTACTGGTATTGCGACGAGATGGTGTTCATAATGTTCTCCGCATAGCGCTTGTACTCATACGACATGCGGTTGAAGTAAGCGACCGTCTGCCAGTTGTGTACCGTCTCGTTGACTGTCGAGTGTTCGCTTCGTTGTTTCTCCACATAGTCTCTTCGCTTGGGCTGCGAGAGTGACGTAAAGTAAAATCCAATAGCCATGTATGTGGCGCCCATGAAGAGAATGATGAAGGCCATGTACGCATCGAACAGGTGCGTGACATAGTACATGGCAACAAAGAGATCCAGGAAGATGGGCGCAACATCGAAGAGCACCATTTCGATCAACATGTTCAACGAGGACGCCTGCTCAACGGCCTTCAGTACCTCGCCCGAGTCCTTCGAAGTGTGGAAATCCATGGAAAGACCCATGACGTGCTTGTAGGCCAGCAGCGTAATGCGTTGATACGCAGAGTTGGAGATGACGAGATTTGCGATGCCATCTAAGATGCCAACTCCGCCATAACTGTTGATCCATGAAAACAACACCCATAGCCCGATGTCTTTCCACGGCATCTCACCACTCTGTGTGTCATAGGCATGCTGTAGTTTGGTCGTGATGATACCGAGTTGTCGAGGCGTAAGTAGGTTGAGAGCCCGCTCTTGCAGCATATGAATGAGCCGCACGCCGAGAACGGCCATGACTTTCCAGTCGTCCTTTGGAAATAGATACGGCAGGAAGACGGCGAAGCCTTTCAGATAGCCGAACCAGCCACCGTGCTCTTCGAGGCGCTTCGCTTGTTGTGCCTTCAGTTCGTCGTTATCGTCGTCGTCGCCGAAGTCGCTGTCGAAGTCCTCAAAATCGCTGAAATCACCTGGGGGGATGGCGCCATATCCCATGGGGCTGAATGAAGCAGCCGATCCGCCTCCACCTCCACCTCCACCTCCACTTTTTTTCTTTCCCAGCAGCGATTGGCACTCTTCGTCGATGCTCACTTCAGTCTGTTTGGTGACAAGGACAACAAATGCATCCACCACCAAGAGCAGCGAAGCAAGTGCTCTGATGTAGCCAACAACCATGGGCAGATGGACATGTCCATCTTCCGACGCAACAGAAGCCATGATCAAACAAATTGTCGTCTCAAAGGCAAACTGCAGAACGAATGCGCCAAAGTATGCATGCCAACGCAGCGACTTGCTTGACCACAAGATGCATGACAGCGGGCCCCAGACGAGTATCGAGCCCAGGCCCCGTATCACCAAGAATTGCGGCGCTGTGTAATTTCTCTCGCGTATCGCCCGACCGATGTAGTAGAGGACCTCTGTGATGAATGTCATGAGTATTGTAACCATAAAGGCCATGATGCTTCTCCGCCTCTTCTGTGGTACTACTCGCGGTTTGTGTAGAACGCAAATGCTGAAGAAGCATGCTCCTAAGTAGTAGAAGCCCACCATGGGAGCGTTCATGTAGCTCAAGAGCGACATGGCGGCGTAGGATGGGGGCGGAGACATGTCGTGGTCCATGATGGCGGTTGCAGTGGTCCTATTGAGATATCGGTCGTACACGGCCAGGCCAGTAGTGGCGAGGCTGAGACGGCGATGATGTTACTGTTAAGTAGAGGTTGGAGCCTTAGGAATGTAGTGTTGGCAGGCAAAGAAGGAATAGCGTTACCGAGCCTTCTGATGCGGCTGTAAGTCTGCAGCACCGCCACAAGGCCGTAATGCGCTTGCTGACAGCCGGCGCAGGCAGCCACAAAGAGAGGGTATATTAGCAGATGAGCTGGATGCAAAAGGAGAATTTTTTTCCGCTCGAGTTGGTGGCCGTCGAGGGCGTGCCATGCTGCGACTTATACCGAGCAGCCAGCCAGCAGCGCTTTGATCTACAACGCAAATCGCGATAAACTCTTTTCCGACGGCGTCATCTTACTACGGGTACGCAGCGTATAATCCAGTAATTCCCGCGCACCAGGCCGCAGTCGTGGTCCAGTGAAGAGGCTGCGACGCCCCTTTACGAGATTAGGTGGTGTGGCGAATGAGGGCACCAGCGCTGCTGAACCAAGCACTGCACCGTCAAGCTGACTCACCGCTGCCACAGCCTGGCCATTATTGCGTCAATCATGGTGCTTGTCGGGGGCGTTGGTGGGTCGCATGCTCTGTTGCAGCCAGTACACACACCCTGGTCGTATATGCGTATAAGAAAGACCGGTGAGAAGCGCCGAGCATGGCAAAGAGTAGACTGGATGCCTGTCCTACGGCTGGTGGAGCCGGTCCATGTAAAGTTTGCCGACACAGCTGTCAGCGCGCAAAGGAAGTACAGCGAGAAATTGAAGCCAAGGATGTGGTGGTGCGACTCATCGTGAGTATCAAGATGAAGATGTGTCTCGAGGGGTGGTCAGGCCGGGGTAGGGTTACGTGCGACAGATGTGGTTAACCTGCATGGACGCGCAATGACCCAGGACGCGCAATGACCCACCCCACCAAAAAACCTATTGCAAAAGATGAGGCTGTACAGCCACCCACAGTCGCTATTATCACGAGATTTTATGGTGTTGTAGTAATTATAGCATTGCAATCATGATAGGCTACTTGTATCTACTTAGTAGCTTAGTAGTACGGCCGTGGCGGGTGGTCTAAGTTGGGACGGCTAGTGCAGCCACCTCAGCTTGTACATAAGATGAATCAACAATAACACGTTTCTGACGCTTCTGCTTTTGAGAGGAGCCTTGTGAGGCTTTGCGCTTACCCCTTTGGGATAATTGTATAGCTTTTTCAGCCTCCCGGGCTGCCTTTCGAGCCTCCTTTTGAGCCACCTTGGCGGCTCTCTCCTTCTCTCTCACCTCCTTGAGCCTCTCTCTCTCAACACGCTTCTCTTGGGCTATTTAAAGCTTGTACAATTGAGCTTGTCTCCTTAACTTAGATCTCTTAGCTTTCTAGAGTTGTAATTGCTGTTGTTCTTGTTGTCGTTCTATCTTATTCTCCTTGGCTTGGCGAACCTTCTTAGGAGACCAAAAGACAGCTCCTCTATGGTACTCCTCAGGCCTATTGAGTTGAAGCGTGTAGCTCTTCTTTTGGTGTCTCTTTTTGACCTTTAGAGCCTCCCTTAAGCCCTAGTTTTCTCCTTTAAGTATACTATTTTGAGCTGAGAGGTGATGGAGGCTTCGGCGAAGCTTTTTTACCTCCTTATTATTGAAATCCTTCACCTCCTGGCGTATAATAGACTTAATTTTGAGCCAATCATCTCCACTAAGGACAGAAGAAGAGCTTTTATCTAAACTAGAGGCCTCTTGTTAGAACTTTTGGAGAATAACCTTAGCATTTAGTGGGTTAATGCTAGTTGCCTTAAAGGAGCTTATAATAGTCTCCTTTCTAAAAGCTGTATCCCAAGCCCTCTAAAAGAGCTTAAAGAAGTCTCCTTTTGCTAGAGGAAGGATTCTATAGCTCTAATAGAGGAAGTTTGACAACTCCTTTGAGTAGGCTGACGCTAGAGGCCCAAACATCCCAACGTCAAGAGGCTGAAGCCTATAGGTTGAATGAGGAGGATATACAGCAACTAGAATCCTATAGCTGTTGCAATAATCTAGAAAATCTATGGTTACATGAGATAAGTGGCCATTAACAATGAGTAACTGGTACCTAGTTCGAGCGTAGCGTGCAGTCTCTCTTTTAAAGACCTCTTTAAGCCAAGCTAGGCCTATATCATTGTTAGACTATCTAGAGGGCGATGAGGTAACAAAGACTAAGTGCTTGTTTGGATTAATAGCCTCTACCTAGGCTGATTTTAGAGCTCCAGCATCTGACTAAAAGATGAGAGATAGAGAAAGAGGTGTACCATCTAAGCAGATACAGGCTAGGACTGTAATCCACTCTCTAGAGCCATCTTGTAGGCTTGAAACAACTCCTCCTCTTTCATATTGCCTCTTACTAAAGTGTTACGAACCTAAGGAAGGGAACAGCACAAAGATAAAGAAAGAAGAAAGGAAGAAGCCCATGTCAAGGCCTCACGAAATAACAAGAGCATATAGACCAATGACGCATAAGCGCCCCGCGTCCCACGGTCTTAGCAGAACGCCACCATGAGACAAGTCACGTGTGTCCCACAGATCCCACGATGTCCTACGAAGTACCACGCATGGGACAACATAATACATGTAGGACAATATGGAACATAGGTCATTCCTTTAGTATATAGCATAGGCATTAAGCCCTTATAGCTTAATGTGTTTAACTTAAGTTTTAAGTACAAGTATAATATAGAGAGTTATTCTACTTGCACGTTACTATCCTCGTTTGCACCCTGTCACTCTATCTGCAAAAACCAACCAACAAGAAGATCAACACCAGAAGTCTTATATTACTTCCACTTGATCTATACTCTTAACATAAAGATCCTTTTAGACCTTCTAAGGATTCTAAGTAAGAAGCCCTTTTTATCTATATTGAAGATGTAAGAGGGCTGTATATTGTACTCCTTTATCTTATTGTGTAACAGCTCAAAGTACAACCTATACTTAGTTGCTGAATCAGCCTTGTGACGCTTCTAGTCTATAGGACTCTGCTAGTGAGAGATAAGATAAGAGGAGTTCCTGCAGAGGAACCTAGAAACCTAGCGTTCTAAAACGTCTCTACTAAGCAAAGATGACGCAAAATGGCGTGTTATTAGACGCGAAGGTGGTATACGCCTCTTAGTAAGGGATTTGATGTACTGTACAAGCTCCTTTTCGCGTTGTGGGTGGATAGAGAGGTGGGCGAGCGCGCGAGGCTGAGTTTTGCCTTAGTGTCTTCGAGCGAGCGTACGATAGCTAATGCTAAACCTTTTTGCAACTTGGCGATAGCTGAAAGATGCGCCTAGTTCGCGCGATTCAATTTCTTTAATCGCTTCCTGAATTAGGTCTATATTAGTGGAGTTATGAGGTATTTTGTGTAGGTGTTGAGTTTGGTAGGGTGGGTCATTGCGCGTCCTGGGTCATTGCGCGTCCATGCAGGTTAGCGCCATGATCCGCATGGAGCGAGCGTACCGCGTACCAGGACATGTTTTACACGCAATACGCCGCAGAAACAAACGCTCGCCAATCGGCATGCACCCAGCGCTCTATGCCGATTCTCTTGTCCTTGGGATACTCGGTTGCTGGGATCATGTCTTTGTTCACGGTTGCACGACGACCCTGCTCTCTCTCCTTGACTCGATTCACCACACCTTTCCACCATGCAGGGATCATGACGCCCTTTGATCGACTTCTCCCAGAGCGTATGCATTTGTCAATGCCCTACGACCTCTCACTGGTATCGAAAAAGCTGGCTGCCCTGCTAAAGAGAGGGAACTAGGCTATGCCAGGCCCTAGGGCCCGTCAAACAGCCCGTGTCTGTCGCCCAGAAGAGCTATACCCAAAACCTCTTGTCGTTGCGGCGCGGACTCTCCCAGACCCACAGCCCCGCTTGTTCGCATGGAAAAGGACGGGTAGTCTGACGTCCCTGCTCATCCAGTGCTGCTGATCACGGCTGCACGCTGATCTGAAACTCGAATATATCCCAAGAACCAGGATGAGCAACTCTGCGATCCGATACCCAGCACCAGTTCTACCCGGAATTCCGCATATGTTGTATCGGCCTTTTGACATTTTGCTGCTATCCTCGGACTTTGCACACCTAGAGAGCAACATATGCGGCTCACCTCGTTGCTGTGAAGGGCAATATCTCGAGGTCGAGATCCAGCAAAGGACTTGACTGCACTATGATGCTAGCAAGAAACGCCCTGCAGACTGGCCAACGCAAGAAGCGCCTTCTCACAGTGACAGAAATGCCAGGCCCGTTTGTCTTTACTAACCTGACCTTGTCGTACATGTGACTGTACAAACCACTTGCTCTCTTCAAGTACGTGTTGGGGTCTGATGCATATAATCCAAACATATGACTTTCTCCTCTGTAATCAGGTTTCCAGTACAGCTCACGCTCTGGCTCGGTGCTGCAAGAGTGCAAACGGCCAAAGTCAAATAGCGTTCTGGTCTCTTCACTGCACAACAACTCTTCACCAGCTGTCCCCGTATTGTTGATTGCTCTCGACAATACTATCCGAGCTCTTCACCGCTGCAAGCAGATACTCGGATCTATAGGTGTCAGTTGGATCCATTTCTCACTGTCTACCCCCCTCATCGATATCGCTCTCTAGCACAACAGTCAACCCAAGCCAACTCAGTCTCTATACCAAAGTGCTTGAGCAACATGTCCGACCGAGGCGCCACACCACCCATGCTGGCTCCAGCAAACGACAAGAATGATCCTACCGTAACACCAGGCCCTCACCACAGCGCTCCGGACGTGCGTCTGACGCCCGTACCCGCAGGCTCCAGCCGCCGCCAGCGCACCCTACTTCTCAGTACTCCAAAGCCCACGCCCAGCCCGTTTCCACTGCGCACACCGCGCACGCCCGGAAACGCAGCGCTGAATCCGTGCACCGTAGACGAGTCACTGTATGCAAAAGTCACCGTGCACACGGCAAAGTGTACCGAGTGCGACAAGCGTAACATGAACACCATGCGCCGCTGTCCAGGCTGTACGTTCCAGGTGTGCCAGCCGTGCTATCAGAGGCGGGAGCGCGAAGGCAAAGGACTGGTTCATGGCAATATGCCCACGCCCAGCGGTACCCTTGCAACTAGCAGTGGCGGCAGGAAAGCGAGAACGAAGCCAGTGCCGAGTCTGCTCAGTGCCAGGAACCTGGAGAAGAAGATCCCAGGGTCCAATCAAGAGCAGAACATCGTTCAGATGGAGATAGATCCAGCGCCACCTGCGTCGAAGTCGACAAAAGCCAAGAAGCGCGCAATGAAGAAGCCTCGCGTCGAAGACAGCGACGTGGAAGAGTCGTCTGGAGATGAATTCGAACCAGATGATGCATCACCGACACGCAGCAAGTTCCGGCGGATGAACCTCTCCTTCGCGGAAAGCGCCTTAGCGACGGCCCTCAGAACACCGCCGTCCACACGCGCAGCTCGGAGATTGAACGCGGCTCCAGTGTGTGAAGAACCTTCGCCGACAACAGCAACAGCAGAGACGTTTGATCACCAGATTACTGCCCACTATACACCACCCGAACATCTACGCAACGACATCTTATACCAGCAAGCGATCCAAGGCTACAACGAACCGTTACTAGGTCGGCGGGAGCCCGTCCTCTCCAACCCCGTTGCCCACATTCCCGCGATTGTGCAGCGTGGCGGCCAGCCTCGGCCCTCCGCCGAAGAGATTTACGGGAACATCCAGGCCAAGCTTCCGGAAAAGCTGTCCAAGATCAAAGGGCTTGGAGTGGCTGAGAATGATGCATGCTCGTTCACTGTCCGAGCTTGCGTCGAGCAAGAAGCGAGGAAATACCAGAACGGCATTCTCATAGATGAGGATGAAAATAAGGCTTTGCTTCATGCCATGGAGAGTGCTGCGTTGCTATGGGGAAAAAAGACGTACAGAAAGCTGGATCCAGCTATGCAGCAGATGCTGCGGACTGGGTTGAATCTGCGTCTTGACAAGATCGATGGCGCGTACATGGATGAACTGAGGGACTTGATGGCCGAGCATGCAGATCGTATGTTGAAGGAGTTGGCTGGAAATGATGCGCGCTCCATGTCGCGGCCGCTTCCGTCCGGACAATAAGCCAAGTCAACGTAGGGTGGTATCTTGGCGTCTGGTACATAGGTGATGGACCTGTTTCAGCTGTAGCATCCTGAGATTTTCTCCTGGTCATGTCTCTGTGGGTCTTCCTCCCTAGATCATTTGGTAAATTCAACCACAGTAGGGCGTGTAGAGTTGGGTCTTGTACGATAGGCTTGCATTATGCGGTTGATGGCTGTGTGCCATTGTAATACACATCTGACAAATGCATAAAAGATGCTGTAGAATGATATGAAAATCGCTATGCTATGTAACACAAACGAAATATGTGAGTAGTAAGGCCAACGGCCCTTGCACAGAAGAAGCAAGCAAAAGGGAAGTATTATGGGTATCCGGAATAGGAGGTCATACGATACTGAACAGAACAAGTACTGGAAAAGAGCAAAAGGTCTCTGTCTATAAAACCAGAGACAAGCGCGTCGTTGACTATTGTGTTGTCGTGTGTTTATCGTTGGCCAAACTGTATCGTCAGTTTGCCATTGGCTGGCTTGATCTGGTCCAGCTCGTCTTCTCCCTGGTTGCCTACGGCATTTTCGAGCCAGGCTGTTTCGTCGTCGTCGTTATCGCCAGTCGAAGCCGGGCGGTTGTGTCTGACAGACTTGAAGCGCTCGTTGAAGAGGTGGGCATACTCGTCGTTCTTGGAGGGCTGCTCGGCAACTTCAGGGAGGGCGTTGGGTTGCGAGACTGGAATCAGCTGCCTGCAGGGGATGGGCGTTAGAGCGAGTACCGTAAGGCTGGACAGGAACCCGAGGCTTACTCATTTGTTTCCGCGCAGATGCGCTCGAGGTTCTCGCGCTGGCGGCGAAGCTCCTCGGGGTCCGGCTGGGGCAGATGGTGAGTGCTGCTAGCGGTGCCGTAGTTGGGCTGGTACTGGTCTCCCAGCAGATGCGAGGAATCCGAATGCTGCGCAAGCCCATGTCAGCTACTCGGCCATTCGAACAGCGTCTGCGCGAGGACTCACGTCTATATCCGAAGTCCGCTGCCCTCCCAGGCACGACGCGCAGACACCCATTGTGATGAAGCTGATGTGTACGGCAGGGACCAAAGGGGTGCGGCTGGATGCAGACGGGTGGAAGCAGGGACTCGAAGGTTTGGGTGGGATGCGGTAGCGTGAAGGCGCAGGCACCTAAACAAGGCGTGCTGCTCTGCACGTCGTCTGGTACGGGCGCTGCGTCGTCAGGTTGTGATGATCGGCGCCAGAAACATCCGATGTCTTGGCGTGAAGAGCCGCCTCTCCGCCCGTGCGCGCCTCAACTATTCCTGTGCATACATGGAGGAGACATTGCTTGGTGCTCAGCCTCGTCACGTTATCCGTGGCCCCTGTGTAGGTCTTGAGCCTACACAGCCCTGACTACACACCCCTGAAAGACCCGCGTCATGGCCGACGACATGATGGGTTTCCCCCCCTGTATCTCGACCAATCTTAGGCAAATTGCTATCGTGCCGTGGATGAAATGGAATTAGACCATACAGACTTTCCATATCTCGCCGGTTCATGACATCCTATGCTGGGAGGATGATCATGCAATCAATGTTCTTGAAAGCAGAATGAGTTGGCAAGAGATGCAATGCCTCTCATTAGTCGCGGCACTGGTAGCCCCGACATCTTCTCCAACCGCCAAACAGGTGCTCGTAGATGGCCATGTCCAGACTGCCCAAGCAACCGGAAACCGCATTGGGTAGCAAGGCCATCCTAGACACGAGTTGCGAGGCGAACCGCTGGTAGTGTCCCACGGTCAGCACGCTATGTGGTTCATCGAGTATGGCGTATTCGGCGCCACTGCCATGTGCCACGACAACCTTTGCTACGTCGGGCACAACTGAGAGATTAAAGACGATGCATGGGCTTTAGCGCCCCTGTAAGCCGTGAGCATTGTCGTTTTTTTGTTGGGCGAAGTCGGCGGCTTGCAGTCGAGGCGAAATGCCTGCTCTGGCCTCTGATTGGCCTGACCCTTGGCGAGCTGTGTACCACAATCGCATGTCCTACAAGGTCTGCATAGGCTCAGGATGCATTCAGACAAGCCTACAACGTGCTTTATCGCCAGACACGTCCGCCTAGTCTTGGTTCATGCATCCACGTCTTCTCATCCTGTTCATGCTGCCCCAAAGCATGCTGTAAAGACGTCAGGGGCAATATCCAACTGAACCAGGGCGAGGCTCGATGCATTGTACAGACTGTGTGCGTTGTATAGCGTGGATTGGTGCGGGTCAGATTTTGCGTCCGTCCCGACATGCAGATAATTTGCGGGAGCGCTATGGGAGGCAACATTCACCCGAAAGGGTAAAGCCATCATGCGCAATGCTCGTAGTCGCAAACAAACGGGCTCCATTGGTGAGCGCCAAACAGTACGTATCGCTGGCTTGGATAGTCGCCCGCATCTGAGGTAGAGCGAAATGAGGACGGCACTGGGCATGATGCCCAGCTCGTCCAAATGCGCTCCTCTGCATCCTCATTGGTGCCTCTCGTGCTTTACATGTGTTCCGGCTAAGCACAACGATACTGATTGTAGCCCAATACATGCCACCTACGGCCTGTATACGACCATTCCATCGTGGATCATGTAGGGAACCATGTCTCCAAGGCCTGCGGACAACACGTCATGTCGACTTATTGGCCCTACGACCGTGGTATCGCCTCACGCATCCACCTAGCTGCGTCTCTCCATCCAGCCAAAAGCAACGGTACACGAGCCACAAGCCGCAGTATACCACAAGCGCTTAAACCTAGTCGCCGCGGTAAGGCTACCATTACAAGATCCTCAAAAAGCTAGGGTACCCCGTAGCCTCTTCAACCCCCCTCTTCCGCGCCGCGAAAGAACCATTTCCTGGTCAAAGCGAGCCGACTAGACGACACTCGAGACCGTACGACGGCTGCCCAGGTGGCTAGATGGTCTATGGAGCCTTTGGTTTACGTAGCTCCGAACGACGTGCGGGAGGCGATCGACCGCCTTTCAGGCCACTCAGCGTTCGCCACGTAAGTCAACATTTTTGACTCTCTTCCTAGCTCTTCTGACTGATATGGTACTCTCAGAACCTCACTCACTCTCACCAGCACTGCCCACCCCCATACCAGCGAACAAAAAAGGACGATGACATGCGACATGGACGACGGATGCGACATGACACAGACAACGTAGTCGACCTCCAGCGGGAATAAAGTCTTGTTGGACCAAGGACCCCTCAACACAAGCCAAAACTATCCCTTGCTTCTTTCCGCCCGGTGCGTCCCGCCTTCTTCCGCGTATGCCTTTCAACAACTCATGACGCAAAGACTCACTTCGAAAGAGACAACGGAGGGCGGTGGGGGGGTGAGTTGGCTGCCGAGTCAGACCTTGCGGCAGCCATATCGCAATTGGGAGAGCGGATGAGAACCGGAATCGACAAGGTACAGTCCGGCCTCAGCAGGAGATTCTCAAAGCACACAAAGTGATGTCGAGGTGGTGAGCCATCTGGCAGCAATTTGGGGATAAGAGCTGGGGCCCGGCCCTTTCTTCGGCTTTACCCGTCCACGCCATTCCGCATTAACCCTAGCGTCATCACGTGCTCTTGGAGCTTCGAATTTACCCCACCGCCCACTACCCCCCGACAAAACATCTTCCTCAACGTCCGCTCCTCCACTCTCCGTACCTCGACGTCATCGCTTCCCTTACTCCAGTCCTCTCCTGTGTCTACCTCGACTTCGTATCACGAACCTCTCAGACACCCTGAGACGACGCTGCCGCTGGCCACTGGGCCGTGCGCATTCGACTCTCCACTTCTATTCGCGGCTACGCGACATTCGCGGATTGGATAGCTTCAGCCCCCAATCCACGGCACAGCGGCTACGTTCACAACGACTGAGCATGCAAGCAACCAATGATAGGAGGAAGAAATAAAATGTTCATTGCATCGTTCAATCCCAAGAGGGCTCGCTAAGAGAAAAGAAGCGACTGTAAGAGGTAGCGCCCGGCCTTCCACCCTTCGTCAATAGCAGGTCTTCCTGCGTCACATCGCTCCCCGAACCGAAAAATTAAGTGGACTCAATCTGAAAGAAGATACCAAGGCGCCTTAGATGAAACGAAACCCCAGAATCCTGCGCCATGTTGCCTCCGAGTTCAGTGAATCGCTTGCAGTCTGCGGTTGCGCTCGTTGGTTAGCTCACAAATCTCTCCGTCCAGCCCGCGAATCATCTCCAAGGACTTCTCAATGGAGGCTGCGAATTTGTGAGGTTCACGTTGCCATCGGCCTACACGGTCCACCTCAGCGGCTCTGCGGCGCATCTTGGTGCTGATCTTCTCGCACAGCTTGCAGTATGTGCCAGTGGGAACCGTTTGCATGATGAGTTTCATGCCGCACGTCTCGCCGATCCGGTACTCCTTGGAGCAGTGCTGTCGGAAGTGGCCCCACTTCCAATCGCCACAGGCAAAGCGGTGCTGGTCGTAGAAGCACATGTTTCAGACTTGAAGAGTTGTGTCGGCTGGAGCTTAATATATTAGCCTTGGTATCCAACTGCTTGGACGACAGTCTTCTGATGCGTACGTATTACTCCTTGTTCAAACGCTGGACCTTTTTGATAGGGCCCGGCGACTGCGTATCTGGAAACGGTCAGCTCAGGGGCTCTTGGACGTCCAGCCATCGAGGTCACACACATACACGGAACGGTTGGATGATAGATGTCCTTGGGCAATAGTGGACACGGTCTAGGGCCTAGAGGTAGGTCGCTTGTTGAGCTCAATGTTGCAAAAGGTGGAAGATGTTCAGGGATTGTCGTCAATGACTGGAAGATGCTGGTGAGTTGAGCGTGGAGTCAAACTGAGAGCAGCAGCATACCACTATTTATCCTTCGAGACGGATACCTCTCGCCGACGCCGTTGGCCACACCTGGCATCCGAGACTGTTTCGTTGTCAGACCACAGATTGCTGCCATGGCCTATCCTTTCGTCGACGTGGTAGCACCCCACCTAGCCGCGTCCAACGACATCGCTACGATTCACGGATGCCGTTTATTCTGACGCTAAAACAATGCGGAGACGGGCTGCAATGATACCCTAGGCCGTGCCGGCGTTTCCAGCTGCAGAGAGTTATCACATATGCTAGGGGATCAACGCGTCGTGGCTTCATGAACCACGTAACCCTGAGTCCCTGGTGCGAAAATCCCTCATATTCCTTGTCGAAATGTCTTAGCTGGCGCTCCAGGATGTTGTGGTATGTCGTTTTTGGAGCCTTCCGGGCCTCTCATGCCATATGGGATGGAGCATTTGTGAACCGAGCTATGATCACGTGCTGCTTGGTTCATGCCGAGTCACACTCCGCTTGAGAGATTCTTTGCCAGGAGTGGCAAGCGATTGGCCAATGGCGTCCGCCGAGGTACCCAACAGCGGACGCCAAACGAGGAAAGCACACAACGCAACCTGGAGAGTTCTGGGCACCCCTTCTCCGTTACGAGCCACGGTCAGCCCGTTACCAGATGCATTGACCAACGTTTGGAGCGTATGTCTCTTCGGCGCTCTCGATTGGGTGTTATTTGCCCTCCCGGATGTCTAGCACGAGTTGTGCTCGCGGGCTTTCGGGCGGTTGCCGGCTCGTTACGCTTCATCTTGGACCCCGAAATTTTCGTCTGTGGCCAAGCTAATCAATCTGTGTAGCATCACTCAGCTTTCACCGATGGACGTCTATCGCGTCTCATGTCCAATTGAGAAGGGCATTCGCCTCGCGTCACCAGCCAGCGACTGCCGGTGTCTACACGACGGACCCAAGCTGCTCTCGGCCAGTCACCTTATCTCATGTTGCTGCAGTACTACATGTTAGACATTACGTCCGGTAATCCATGATTGCCACTCGAATAGGACGCTAGCAACCTCCGCATGCATATTGCCTTGCATGGACTGGGTCCTCCATTCAGCTGATCCCCATCTCCACTCAACGGCTGGCGTTTCCCGTGGCCGGCCCAATGTTGACTAACTAGGTGCTGCACGCTGACAGGCATGCCGCACTCTGATAACAGGATGGCGTGAAGTTTATGCGGAACCTAGCCCGCATCGCATATCAAGGCAATCACCTGGACCCCCCCGGGCATACACTAGAACCGGCCAAAGCCTGCCCCATCGGAGATCCTCTGACGTGGCGAGCGGTATGTGGTTGATTAGAGAGGAGGCTATATCCCTGACATTCATGTCACCATCTGTCATAGCTTTTACGAAGGCGTCGGCGTTGGCTCGCCTGTCTTTCCACGCATAATCAGCATGGAGTGCCTTGTCCCTGGCCTATGGCGAGAGCTTCATGATTCCAACCCTTCTTACCGGTGAGCCCACAAAAGAGGTTATCCAAGGCGTGAGGGCTGGCTGTGTTGGAGTCCATGCGGTGGCGATATGATGCAGCATGGCTTTGGTCAATCATGTCGAGCAGGCCTGCCTCTCTGTCGAAAGAGGCAAGAAGTCCACATTGCCGAACCAATTGCTTTGGCAGCGAATAGATTGAACCGTACAGCTGTGGTTGTTTTTCATTGAAGGAAAAGCGGGCGTCGACGGTCCATCTGCAAGTAAAGTGAGTCTATACCAGATGGTGCAAAAGGTGAGGTGCTGTTGTGCTGTCATCCGACCAAAGGGGGGTGGGAGGGCCTCGCGTCGCGCACGGAGCCACACCAGCCATCACAACAAACATGAGAGCTGCGGCCTCTGCTGCGACCACAAGGTAGCTTTTGCAAAGTAGGTGCGCAGACAATTGATGCGTTGATCAAGCTGCCTTGTTGGGCCATGTCTGACGCGGTGATTTCCATGTGTTGACAGGCGTCAATGGGCGGGTTTTGCGGGCTGCCCAGCGACGTCAAGTTGTCGCTGGCCATGACTTGACGTTGAAATTTGCTACACGGCACTCCGCACACACTTTTCGTCATGTGAGGGCAAAGCAATGCTGGGTATGGCGCGGGTACATGGGCGGCGGAGTAGCTAGGGAGGGACGTCGCACGCAATTTTGGTCCCGAGACGAGCAAGTGCTGTGCTTGTGTGGGTCGGTGTCAGCGGTCGCCGGCGCCCTTCGGTGCATGGGGACGACTAAGCTGCGTATTGGCGGATTGGCGGGTGCCGCTTTCACGGTGGGTCAAATCGGCCTGGCCAGCTTGGTTGCAGGTCCCCCGCTCCATGAGGGAGATGGTTGGCTGGCACATGATGAGGGGAGGGGGGACGAGGGGAGGGAAACCAGACATATACCGAGAGAGAGAGAGAGAGACAGAGAGAGATGACAGCTTGAGCACTACAGACGGTTCGTTTAGGCAAGGCCGTTGTGGAAAAAGAAAGCATACAGTGCCTCTCTGTCTGTCTCTCTCTTTTTCTTTCCCCTTCTCTCCCCTACCCCCACTGACACACCCTGTTAGCGGTTCAAGAAGACTCTTGTCATTACCGCAGTGGTATCTAGTGTGGCAAGAAGACTGACACTTGATGATTCTGTGAGGCAAACCAAAAGCCCCATGTTTTGCGGGCAGTCGGCTCCAGGAGGGGAGGAGTAGAGTGACGAATAAAAGTGGCGGGCATCTCAGGCTGAAAAGCCCTGCCTCTTTTTTTCTGGTCCTTGGCTTTTTTTTGCACCCACGGAGAAAGGACTTGCGGGCACCATGCACCGCTGGGAGAAGACGCTCTCCCTCCCTCCCTCTCTCTCTCGCTCGAGGGGGTGCGAGAGCACGGGAAACTCCTGCCATGCAACCAAGGTCTAGCCGCATATGCACGAACGAGGAGGGATCAGGGCACAAGTTCATGGTCTGGCTGATTCCACGCGTCTTTTTGGGCCAAGGGGTACACCAAGTGGCTTGTCAGACCGATGACGGCGAGCGGCAGTCATCAGAAGCAGAAAGAGGGCAATTAATGGAAAAGGAGGGGCGGGGGTGTGGAAGAAAAGGGAGTAAGGAAAAAAAAATTGCTCGGGGGCGTATTGGTGTGGACAATGTGTGTTGTCCACTTTTGACGGATGCGCATGGAAAACACACACACACACACACACACATTGCATGAATGTAGCAGCCAAAACAGTCTTGGGTCACTGAAGTGGCCGGCACAACAATGTGCTGATCCGGAAGAACAACGGTACAACGGGATTTTTTTCGGGGCGGGCTGTCAAACGTAGAAGGCTGCCATGTGTCGTCGTCGTCGTCTCTCGCCCTAAGAAACAGGGCGCAGCAGCAGCACCAGCGACGCCATACAGACGCAAGCATATAAAGCAGCCTCCCTCTCCCCCCCCCGCCCCCTCCTTCCCCTCTATGACGCAGGGAGAGAGAAAGACAGAAAGAAAGGGAGGGGTACGGATCAGCCTCCGTTGAAGGCCTCCGTCTCGGGACGCGGCAATCACTGCTCGTCTTGGATGCATACATATAAGAAAGAGGCTGAGCTCGGTACGCAGTGGGCGTGTGTGTCATTGATGGAGAGCCTAGGTGTAGGGCAAAACATAGCACCAAAGGCGTATAGAGCCCCGAAGGTGCTTTAGCGCAGGCATCTGCTTTTTCAAGCCGTGTGCATTGCATTAGATAAACTACATACGCACCCAGCGCCACCCAGCCTTGACAATTAGCAGCAGCAGCAGCAGCATGGCTAGGGGGGAAAGTTACATATCAACAAAGGGCGTTAGGGCGCCGCGCCGATCCAATTGGTGTAACAGGCTGTAATAGCACAAAAACCCATCTCCCCGACTACTGGGTGGCAGCGCCTGCTAGCCGGGACGACGATTGATCGAATGAGCGGTGACGAGACAGTGACAGAAGGACCGATACCACATGCATGGTAAGCGTAATACCCTTAGATCAGCCAAGTGGGGAGGCACGAAACAAAGGCAACATGGAAAGTGTGAGGCTAGCCCATTGCACGACAGCGGGCGAAAGACGTTGTCAGCGCGCCGGCATGGTCAGAATGCCCGCCGACATGGCGGCCCAGCGCTAGACGAAACCCTCTGTGTTGTGTTGAGAAGCGCCCAGCAAGCCCCTCCCCAACGGCTTTTTCTCTCTCTCTTTCTCTAACCCTGGCCATGAGGAATAACAGTAAGCGAGGAGAGAGAGAGGGAGAGAGAGAGGAACAGAGACGACAACAAAGAGGAGGCGAGAACCTCCGCCTCGTCCAATGCACACGACGGAGTCATTAGCCCGGAACAAGGTCCGCTCTGGGACACAATCGTGGGTGCAGCGACGTGCGTCATTAGCTCGCATATCGAACATTCCTAAGCGAGAAACCGGCCACAGGCATGATGATGACGCTTGCACCAAAGTATTGTAGTTATCAGATCAGAGACGTGCTAGCCACGAGTTCGTCGGCAAAGAGTGGCGCTGGGGACCGGGGACGGCGGCCTAGCTACTCGTGCTTTTGCGGAACAGAGGTATTCCATCGACGGTCCTGATGTAATGGATGGGCCAGCAACAACGGATGCGGATACTGCTCCGACAGGGGCAAAGCCCTGGATAAGTATGCGTCTTGGGTTCTGGGACGGTTCCCCGTTGAAGCCAGACGACGTGCCGATCTCCGCCGTTGCCTTGTAGACAGCCGTGGGAATGAGCTGCCAAGTCAAGTACGTCGTTGCATCCAAACGAGTTGAAATAGAATGCCAGTAGAAACTAGTGGCGTGGTCTTGTGCTATGGCATACGGCCTCTTGCGGGGTATCTTGCCGCAATATCAGCTTTGCTTGTTGGAGATGCTGCACTGTTAATTGCAGCCCCCTCTCCACGTCGTCGAGTACATGCAACACATGATACGCGGGATGGACGCTGGCTGTTTGTTCACAGGGGACCCTTCTCTATGAATCATGATTTCCCGAAGAAGTACCGCTGCGGGATGCGACAGCAGATCTGAACAGGTCGAGCGCCAGGGTGTTCGTATGTAGCAGCGATAGGTATGGCGGGGTATCTCCCATCTGCAGCCCCACCAGCACATCGTGAACAAAAGGAGATGGGCGCGAGAAAAGAATGAAGCAATTCGCGTGCCGACCCAATCAAGCAATATTTGGCCGTTGTGTGCGCCTGGTACGGGTCGCCTTGCTTTTCTCCACGCTCGGCAGTATTTCCTCGACGCAGCCTCTGTCCAAAGCGTACATATGTGAAGGGTAACCCCCGTAAAGCTGACTCTGGCCCTAGGTAGTATGGCAGGAAGTGCGGGGCCTATAGCATCAACGGCATGAGCACATACGGCTCGGTAACCGCACAAGGTCGCCGTGTGACGCATCAAAAACCAGATTTCGGGCCTCGAGCCAGCTCAGGCGAGGTTCACAAGGTGTCAGGCGCTGTGCCACGTTCAATAAGCGAGAAGGAGGAGCCAATCGGGGGGTGCAAAACGTGATGGCGAGGCAAGAAGACCAATAGACGGGGCAAGAGACTGCTTGGGGCCAAGGAAATACCACGAGGCATCATCATTTAACGTCCACGTACCACGCGATGCTTCGTCCCAGCACCGGATGCAGAACCGAGGTGAGGGCAGTGCTCGAGATCGATCTACGTTCTTAGTCATCCAGTTTAGCGCAACGTCGATTGCTCCTGAGTTCCTCCTGCGAATGAGCACTCTCCCACAAAGTCTCGGTGCTCATCGCACATCTGCTAGCCCAGCAATACGAATGGAGCCTACCAGAAGAATGATAGTGCGTCGTGTCGCACAAAACCATGGCCAATCGTAACATGTCGACACCTCGCTCATCGACGGTACGCCCTATCCAGCCCCCCCCCCCCGAACGCCTTCTTCGATATGCCCATACCGGCCGCTACCCATGGATACAGCACCGTCACCCACAAACACATACAGCTTGGGGTATTCAACCACGGCCTCTGCTGATGATGATCGTATCCGGTAAATGTAATGTTGATTGCGACTAAGAAACCCATAATTTTGAGATTAGCGTCTCCTAAGGGCGAATTGATCTAATCTCAGTTGATTCATGTGGAAACTCAAGCACACAATAGTACAACTATCGCGACCAGCCCTAGCGAAGGCTCACCCGCTGGCGGAAAAGGGTGGACGCGCCCCCTTGGGAGTATAAGTAGGTGCGGTATATAGCTAAATGGAACTCGGACGACACCGGGACGGCTATGCGGAACAGCCAGAGAGGTATTTCCCAAGCTCGAGCTTAACTCGAAAGTATAATATAGCAATCCTGAATCATGGATAGTTACCAGTACTAGTTCATCGAGTACGCATCACCACCATCAGGGTCGTGATGAGCTCGTATCATTCCAACGGCATCTACGCACCCGTCCCGACCCTCGCTATACCCCCACCCGCCCGAAAGTCATCCGCCCAGTGTAGATCTCGGCACTTGGCAGAACGGCTTACCATCTGACAAGCAACTTTAAACCCTACTAATTGACCGCTATTGCGATTTTTATACCGTCTCCCGTGAGACACTGGTTACATATTTTTTATGGATAGTGAAAAACTACTACCCGACCAAGCGGTTGTACCATGCAAATATGCCCATGTCTGGATATTACAAGGCCAAAGTGCACGTCCAGTAGTCGCGCCGACTATAGAACCGGGTAAGGGTCAAGGTAAACGAACTATGCAAGATCGTCCCCGTCTATGCTGACAAGAGAAATTAGGACAACTCAGATGGCGCGTACAAAAAGGAGGGTGCAGTACTTAGTGATGACATCCCGCCCATCCGCCAATTTGCTTCTTAACCACCATCTAATCGTCGACCGGACAATCACAACCCACTCGACAAGATGCGGTTCACGATTCCTCTTTTCGCTCTCGCTGCTGCGATCGCCGGCGCCGTCCCGGCTGGCTCGAGCCAAGCATCTGCCCATGGCAAATGGGACGTGACCTTCACCCGATCACGTACTGTAATGAGCAGCTACAGCGAAAATCTGCAAATTTGGTTCACGCCGCCGGATGGCTCCTCGAGAACGAACGTATCATGCACGGCCAACGGATACAGAGTGAACCCACCGGTGTTCGCCGAGGGCTGCACTTACCCGTACATGAGCTACAACTACACAGACGATTGTAAGTCGCGTGCAAATTGTTCTCTTCCGAGGAAACCCAAATGCTAACCAAACCAACATAGCCGTCTTGGAGATCAAGCAACGCTACTGGGACACAAAGACTGGCCCGAGCGACGCATCCGGGTCTGCAAAGCTCTACCTCAAAACCGGCGCCGACGGCGCATGCCATGGTTCGGGAACCATCTACGCCAACTTGACCACACCCATCCCCATCGAGTGCCGTCTGGATGACGAAAACAAGTTTCCCTGTAACTTTTAATCGCGATCCCCCAACCACAAGAACAACACCCTGTACATGGCTAAATCGGGCGGGTGGCGGCGGCTGCTGGATCAACTTTTTCTCTCTTCTCTGGGCAGAAGGAGATCCTCTTTCCGGCCGGAACCCGATGTACATACATATATATATATATGTATGATTTTTTTTCTTTCTCTCTCGCTCTTCTCTGTTTCTTCGTAGAAATTGAAGACCCAGATGAAACATGCGCGTCACACTTTTTTTTTTTTACCAAATCTTTTGCTATCACATCATTAGTCTCCTGGAGCCCTGTGTAGTTGCCATAATCTTAAGACAAAAATCCATGATTGCAAAGTCCTGCGGAGCTTTGCGCATTTGTAACTCTGGTTTTGGTGCCTGTATATAGCGGATTAGTGAAGTTTGTTTGGTCTCTACGACTGGTTTTGATGGTATAGAGAAATAGACGTAGGTGGTAGATGACGTTGTAGAATGGACTATTACATGCATATGCACATGCATGATGTCTAGCATCTTGAGGATCAGAGAGGCGCGCCTTGGCGAATACTACTGCTGCTACTACTACTATTGCCACTTGCAGTAGTTTGTGAGCTATCACCACGAGCCTCTATATCTTACAGAAGAACCAAAGTCAGCAGCATAATTTCCGTGTATGCACATACAACCGTAGTCTAGCACCTCATTCGTATTCGTATTCGTAGTATCGCCACTACTAAACGGCTCGTATCAAAGAAGTCGAGTGAAAAAAAAATCATACTACCAGACTCGCCACGACAGCATACCTTGTGACTCAAGCATTCCAGGATAATCAGAGAACAATCAAAAGCCGAGTGCATAATTCCGAATATATACACATATACGCGTACGACTAGCCTTTATCGTCAGCAGCACAGATTCCCACTCACACATCCACACACGAGCATACTCTAGCACATTCCCATTATAGATTCCTTCACCGCATCCTCGATACCAACGCACTTATATGGGCCCCGCAAAAAAAAAGCCCCCCCCCCAAAATGTCCAAACTCGAAAGAGAGGAAAAAAAGAAAAAAACTGCACAGGACCGTTGTCAGAGTAAGAAAAAACACTCAGCAGTCTGACTCGAGATTTATCCAACCCGTTCGTAATGTAAGCTGATCTGATCTGATCTACACCCACATGCGCACACACACACACACACTGCATACCCACAGCCCCACAGTACATACTATACACGTGCACAAATATCAAGTACTTCCATACTACACATCATGACACCACTTTCCTTATTTGGGCAAGTAAAAAAAAAGGTCAGACTTCGGGGAGTCGGGACCTTTGCTCCCCCCACGGCCACATAGTCTATTCCCCTCGCCAAACGACTCGGATACCGGGTGAAAACAAAAAAGGAAGCGCGTACACGGATTGGTTGTTGATGGGATGTGATGTGAGATTTTGGCGGGCTAGCCAAGGCGCGGCGGGGCGGGTTCGGGAATGTATATATGTAAGAGTTGTAAGTAGACTTGATCGTTTCTTTTGCCGGTTAGTGGTCATGGTGGTGAGCTAAGTAGCCGAAAGGGCATGGTTTTTTAGGGGAAGGAATAAACAAAGAACAAAGATGGCTTGAGGGAATATTACGTAGGTGGGAAAGTTGGAAGGCTGTGCTGTGTGCAAGGATAATAATACATATTAGGGCAATACAATGATATGTGTTAGGAAAGGAGGTTTTTTTTGGGTTTCATTTCAAAAGTGTGTCATGTGTTGTACGTAAGTAGGCCTAATAAATAGATAAATAGATAAATAAATGAAGAAAGAAAAAAGAAAAAAGAAAAAACCGGCGGGGTAACTTGTTCTCTGGAGGGCAGAAAGGAATACTACAGTAGACACAGTAAGCTACCGATTTCTTTTCCTTTTATTGATAAGTAATTTTTTTGATCGTGTTCGGGACTTGTTATTGCCATTTGACTTTTCCTGCCTACAGACGCACAAACACGAACGGACGAACCAATCTGTGTGTTTTACAAGGAATTGAGCGGCGTGAAATGATGATGATGATGATGATAAAGATTATGTACTATCATAGCCCCCTTCCTCCCCCTTCTCATCCCCCCCCCCAAAAAAAAGAAAGTCTATCGTGAGAACCCAAAATGGGACCGGCCGGCCGGGCTACACACAACACAACATAACACACATAGGGAAAAAGCGCGCGGCGGCCGGATTCGCCTTCCCGTGCATACACATGCGGCTCTGCCGTTGCGGCGGCGTTGAAAGATGAGCCGCGAAGGAGAATTGAGCCGCCCAAGAAAAAGTCCGTCAGCACCAACAGGCTTTCTCGGCAGCTCTGCGCGGCGGCGGCGGCAGCAGCGGCAGCAGCAGCAGGGCTTGTCCGTCAGCCACAGGTGTGATTGCGCTCAAGCAAGCTCCCCCCTCCCCTCACTCGCTCCGAAAGGCTCAACTGGGGCTTATGCCGTGCAGCCAAAAGACGAAACTACCAGGCTTGCGCCCCCCTCTTCCTCTTGTTCACATGCAACGGCCTATTACCATGGCCGCGCAATCCCAGGAAAATAAAAATTGAAATAAAATAAACGCCACTGCATCGTCATAGTCAGCTGTCTAATTACACCATAGCCAGAGAGAGGGCACACCAACATACATACATACATAGATACATCCATGCACCATCCACACACGTCTTTTTTTTTCTTTAAACAGGCATCCGATGTCTCTTACTCAACCGCCTCCTCACACGCGTCTGCCTGTGCCTATGCCCCAGGCCCAGCCCAGCATTTTCGCGTTTCGTTTCCTCTAGAACCGGATGCTGCTCAGCGCCATGCACATCGCTAGTGCCAGCAACGCTATCGACGTCTCGCAGGGCGCGCAGCTCATCGGCGTGCAGCTGGGCGTCGAGCAGCGCCGACTGGTCGTATAGATTTGTGGTCGAGGGGCGCACCAGCACACGGCGCGAGCGCTGGATATTGTCGCTTACATCTGGTGTTGGTGCTGCGTCTCTGCGGAAGAGGTGGTCGGTGAAGATGCGCTTGAGGAAGAAGCGCGGCATGATTGGTTGGGTTGGTGAGCGCCTGAGTGGTTTGGTTTGGGTTGGTTTGCGGAGGTTCCCAGTTGCAGTGCAGTGCAGTCCAGGCTGTTCGTCTGTAGTTTGTGGTTCGTGGTTCGTGGTTCGTGGTTCTGTGGTTACAGAAAAGGAAAAGGGAAAAATAGAAGAACAAGGTAATCAAGGATAGCTGCAGGACGTGTGTAAGTATTATGCAGGGACTCCTTTTTTTTCTTTGTCCGTGGCTGGGGTGTGGTGTGGTGTGGTGTGGTGGGGTCGGAGGGGGAGCAGCAGACCAGGGCTTATCTACACCTAGGAGCAAAGCAACGGCTGGCCGAGTCGACGACAAATGGTGGCGAGAAACGAGGCTGTGCAAAGAAAATAAAAGGTCTGGTGCTCAAAGCAAATAGCGGGGGGGGGGCGGGGATAAGACAGCCATCCTTGATCAAAGAAAGACAGCCCATGTGACATGATTGGGTGACGCGCCACCCCCCCAAACCATGTGCGTCTTCGCAACATGGCGGGAACTTGGTATTGCCTCTTCCATCTCACGTTCACGTTCTGCGTGTGTGCCGCCCCCGAAGATCCAGTGGCGTAAAAAAAGGCTCCTCGATGTGCTTCAAGAGCCGCGCGGTAGCCGAACGAAGCAGAATTGATTAAACATGCTTTTGTTAGCGTCGCTATCTGTGGCAGCCATAGACATACTTAGATAACGAAATCCCCCAGCCTTCTCTCTCTCTCTCCACTACCTCCAGCCTTCCCCCCCCCCCTTCACTTTGACGACCCCGTGCCTTATTCTCTGAGACAACGCTAATAAAGTTCCGGATTCTTCTTGGACTACTTACTTAGACATTATCCTAAAAAAAGACTAATACAGTGTAGTGTAGCATCTAACCCCACTCCCTCCCCCCCTCCTCCCAACAATGTCTGCAATGCCCATAACGCCGAGAGAAGGACGACCGTATCCACCAAGTAGGTAAGTAAGTAAGCCAAAAAAGAAAAGAAAAGAAACCCTCCCCCCATGTATTCGTCCCATGCACTCTTCTAACCATTACCCCCCCGCCCAACTCCGCCCAAACCCTATTACCAGCATCTTTTTCACATGGTCATCGTCTCTCTCTCTTTCTGCAAAAAGCACAGTCTCGGCTATGCCGGTACTGGATACGCGCCGTTGTGCCAAAAGGCTCGGCGGGAGCGTGCGTGGCATACGTATTATCGCCAGTATTGTTCTGTGCCCAGCCCAGGATCTCTGTCCACCGCCTGAGTCCGTATTCTGCTTCGCTCTCGCCATCTGCGTTGCTAAGCGCGTCGAGGGTAGGCGGTACGAAGATGGCGTCGGGTGTGGCGTCGCCGAGAGACATGGGTGCCGGCGAGGGCGAGTCTGGTGCTTGATCTTTTGGGTTGAAGGGCTTGATTGGCATATCTACTGGCGTTTGCGGTGTTCTGATGGGCGTTGAAGAGGGTGTCTGCGCATCGTCGGCTTTGAGGTTGGCTGGTGTGCTGATAGCTCCTTGAGCAAACTGAGTGCCTGCAATGCGCGCCCAAGTGATACCTCGCGGGATTGCATTGGGTGTCTTGATCCGAACGGGTTCGAGAGGCGGGAAGTATGGGCGAGCTTCTTCCTGGGCTTCTTCCTCTTCCTCTTCTTCCTCCTCCTTGTCTTCTTCCTCGTGCTGCTCGGGCCCCTCTTCCTCCCCAGCGCTCGATGCAAGGTTGGCCTGCTCTTGACCTTTTATGTACCGAAGTGACCTTCGCTGCTCATACATCTCCACCTTGATCACTGCGCTGCCCAGCGACTTCCCGTCCGTGTTGCGCTGAGCGCGCACTGCATCGCTCCGCGAGCCAAACCCAACCACAATTGTCGTGATGCTGCTTCCTTTGTAGATGTTCTTTATGCTGAGCGGCTTGTACGGGGCGAATAATTCGGCAATCTGATCCTCGGGCACATAGCTGGGCACGTTCTTCACAAAGACGAGGCGCTCGTTGGACGCTCTCGTGCCAGGGAGTAGAGGCATGGCACTGCTTGCGCGACCGCCTTGGGCCATGCAAGTAGTAGCAGTAAGTAGATGGACGCAACCAGCAAAGCGACAAGTTGCCACTCTAGAAATATAAGCGCGCGTCAAGGTCCAAAATGAATGCGGTGTCGGCCAAAACCTTCATCGGTGCAAGGTGGAGGTGAAGCTGGGTCAATCACATGCGGTTTCCACTGGCAAACCCGCCAAGCAGAGGTCAAGGCGAGTGTCAATATGCGTGTAATGCTCCTCACCTTATTGGCGCGCTTGCCGTGACAGGAAAGTGCACTGGTCGAGGGTTGAATGAGATCATTCAGGGCACGCCCACCTGAGGCCTTTCTAGACCCTGTAACAGCATATGTATTAGGTAGCTCAGACTATATATCCCATATATTCCAACAAAGAGAAACAAGCGAGGGGAAAGAGGAGGCGTCAAACATGCAAAGACATTGACTCAGTGTTAACCTCGAAGCAGCGTGCTTTACTCCTTTGCACCATGCAGATCAGCACATGAAATACTCTTCTGCTATTGAAGAAAATCATAATTGTGCAAATAAAGAAACAAAGTGGTCCGCATATTGTATATATGTTCTTGGATTGAAAAGTGTACACGACATATCTGATTTGGCCAATGACGTCACATGCAATCAGAAGACCACAGTTGATCAGGGTATAATTTCTATTCAGGTGACCAAGCCTTGCACCACCAAAGTCTGCCCATCTCAACTCTACACAATAACCTTGTGGGGAGCCTCCTGCTCCTCAGGCTCGTTGAAGATGTTGACAGGCCACCTGGGCTTGTTGGCAATGTAAGGAATGTTGAATCGCCGAGGCTCCTTCTTGCCAATCTCCTCCACCTTCTGGAAGTCGCTCTCCGAGAGCTCAATCTCCTTGAAGTTTTCCTGAATGCGCGATGCTGTGACCGACTTGGGGATGACAGAGTGGCCGCCCACCTGGGCCCAGGCAAGGATGACTTGTGCGGGGGTAGCGCCGACGCGGCTCGCAATCTCCTTGATGGTGTCGTGCTGAACGAGGAGGGGAAGGCCGAGCATGTTGTTGCCGAAAGCCTAAGTGAGATTAGCAGGGGCACGGGAGGAAGTAGGCAAACCGGCACTCACAGAGTATTCGGTAACGTGAATGTTCTTCTCCTTGCAGTACTCAATCAGCTCTGGCTGGAGGAGGCGTGGGTGGCGCTCAATCTGGTTAGCAGCAGGTGTGACACCAGTGCCGTTGATGATGGCCTCGAGGTGCTCCTTGGTGTGGTTGGAAACACCAACTGCGCGGGCCTTTTCCTTAGGCAGCTCTGTCATGGCCTTCCATGTGTCGACAATGGAGATGTCGTCGAGCATCTTGACATCCTCGCCCTCCATGGGGAAGAGGTTGTTGTGAACATCGCCGCGCTCGTCAAAGGCAACGGGGAAGTGGACAAGGTAGAGGTCCAGGTAGTCGAGGCCGAGCTCAGCCAGGCAGTCGTCGAGAGCCGCTGGCACATCCTGAGGGCGGTGCTGCGAGTTCCAGAGCTTGGATGTGATGAAGACATCCTCGCGCTTGAGGCCAGGCACCTCGCCGCCAAAAGCCTTCTTGAGAGCCTCTGCGATTTCCTTCTGGTTGCCGTAGACCTTGGCAAGATCCAGGTGACGGTAGCCAGCCTTGAGGGCCTCGAGGACGGCGGCACCGACCTGGCCGGGCTCAGCCTGCCATGTGCCAAAACCCAATTGACTGACCAACACCAGTCAGTAAAGGCAACGTCATGTACACGTGCATCGTTATTGGGGTACTCACGGGATGGTGGCGCCGGTGTTGAGGGTGACCTTTCTTCCGAGAGACATATTTGCAACGTGTGAAATGCAGGGTATCTTGAGAAGAGGAAGAGATGTTGGGGGAATGGGAGTTGCGGGTGCAAGCTGGTATTAAAAGGTGGCCTGGGAAAAAGTTATCGGAGGTAGCATGGAGGGGTCGGTGACGTCTCCGAACACCCCACCGGCGGCATATCCCACTTCAGCAGCGTGTCCGCGCGTCTACTCGCTCCGAGATCCACTTGACTCTGGCGCCATGCGTTGGTCGAATCGTGTGCATGGCTGCAAGTCCAGAGCGCAGCAGGCGTCACTCTCTTGCCAGCCATGCCTTGGCGCCGGGCTGTCCCGAGATTGGTGGAACAATGCTCGAATACAACACATCTCCAGGCCAACCTCAGCACCGACACCTATACTGGAACAACCATGGCACTGTCCCCCCACGCCAGACAAATCCGGTAGTCTTCACGCTTCGCCCGCTATCCACCGCTGCCATCACGCTTCTACCTTGGTGCCGCACCCCTCGCGACATCAGCATGCCGATATGCCAAGACCGAATTCTTTTGTACCCCACATGTATGTGAATAGCAGAGGACAGCTGGACCGCTGTCGATTTCATTATTGCTACAGCTGCTATGACCCCGAAACACCGCATTGATCCATGCAGAAGAATACACATGCCCAAATCATTCACCGAACATTGACTTCGCACTCTTCATGCCCCATTGCACTCAAAACAGGCGCCTGGTCTCCCAGTGCATCCAAAGACCCCACTTCTGGGATGGTTGGTAGAGTACTCGTGCGAACACTTAGAATATTACGAGAAAAGGGCATTTGTGCTGCTCTAGTTTCAACTGTAGATGCATCATCACCTTCAGACGCAGTGGTTGGTGCTGAATCTGGAGTGGTGCAGTCAGACGCAGCCAGCGAAGGCTCACTGTCCACGCTGTCGTCACTACCTTCAAACCCTCCCAGCCATGCCCAGAATCTTTCCCCAAAAACCATCCAGGCATGCTTTGTAACAGACCGCTAGTCGTCGCTGTCATACTCCTCGTCATCGGCTAGTAGCGCTGGGTACTGGCGACGCCGGAGATCTTGCTCTAGGCCGCCTTCGGATTCGGGGTCGACATAGCCCCTGCCCCCGACAAGCGAGAGGAGGACAGGGAGGAGGACAAGAGCATGAGTAGACGCCCAGAGAACGAGGGCAACCCACACACGGAAGTAGTAGATTTCAAAGATCTAACAAGCCATGTTAGTACACCCACTCAGTCTAGTTTCTGCACAAGTAGACATGATACATACCTTACTCCTGGTAAAAGCCAGCACTCCCACACCCAAGATCTTTGTAATCGTGATTCCGCTGACCACACTGCTTGCTACATTGACCATCGCTGTCCAAGCACGAACATCGCGGCCTCGGAAACGGTGCCTGGGTGCGCGTTCCATGGTCGCACGACTGGGGAAAGTGAACGCCCGGGCGATGTGTGCAGTGAATTCGACGCTGATGCCCACGCATATGATGAGGTTGACGAGTGACACGGCGTTAAGAGAGACTCCAAGAACAGCCATGGACCCAATAATCGCCGACACCGTCATACCGACCACTAGAGTGACTACCAAGCCGGTGGCGATGGAGCCAAGCATGATTGTGGTAATAACAAATACTGCCGCAAGCGCCGACCCGATGAGCGCGCCGGCCAAGCGAACGATGGAAGTATACTGGTCGAAGAAGATGTAAAACTTCGAATACGGGAACACTTCGGCCTCGACATCCTCCGATATCTCTTTGGATATGCGTCGTGCCGCGGTATACGCGGCAATAAAGTCCTTCTGTGAGCGCAGCGGCGTGTGCGAAGTACGGAAATGGGACGCAGGAATCGTGAGATGCTCAGAGTCGATGACGAGTGCATCCGAGTATGCAGCCTTTCCGCCAAGAGGACAGTCCTCCGTGGTCGGAGCCTCGACCCATTTTTGCAGGTATTTGATAAACTCCTCGCCTTCGGGCATGCCGTACAAAGTCATGTTCCACGGTGGTTGACGACCCTGGAAGCAGGGCTTGCCCTTCTCGACGCAGCACTTTTCATTCTCGGGATTCAGCCACAGGAAGAAATCATCGAGCCAGTTGGCGGCAGAGGCTGAGAGATGCGAAACCTCGGGGCGCTTGCGCTCTGCTTCGATGATGTTTGCCAGACTGCTTCGATCGCAAGTAGAGAAACGCCCACAGAGCTCCTTTTGCGGCTTTCGTTGAGTGACGTTTAGCTCCTTTGTGACGAAATAGACTGGCGGCCCAACATCAAGATAGTCGTAGAGATCGTTGAAGTAAGGGATCAGGTAGGAATCGCTGGGAATAGCAATACGTTGATCCAGACCGAGCTCCACCTGGGGAAACAGGGCAAGGCCAGCTGTGAAGATGCCAAAGAATAGCGCAATAATGCCTACTTTTGTCTTCTTACCCAGAATCGCCGGGGCATACGTCTTGCGGATGAATCGTTGCAGTGCACCTTCCTCTCCGGCAGCATAGCCCATGCCGACAGGGTCGGCGCGCTTAACGCGAATACAAGGGATGCAATCCGCACGGTTTGTTTCGACGCGCTCCTGATTGAGCGAGAGCACCGCAATGAACATTGTGACTTGAAGAATGGCGTTGATCAAGACGGCTCCTGCGGCGTAGGCAGCAAAGTTGCGAACAGCGGGCATACCGACGGCACATCCGAGAGCAAACGCAGTCGTCTCGGTAAGTGCAGAGAGCAAGATGGATGGGCCCATGCGTCCGAGAGCCCGGGAAACACGTTCTGGAATGGTTCCTTCAGGGTGACTGATGTTGATGCGCTCGAATTCGTGCACGATGAGGAAGATGTTGTCGACACCAACAGCCAGGACTAGGAAAGGAATGACCTCTGCTATGATCAAAGTGACCTTGATGCCAGCTGCCGAGAAGAGTCCTACCGAGGCGGAAACAGACATGAGCACAATCAAGATGCCCACTATGCCCAGCATGAACTTGGACTGTACCAAGGCATTCGCGGGGTTGCGGAGTACAGAATGAACCGTCAACGTGGTTGAGCCGAGCGCCAACGACGCGTACAAAAACATGATGATGTAGCTCACAACCACAATCTTAGCGTCGGTGTTGGTGCTCTTGTTGAGTTCCTGCTCGAGACTGACTTCGGTGTTGAAGCTCAGCCTCAGACCTCTCTTATGAGCCTCGTCGGCCACGAATTTCAGGTAGTTCTTCATCTCGTTCTCAAAGTCCATGGCGCGCTGTTCTTCGGGGGTTCCTTTGGGATGGTTCTTTACCACCCATGTGACTACAAGCGCTTTGGCGTCAAGAACACTTTGGTTGACACCGCCAAAGAGGAGATGCGGGTCGAGCGGTTGTTGGAAGGTGGGCAGACATTGAGTTGGGTTGTCGACACATTGCAGTAGGTCATCTTGCCAGCTATCCGGCACAACATTGGCAAAGTCACCCTGGAAGTAGCCAGTAACCGACTGGATAACACAATCATCCCCTACTGGCTTGAAGCAAATATCGTCCAATGTGACACCATGTTCGGCAGACTTGAGGCGCTGAATCTGGTTCTCGACACCGAACCACCAGTCGAGAGTTTCGTAGCTGAGAACGGGACCAGCGCCTTTGTGCGTATCGTTCACAAGGAAAGCTTGCTCAGCACGGAAGAAGGGCCCAAATTTCTCGTCGAAGAATGCCTTTTCTTGAGCAGCGGCAGAGTCTGGTGCGACCCACAGGTTCACAGGGTCTGTCTCGATCTGGAACCGCAACCAGCCTAGGCTCATGAGAATAACTGCCATGACGCTAGTGACAATGGTGATGGCCGGGAAACGAGCACAGACATATCCAAGGCGGCTGAACAGGCGGTCGCACCACGTATTGACAAAGTAGTGCTTCGTGGGGCGATCCAGCATACCAATGTTGTGTACTATGTCGCCTTCGTCTTCATCGTCACTCGGACTGGTATCTTGCAGAAGGCGCATTCGCTCGCTCTTGTGTTTGGAATGCTTCTGGTATGCGACGTGACCAGCAACGGCGGTACATAAAAGTCCAAGGAAGCACGAGTAGATGACAATGACGGAGAAGGAGAGGCAAGGAAGCAGGCCAACGTAGCATTGCTTTCCTTCCTGGACTGCCGGAAGCTCAGTGCAAGACGTTCCACAATCAAGACAGGCGCAGCGGTACTTCTCATCATCGGTATCACAAGGATAGGCGTGCTTGCTCATTGCAGTCATGCCCGGGAAGCGGTCCTCGGATGGCGGGGGGAAGTTGATCTGGAAGGGTGAGCCCAAAAACTTCTTGTCGCCCAGGAACTTGAGAAACTGTGTGTAGTTGGTCGCGCCGCCGCCGATAAAGTCCATGGCCTTGCCGTTTGTGGCGCCGAACTTGACGTCCTTGCAGCTGTCGTAAAAGGTCGATGCATACTTTTCCGCCACGAGGTTGTCCAATTCCGTAACCAGGTATTTGTCGCCCTTGGGCTCTGTCCCCGTAATGTTGATGAAGGTCGACTGGTCGGGCGAACAGGTGAATGTGCAGAACAGGTTGAAGAAGTTTTCCTTGCAGGCAGGGCAGGCATTGATGATGGGGGTGGCGCGGTCGAGGTTTGTCTTGAGGGCGTCGAGCTGGTTTTCCTCGCAGCAAATGTCTGTATCCGACCACTGTGCACCGCAAATATCCACCAGCTTCTTGCGCACGGCGTCATCAGGCGTTTTCGCGGGGCCGTTGTCTGGACACGGCAGTTCAGAGCCAAAGAAGCCCTGCTTCCCGCACTGCCCTCTCATCGCACATCTTCCCTTTTCATGTCTCGTTGTAAGGTCTGGGCCAGCCAAGGCCGAGCCGGCGAGGACGGAAAGCAGGCCCACTGTCATGGCCCTCCATCCGGATATGCCGTGCTGCACCATGGTGACTCGTCGCGCCTGTGCGCCGGCGTGGCTGCAGCGGACGTGTCGTATCGAGCACGACTGCGCGGTTGTATGGCGCAATGCAGGTGCAAGCTGGGCGAAACCAGTGTCGGCCGGTGGCGGTGGTGGTGGTGGTGGTGGTGGTGGTGGTGGTTTGGCCGTGTATGGAGCAGGCGCGCGCCGGTGTGGCGGATGAAGCTGGGTTGAGCTCCTCAGCTCCGGGGCTGGCGAGCGGCCGGTAGTGTGGAGCCTGTCGACCTAGCGAGCGGCCGAGTAGACAACAGCACGATGGTGCAATGCGAGAAGTGATGCAGAATGTGCAGAAAGAATAGGCAGGCCGAAGAGAAGAGAAGTGGAATGGCGAGGCGAGGCGTGAGCGCGAAGCTAGCCTGGCGTCCGGGGTGCGTCATGAACGTCACCGGCCCCCCCCAGACGCTTGGCTGGAACGCGCGACGGCGGCCCAGGAACCAGACCTCCGCGTCCGTCGTCATGCGCGCCAGCCACCGCCCACGCCCATTAATCCTCCGCCCGACATGTCATTCGCCTCCAGTCACTCGATGCATGCATTGTTCCACTCATGTATGCGCGCCCGAGGCATGCCAAGGCTCTTGCTGCAATCTACTGACTTTTTATTCATGCTACATTGGTATCGTAGTCCGTCGTCGTCACATCCCATAGTACCGTGTGTACGTGCCCAACTCCATCACTTGTGTCTTTCGACGGGTATCCTTTCCCCCCTTTGCAAAACCGAAATCTTTTACTTGCGCAGGTACTGCACAAGCTCGACAAGCTGCGCGCGAGTCTCATCCTCCAACTGGTCCTCAGGCGGGCTGAGCACCTTCTCGAAGATGGGCATCAGCTCCCCCGTGAGCTGCTGGACCGTGGGCTCATTCTGCTGGTACAGCTTGACAATCATGCCGAACACTGGCTTGTTTTCCTCGTAGTCCTCGCGCAGAGGGAGGAGCTGGATCAGGCGAGGCAGAACCTCTGCGATCGGAAGCTTGCCGGGGTGCTTGCTGATAAAGCGGCTCACACAGCCGGCCGTGTTGTCGAGCAGGCGGGCCTGGTCCTGTGCTCCGAGCAGAGGCTCCAGCTTGGAGAAGATGCTCGACAACGACTTGAGAATCTCGTCGTCGTTGGTTGTCATCTGGCACAGCAAGCCCATACCGTACACGGCATTCGACTTGGTCTCTGGGTCCTCATCCGACAGGCGGTGGAGCAGCAGCTTGAGCAGACCACTGGTGTAAGGTGTGCAGCCCGCACCCATGTTGCCAACGCACTCAGCAATGGTTCCAACAGCGGCACTACGCTCAGTGGCATCCTGGCTGCTAGCGTACTTGACAATGGGCTTCTCAAACATCTTCCAGAGCTCACCAAATTGCGGGCCCAGCGCAACCGACAGACATGTGAGAGTCTCCAGCGCGGTCTCGATGACCAGCCAGTCGTATTCTGAAGACTCGTCAAAGATTTCATCTTCAGCCTCGTCGCCGAGATCTTGCTGGCAAGGGTGACGCTTGGTGATGATGGCCAGGAGGTTTTGGCACAGGTCAGGTACCACTGTACCGTTCTCTGTCAACAAAACAGCAGGCCCGCATAGCTTGAGGGTCGCGGCGACATCACGGTTGATGTCCGTGACAGTGCCCCTAAACAGTGTCAGCAACATTCTCGAGTAGAGATTGTAAAACAAGGTTGGTGAATAGAAAGCTCAGAAGTAGAATCGCTTTCACCTCAAGTGCACTTTGTGCATCGGAGTGAGCTGGGATTAACGAATGTGTTGTCATCTTTGCGGAGGGTGTTTGGGACACGAGAAATGAGCAATACATACCGATCCATTTCATCTTGCCAGATGGTTGTGGTGGCGGTCATGACGAGATTGGCGAGCTTCTTAAGCTCATCCGGAGTCTCGACTGCAAGAGGAAGACCAGGCTTCCACTTTGCCATGCCATCGCCCTCTGCCATGCCAAACAAGCAGGCGTAGGTACGCCATAGAGTACCGAGAGCAGCCTTACGGATGCCCTCGTAGGAGTGGTCTACAAGCTCGAGCAGCTTGGTGACGGTCGCCTCCATGTAGGGAATGTATTCGCGGCGAGTGTGTGTGATGATGTCGCCGTAAACTTCGGCGGCAATCTCCTTTTCCATGGCTATGGCGCTGACACCCTCAAGGTCGTCCCAATCGTCCTCATCCTCATCATAGTCCATTGCGGCTTCATTGAGGTCGCTGCCGTCATCAGCGTCGTCATTAGGTCCTGCAACCTTGATCTTGCGGCCCTGAATGATAACTTCAGATCCGGCCAGGTCGGCGGCCTCCTCACCCAGCTCAACATCAAGGCCAGTCTCTTCTTGCTCCAGACAATCCTGCAGTCCCTTGACTGCACCGGGGAGGTATTTGGCGAACTGCTCCTCGTAAACCTTGGCCATGGTACTCCAGAGGATGTAGCTGGTCTCCCTGAGGCGGGGGTGGTCGAGATGCAGTGCTTCTTCCGAGGCCTCCATGAGAGGAAGGACGTAAGGCTCGAATGGCCCGGGGCCAACGGCAGGAGCCATCTTGCCCATTGAGTCGCAAGTGACACCGCGGAGGTCAAGCTCGTCTTGGCTGTTCTTGATTCGTACGTATCGCGACAAGTCGCTCATGGTCTGTTCGAAGAAAGGAAGGAAGGCCTTCTCGGCAGCAGAGGCAATGGAGCCAACAGCGCCGATGGCGGCACTCTTGACCTTGAGGTCCTCGTGGTGGAAAAGCTTGCTGAAGCGGGGTACGAGCTCAGGAACATATTTGCCGGCATCCTCGGGCTCCAAGCCCTCGATCAGAGAGTCGATGGCGTGACAGCTGCCGCGAACAATCGAGAGGCTGCGCTCATCATCCGCACCCTGCAGGTTGCTGGCAGCAAGGTCGAAGTTCTTGATCATGGCAGGAATCAGACGGGCATGTTCCTTGCCAACATCCTCGGCAAGGTCATCAGCCAGACGCGCAACACCGTTCAGAGCAGCAGCTCGGACCTTGAGCTCAGGGTCCTCGAGCAGGTGCAGAACCATAGGCAAGATCTCGTGGAGCTGGGTGGCAATGAAGTCGGGCGCGCCCTCAACACACATACCCAAAGCCAGAATACCGGCTTGACGGTAGTCGGCATTCTGGGCATGGAAGTATTCGCCAAGGTTCTTGAGAAGAGGGATGACGACTTGGCTCGGAGGCAGGCTGGAGGCGAGAATATCGAGGAGACCAAGAGCCGAGCGAGCAGGGGTGACGTCTTCGTCCTCGCTTGACATGTCACCCAACTCGGTGACAATGTGCAGCGCCTTGAGCGTCAGCTCTTCTCCGATCCTCAGACCTTGAATCTTGAGCCTCCTGTAGCGCACGCATTGCATGAGGAATGCAAGAGCCTGGGCGCGGTAGTCGTCCTCCACATTTGTGCTGGAAGCAAGCTCGAGCATGAATCTAACGAGGTCGCCAAAGTGCTTGGCCAGCAGGGCGGACTCGCAGCCAAGCAGGGTCTGGAAGACTTCAAAGGCCTGCATGGCGCGATCTTCATCGCCTTCGTCAACGGTAGCCTTGAGAACGCTGACCATGGCAGGGATCGACTGTTGGAACAAGGCTAGCGACTTGGGGTCCTCGTCGGGCTCCAAGAGCATAGCCATGCGGCTAAGACCAAGCATGGTGTTGATCCGGACCTCTACGCTCTCGGGGTCTTGGATGGTGGAGCTGAACAGCTTGTACAGATCGGCGGGCTTGCCAGGGAATGACTCGCCCACCGCCTCGAGGGTCGTATAGATGATGTAAGTGCCAACCTCGCGGTGTCTGACGTTGGAGCCGGTGGCAGCCTGCTGCAGATAGCCGGGCAGGTCCGCCCACTCGCCATCTTCAAAGTCATGGGCTGCGATGGCGGCAATCACACGAGCAGCCGAGTGGCGCGTCAGCGTGACTTCCTCGTTCAGCGTGAACTGAAAAAGCTGGTTGCGAAGAGGGTTCTTTTGGTCGGCGGGAAGATTTGCCCAGTGCTTGTTCACGAGCTTCCGCGCCTCGACGGCGGCCAATTGGCGCAGCTGAGGCTTGGGGTGGCCGCACAGAATCTGAAGCAGGGCGTTGAGAGAAGCGGGAGAGTTGTAGTAGTTCTTGTTCAGCGTCGACGTAGCCGACTTGACCCGCTCCGTGTTGGCTGGAGAAAATGTCAGCAGTGAAGAAGAGAGGCGCGGCGGGGTTGGGCGACATACGCTCCATGAGGCCCTCGAGGAGCTGGACAAACTGCTGCTCGTCCATGGCGACGCTCTCACAATGTGTGTCTGGAGAAAGCTTGCCTGCTGTGGTCTCTCGCCGAACCGCGCAGACCAATATTGACAGTGGTGGAAGAAGAGCGCTGTGTCGCACAATCTTGAGGTGGGGATTGGAACTTTTTTTACGCTAGGATCAGGGTCCAGCGAATTAGGTAAGCCACGCTGGCAGCCAATGACGCCAGTGTGCTGCCGAGGAAGCTATGGCTTTCCCAGAGAGGCAGAGCTGAGGCTGCTTGGGGTGCAGCGCGCAATGAGCCAGTGCAGCAGAGGCGCGCGCCATGGAACAGCCCGCCGTCGTTTGCTCCTGGCGCCCCAGGCCCGGCCGTTTGCGAGGCCCGCCAGCTGCTCAGGCAAATTTTACAAGCGACAAACAAGCCCAATTGCGAGCCCAATTGCGAGCCCGCGCCTCATGCGCCGCCTCTGTAGCCATGTCGTGGGCCCACCGGCCGATTGTCTTGTGTAGATTGGACAGGGCGCATCGCCGATGCAAGCGGCCCAGCGCTGGTGGGGAAGAAGAGGCTGTCTAGGCGCGAGCTGACAGAGTGGTGGGAGGGCGATGCCCCCGATGCGTCGTGCCACACTGCGGCGGTGCAGGCGGGCATGGGGACAGCGCGCGAGGCGCGCGATGCCCGGCCACGGGGCCGCAAAGCGGAGAAAAGGAAGCGAAGAGCAACGAAGAGGGCGCCGAGCTGGGCAGAGAGTCGAGATATGCAGCTGGCAGCTGGGGGGGAGAGTGGGAGAGGGACAGAGGCCCAGACGGCTCCCACGCGAGTTGATAGGACGCGCTAGGCCGGGGTCTGTGCGGCGGAAAGCTGTTAGCAAAAACAGAAGGAGCAACAGCGGCCAGCACAAACTCGCCGCTGCCATCACAAACAAGGAGGCCTTCTCTATTCCTCTTCTCCCCTTACCTCCGAAATTGTAATCCCCCACCCCGCCCCCGCTCCCGCCGCCGCGTCAGCCCGCTTGCAGACCTCTGTCGGACACGTTACCTGACCCCTCCGCCTCCAACTCCATGGCTTCAGTACGTTTGGCCGCTGCCGCACTGGGCGGGCCCCATGTGACATCGACACTGACATCGTCCAGCAAGCTCCCAACCAGCCGCGCCCCTACCCAGGCAGTTACCTTCCGAATGGCGGCGGCCCCGGCGGCCCCTCGGGTCCAGCACCTGGCGCCGTTCCGCTGCTCCCTAACCAGGGCCGCGTGATCCAGCAAGGAAGCGTGCGAGTTCTCTGCATTGCCGATGTGCGAGGTGCGGACTGCCCTCGTTGTGCCTCCCGCCGCTGCATGCTCACCGCGTCCCAGGAAACCTGCAATCGCTGAACCAGCTCGCTGCCGATGCCCGCGCAAACTACATCATCCACACTGGCGACTTTGGCTTCTACGACGACCGCTCGCTGGATCGCATCGCCGAGAAGTAAGTGGCCCAATTCCCCGCCTGCCCGCGGCCCCCGACTGACTGGCGCAGGACGCTGAAGCACGTTGCGCAATACTCGCCGCTTCTCTCAGACACGGTCAAGCGCTCCATTGCCTCAGCACCGCCGCAACCCCCCATCAAGGAGCGCTTCGCACGGGAGCACCTGCCCCTCTCGGAGCTGCCCCTCTTCCTCAACAAGACGTTTACACTCAATGTGCCTGTATACACGGTGTGGGGAGCGTGTGAGGATGTCCAGGTTCTCGAGAAGCTGCGGTCGGGCGAATACAAGGTGGACAACCTGCACATCATCGACGAGGCGCATTCACGGCTACTCGACATTGGCGGTGTCAAGCTGCGACTACTCGGTCTTGGCGGTGCCGTCGTCATGCACAAGCTGTTCGACAATGGCGAGGGCCGGACCACCATTGCTGGTGGACAAGGCACCATGTGGACTACTCTGCTGCAAATGGGCGAACTTGTCGACACAGCGAACCGCGTATACGACCCGACCGAGACTCGCATATTCGTCACCCACGCCTCACCTGCGCGTGAAGGCCTCCTCAATCAGCTGTCTGTCACGCTCAAGGCAGACTTCTCCATCTCCGCCGGTCTTCATTTTCGCTACGGCAGTTCATACAATGAGTTTAGCGTCAACCCCACCTTGGACCACTACCGCGGAAAGCTCGCTGCTTCGAAAGCCTCGTTCAACGACGTGTGGGATACAGTCAAGACAGAAGTCGAGCCCGCCGTCGCCGACAGCGAGTCCCAGCAGCGCCTGCTTGCTCTCGCCCTCGATATCGTGAACAAGATGCCCACAGTGGCTAACGGTGGCAATCCCTTTGGTGGTCCTGCTCCGGGTCCCCAGAGCGGCGTCATCGACGAAAGTGCATTCAAGAACATGTGGAACTTCAACCTAGCAGATGCTGCTTACGGTTGGCTTGTTCTAGACATCGACAATGGCAGAATCGGTACGGAGATGCGCGCCCAGGGCTTCAACTTTGCTCATCGCGGCGGCAAGGCCGCGCCTGGACAGGCCCAGCCTGCGGCTGCAACCACTTCAACGGGCCCACCAACAGCTGTAACTCCTAACCCCTCTGCTCAGCCATCTCCTGCCCCAGGACGCCAGGGTGGTCCTCCAGCGAACGCCTCCCAGCAGCCTCGCCCTGCGGTCGCTACCCCGCCTGTTCCTCAGCAGCAGAAGCCAACTAATGCGGGTCAGCCCGCACGTGCTGCTACGCCCAAGGAGCCAATCAAGGCCGCTACCCCACAACCCCCGGGCAACAACGCTCCCGCCAATGCTGGTGCTGAGAAGTCCATTCCTAGTGAAGTCAAGCCCAATGGCACCTCGGCTCCAGAGAAAGCCACATCGCCAGCACCTAGGGAACCCGTGGAGCGGAAAGAGAGCAAGGGACTGTTCATCGCTGGCGTGAAGGACGAAGAGGAAGCCAAGAGCCTCCTTGCGGAGGAGGATCGATCCAAGATCGAAAAGATGGAGAAGATTAAGCATTTCTTCATCGCACACTTTGCTACATCGCAAGACATGCATGGTGCTCTTCGCCGCGTTGCCGATGACGTCAGGAACGCTAGAGGAGGCCCGGACAACAAGACTGTCAAGATCTACAACGAACGTGGCCCCAGCAACAACCAGCCCAGGTACGGTGCCGGCAACTGGCAGGCTAGCAACCGGGGTGGTGTTCAAGGCGGAGGTTACCGCAGTGGAGGGGCCTCGGACAGCGAAGGTGGTCGCGGCGGCCGTGGTGGCCGTGGCGGCTCTACCCGTGGCGGACGAGGCGGTGAGCGAGGCTCTCGTGGAGGCCGAGGTGGAAGGGGATCGTTCAGGGGCGGTGCAGGTGAGGGTGCAGCAGCATCCACGGGAGGCGAGTCGTAAGCTCCCCTCTTCCGGCGGTTTGCATCTCTAAACCTATCTCCTCACCGACTCTGATACCCTTTTGTTTCTTCTTCGGTTTCGTGTTAATGGCTTCTTAACGACAGGTATGATGCGACGTAACCTCCTTTTGGCAAGCAAAAAAACAACAAAATCGCTTTTGGACACGCTCGCAAGTCTTGTGGTTCAAGCCTTTAGCATGTGTTACACAGGAGCGAAATTTTCCTGCGCCTCTTCGAAGCGAACGCGAATTGGCAGTAGTCATTCTAGATAACGTTATCCGTCCCCTACCCCTACCCCCTTTCCTTTCCCCCCCCCCTCGGGAGCAAAGGCGATTCGGCCCTCTTTTCTCGTGCCTTTCGCTTGTTTCTCCTCTTTCTTTCTCTTGCTTGCTTGGCGACGTTTGCAATGCGTGTGCGGCTGGTCTGGATTTCCATATCCACATGGATGGATGGTGTTGGTGGGGAGGTATGCTGCTCAGAGACGGGGCGAGAGCATGTATGACAATGGGGAAAACAAAAAAGTGTCACGTTTGTATTGTACTTGTACCTATGAAAGATGAGGGACTGTCGATATTGTTTGTGTGCGTATAGCAAATGGTTAGCTTGTTTTGCATATCTAGCTTGTATGTGTGAGGGCCAGAGTATCTTGGGGATTTATCCCAGTGTGAGACGTATCACGCTGTCTTCTGCATTGTACGATGAAAAGTTTGTTGTTGATGAGAAAAGAAGGACAGATGGTCGCGACCATGTGTCTCGTCAAATAAGAACAAGAATACATACTCTGGCATTACTACTGCGAAGCGAATAACTACCAATACCAATATTAATACCATGGGCCTTTCAAGCAAGTCCATAGCCCATTTCATCACCACTCCTCATGAGGACCTACAAGAACCAACTGAAAACTAAAACGGGCTACAGCAGCCATTGCAAGAGTCTCTGTCCACACCGCAACAGGAGCGGCGGCGGCGTTGTCGTCTGATTGCAACAGGTCTTGGAGATACGAAACTGTCCATTTCATGTACTATTGGGTTCTGGGGCCGTTCTGGTGGCGCAAACTCCCAGGTTGTAGTGGAATGAATCGATGGGTCTGTTTGTGAGTTGTGACGTGCAACAGTGTTGTATGGCGGAGGAGGGGTCGTAGGCACAGACAGGATAGAGTCTTGAGGAGCCTGCAGCTCCGAAGATGGTGCTTCGACTCTGGATCCTTCGTGCTGGGAGGATCCTTGTCGAGATGGCGTTTCTCGGATCAGGGGAGCACGAAAAGTGGCCTGGTTGGTTCTATTGAAGAATTAGCCTCAGTGCCTTGGCGTGGAAATATGGGAAGAACTACATGGTGCGAGTATTGATCTCATCTCCCTCGCGGGGTTCAGTACGTGTGACGAGGTATCTCCGAAGCTGCAAGTTGGTCGGATGATGTCTCGGCCGCCCCTCATGTGCCAACCGATACGCTACATTTCCAAGCGGAGATAGAACGCCCAAACCATCCTGATTCCACTCTGCCGACCGCGATCTGGTTAGTAATGGGGACCTATGCGGTGTTGCTTCTTGGCGACCAAATACGCTTGTGGCACGCGCGAGGTCAAATGGAATCGTCTGATGATCGCCTTGAAGAGAGAGACGCTGTAGCCATGGCTCTGGATAAGGAGTCGGCACTCTCTCGGGAGGTGGCGGAGTAGAATCACGTGGCGGCGCCGTAGATTCATGCTGCGATTGCTCCTCGTCCTCCTCGCCGGCTCCTCCTCGCAGATAAACTTGCGGTAAATCATTGGATTCCGAACCATCAGGCTCCTGGTCAATTTCATTCAGATGTGATAACGTAGGAGCCTGAAGTCTACGACTAGCCAAGGTCCTGGCAATTTCGAGACTTGACCTTGGTGGCCGACCTGGTGTAATAATCCATGCTTCTCTCTGGCCGGTTTGATTCCTCGCTATGCTCTGTCGCTGCGGGTCTCGCGGTGGCAGACCGTCGCCGATATGGTACACGCTCCATTCACTGCCGTTCCATGGCACAAGCGCATTCTCGGCATCTCGTGAAGAGCTCGGGTCGGGTCTGAGTTCGCCAGGATAGCTACCTCTCGCCCTGAGCAGTTCCATGAAAGATTCGGAATTCACTGTTCCAATGAATGACGCTCTAGAAGAAGGGTAACTTGGTGGGATATCGCCTGGCGCTACTGCATCGGCTCTCTGGCCAGAGGCAGAGTTATTCAATGAGAGTAGTGACATCCGATCGAATGCTTCCGCGAAACGCGGAGTTGGGGAAAGGCCGGGCGGGGGATTTATATGTGGCGTAGTAGTTTCTCCCGGCTGGATTCCTTGCGAGGGCGCAGCATCCAAGCCCATTCTATACCGGCGCACATCTGTGTCGCTTACAGTACGTCTCGTACGACCGATATTATATGCTGGGTCATCTTCCACGTCTGACCAGCACGGTAGGGCCTCGAATTCCTCGTCTGTCATGAACGCTGGGTGAGGAGTTTTTTGCAATTCATGGTTGCATGTACTTTGATTTCGTCGCTCTGGTTCATGTTCGTCTGGATGTTCCGGGCTGACAGCGCCTTGTTCGGCATCGTTAGTCCTAGGCGCACCTTCCTGTTGATCCGTCTGCAAGTGCTTTTCCGGGTCTGATGTATTGGCTTGTGCGGGCGATCGTGATTGAGAAGTATACACGGATGAACTGCAGCTCGGTCTATTCGGAGGCACCGGTGATGCAGGGGATGGCATGTGTGAGGAAAAAGGGTTAATAGACGTGTACGGCGACGACGTGGTATCAGCGGATAGGTTTGGTGTGGAAACGGCCTGCGGACCCGAAATAGGCGGGGAAAGTGCAGCGTTTGATGATGTACTAGAAAGGTTAGATGCTTCACTTGAAGACTGCAAGGGAGATGCACCTCAAATCGCCTTCTTCATCGACTTCTTCTGAGCTGCTCCCACCACGAAGAACTCCTAGTAACAGTAACGACGAAATTTTCGAATAGGCCTGGTATTCGCTATTGACGCGCTGGTAATCTGAATCCGCTCCTTGTGGATCGTTCAAAGACATATCTGCTGACACGCCTTGTCGGTCGTTCCCGCCATTGGTATCAATGCCAATCTCATAGCCAGTCTGATGAACAATCCCAGGTTCAGCTGATATAGCTCTTCTATCCTGTCCTTTAATGCCCACGTCTATCATGTATGTTCTCGGCAATGTCCTCGTAGGAGTCTTCTCCTATGTTGGCTCTTTCTACGAGCCCACTTCATCAGCCCAGCTGCGGCCTTTTTCCATGGGTGATGGCAAGCCGAAGGAGTCTTGCTTTTGAAGGCTTGGCCGTTCAGGCTCAACTTGCTGCGTTTCGGGGGCCTTGCCTTTGGCAGGAGGAAGTTCAGGGAAGTCTGCAGCAGAAGGAGGTACATTGTCTTGCCTCTTCTGCTCGGCCGGTCTCGATGCAGCTCCCTCGTAGTCGCCACGTCCGCCTCGACCCCCTCTGCCACCACGACCTCTGCCGCGTCCCCGGCTAGGCTGTGCCGTCCAGCCGTCGTACTCCCCATCATTTGTTCCATGTTCGAATGGTCGTGAAGGCGCAATGCCACCGTGGGCGCCTCTGGTGGCGCCTCTGCGCCTATCATCTCCAATGCCTGAAAACCCATCTTCTTTCTCAAAATCCCACTCGCGGCCCTGTTGTGCCTTGAGCTTGCGCTGTCGGTTCTTCTCGCGCTCACCCATCATCTGCTGACGGCTCTGACGTTCAGCCCTTTGTTTTTCCGCAAGTGCTTTTTTGCGCTCGATATCCTGCTGTTGCATGACCGCTTCGCGGGCCTCGAAGTTGCCTTTGTCGGCTTCAGCGCGAGCGTGGGCGCTCTGTCGGGCTTCGTTCTTGATGCGCATATTGGCGAGCTTTGCGTTGAGTTCATCCTCGGTCAAGCGTGTGCGTGCAGCGCCACCAGTCAAGGTCCTATCACCGCGTACAGAGTGAGTCGGTTTTTCTTTTGGTTCGGTAGGAGCAGACGGAGGGGCCGAGGAGTTGTTCTTCTCTGCGGCAGCGCTGTCTGCAGGGGCAGAGTCTATCTCTTTAGGTGTCTCGGCGGCCTTCTTGTCGTCTTGTTCAAGTCGAATGTCGGTGTTATGGCCGCCACGACCCCTCCCACGGCCCCTTCCCCGTCCGCGACCGCGACCTCCCCTTTCGCTGTTCCTCGGCTCTCTAGGGGCTTGAGGCGCAGGATGCGACTGTGGCGTAGTAGGTGGCTGTGTCTCTTCGGGTACAAACTCAGCGGCGGAGGCCTGCAGCTCGGGCGGGTTGGGCACGACGACGGGCTCTGCAACGGGTATGATGTCGTCGTCGAAGAAAAGATCGTCGGTGCTTGCAGTTTGAGCGAATGGGTCTATTGAGGGGTCGTTGTAGGCGGGGTCAAACGACGCGCCTGCAGCCTGAGGCTGGGTCAGTACAATGCGGTGAGAGGGTGAAGAGTGGCGTTGATAGAATGAGAGACTGCTGGGCGACATTATCGGTCCACATACCGGTGCAAACGAAGCCTGAGCTGGCGCTGTCGCGGTCACTGTCGCTGGCGGGGCCGCGGTGGCGGCAGACGCTGTTGTTTTGTCCACCTCATCGGGCTGAGGGGCCCACTTTGACTTGAGCATGATATCACGAAGCGAGTTGTGATAGTGCAAGATAAGTCTAGGAATAGCGAGCAGAACAAGTTGTTTGTTGATGTGTCGTGGTGGAGATGAGTCGTGGAGAGAAACTTGGTTGGTTGTCGGGGCCGAATTACTTGCAGGAACCCTTGGTCAGTCCAAGCTTCGCAAATCTCCCCCGCACTTGCACAATCCCTGCCTGACCCCTTCCCCTTCCGCCTCTCCCCCACGCGTCATCAACATCGCTTGCATTCATCCGCCCAGCTGGTCTTCAAGCAACACACAAGTGGTCTTCAGCATGATTGGTATTTTCTTTACTTAACAACGTGCATCCCTTTGTACTGGAACAAATAGTATAGCAGAACATATTCCTCAAGCAAGTAGACAAAGGGCAGGAATCCCTCTAGAAACGTTGCAACAAGCTTTCAACAATATACTGACTAACTATCCTACCTAAACCCATACGTTGCTGTTATCATTGCAATGCTTATCTAGTAAGCTTCGGGCGTTAGGTGCCTTGAAGATTCGAGCCGTTTAATTCTCAAGTGCCTATAGTCCGTCTCATGATGTGGTGCGTCTCGCGACGTAGGGATGAAGATTGATTAAATTAGCCTACTTACTCTCTTCTATTTGGTTGGACTCTTTACTTGAAATTCTATAACCTATACTCTCGTGCTACCCTTAGGTATCTAACGGGATTACACTACCGGTGTAATACGAATGTTCCATCTCATGATAGTTGTGAAATGGCTGAGTATAGTATTCAAGGTAGAATGGTTTTTTTCCTGGCCCATAGTGGTCGAACTGATGAAAGCCATCGGTGTATACATCATCGACCCAATTCAGAGTAATCCGCGCAAGATCATCGATCCCCTTCTGAGTGAGTTTGACCACCGCGTGTACATTAACCTCTGTGCCGGAAATATAATCCAAACCCGGATCGCCTGTTATTTCTGCGCTGCCCTCACCGAACGAGAAACTCGCAGCATTATAGACCAATTTTTTCAGCTTGAAATCCCATTGCATTGTCATGGTGAAAGTCCATTGAGTTCCTGTCACAAATTTTCCTACAGCCCTTTTCAGGACCAGATTGACCATGCGCCGCCAACTAATGACATATCGCTTGGAGAGGGAGTGTGACTTTTGGTTGATCTCGAAAGAAGCATTCACACGTTTTGTGATGCTAGAGTCGGAGCTGATGGCGGGGGGTTGTGGCTTCGGAATCTCAAAGCCATCTTTGAGAACGGTGCCAATCTGAGTCGTCGGCACTGCTGAACCGGGGGTAATGAGCGAGGCGAGCAGACTGAGGCCACCGAAAATATATTTGACGCGCATGGTACTGAAAGTAAAGGATGATATGTATGTGTATGTGTGTTTGTGTGTATAGTTGCTTCTTGATATAAGATTGTGTGTGCGTGTGTGGAAGTGGTTCCTAGCGGCGTATAGAGTAATTGCAGGATTTTGATCGAACGACATACTGCGGCTCAGATATATATAATAGCCCCCAAAGTCCGTGTATGTTTCCCTCTTACTATAAGATAGGCTAGCATGAATGTCGGGTGGCGCCCAATGGCTGGTTCTGTAAAATCAATCACGCTAGAAGAATCTACTAAGCTTATGCATAACTTAATAAGGAGTTCTATTACTTGTTCCTCAATTGAAGCTTTCTAAGTGTTTTTTTCATAATAAGCCGGCCCGAATGAAGGATTATTTTGGATATCTATCCACCAGACTATGTAGAATTGGGACATGAATATCAGGCCATCGCCCAAGTTGTGGGTATGTAAGCTAAGTGCTAACAAGAGCCCTGAGTTATAACATCAAGAGATAAAGTTTTTTCTGAGTAAGAACGATGTAGTAAGCACTAGAAACCTTAAACTCTAAGATTTGATTAAAGCTTCTTATAAGTCAAGCTATACGGAGGTGCCTTTCAAAAGTATTGTCTGCCAAGAATAATCTAACCAAAGTGCAGCCGCCTTAGCTGAGGCTTGTCTCTCCCCTCTATGTACTCATTACTACCTTGTAGCTTAATTATCTTTTAAATATGTACAAGAATTCGCTCAATCTAAGCTTGGATCTTAAGTTGTGAGAGATCTCTCTAGCAGTTCTGCTAGACTCTAACTGCCTTAGCCCTTGACTGCGGAGCTCCTTTCTTTGTAGTCTCTCTTTTCATATAGAACTAGCATGGCTTAATGCAGTTACAGTCTGGCGAGTTTCCACACTAAAGTAGTCTCTCAACGTCGTACAGGCGATAGATCACACCCTGATAGTGGTGGGCGTGGCTAGGTGCCTTATCCTCCATTACGACAGTCCGAGGTCTATCTTAGAGGCACTCTTTAGTAAAAGGAATCAGCTTTAGAATTAGAACGCAGGCCTAATATCTCCACTAGTCTATACCACCTCTAGACTTACGCACCAGCTTACCTGTCTTCTCTGTCCATCTCTATTGAGGCTTCCTGCCACGCTTATTGCGTAGCCCTGCCCTTCTCATAGACTCTGACAGCTCCCATTCCTCTCGCTGTAGAGGCTCAAGCTCAGCGTTTAGCTGCTCAATCCGACAAGCAGCATCCTCTCTCTCTGCCTTCGTCTCCAGCTAGTAGATATGGCATAGACCTTTCTTGTTATACGAGAAGCAGCCCCAGAACATAAACTTAGAGTATCCCTTCCACCTCTCACGGATGCAGCTCTTGACTACCCTCTCGTCTGCCTTTCTCCAGACTCTATAGCCCCCACGTCAGTGGTTAATCACCACTAACGTCTCGTCTGTCTAGATAACATTCTTCTAGTCCTCTAACGTCTAGTCCTTATGCTCTAATGCCTACTTAAGACGAGCAATCCTTATCTCCTATGTCAACCTAGGCTTCCTCGTTAGCTTGGTCTTCCTGTATCCTGCTGCTCTCAACACCCTCTAGACAGTAGAGGCAGAGATTTCGACTCCTTGGAGACTGAGCCCACCAGCAAGGTCAGCACAGCTCTTCTCTCGTCCATATCTATCGTGTCGTACTTATTGCAATATCTGCTCCTTCACCTCTGCCTGCTTAGCAGGCCTACCAGGCTTTAGAGCATCCTAAACGTGGTGTAGAAGGATCTTAATAGGAAGGTCGTTTAGCTTAAAGCCTGCAGCGATAGCTCTACTATAGATATAATCTATAGTACGAGGATGAACGCCAGTTAGCGCAGAGACTTGTGAGGTATTCTTGCCACTAGGAGGTGATTTTAACGCAATTACTAAGGTACGGGTATATATATTAGTATAGGGAGCCATAGTTAAAGAATAACTATATAGTAGTAGGCAGACTAATTAGACAGCCCCTTAACTCTAAGGTAGGAGTTGCGCCAAGAAGAGTTGTGCCGAAGCGCCAAGATTAGCGTCAGACAATACTCTAGAAAGGGGGGGATGGCGCAGTGGTGGAGCGCCTGGAAAATTTTCTGCTGTCTCACGTCAGCAAAGATCGAAGGTTCGAATCCTTCTCCCCTCACAACCATATTTATGGTCCACCCACATGAGAGAGTTACTCATTAAACTACCTATTCGACTGAGAGAGTTACTCGTTAAAACTTGAGAGGAAGACTCATTTAAAGTGAAAGATCTGAGAGAGTTACTCACTAAAAAACTACTAGGCTACGAGCCTCACCTTCATTTAGATAACCCCCTACATTGTACCTACTCAATTTGTACCTAGATTAAATTCTAGCCTACGTAGTTACTTGCAGGCCTTAAGCCTGCACGTCTTATATAGCCCTTTGGGCTGAGAAAGGACGTTAAACTACAATAATAATAATAATAATACTTTAGAAAGGCACCTCCGTATTATAAGTAGAATTTTCCCCAACATCGTATGAAAACCTCAATTTAGAAATTTGAGTGAAATTTCTTCTTGACTACAGTCAAATTGTAAGCACTAGAAAATTCCCTGCTTACTACTGTAGTTTTCCGTTTTTTTCACGGATCGAATTTGGGCATCACTTCTAAAAATACATCAACAAAGTGGAACCAGCTCCTATCACCCGCTAGGTGCACAAATATAGAGTACACCTGCTTATTATTATGGATAGAACTTTTTATAAGTAAGACCTACAGTACAAAAGCTAAGCATGGCTTGATATATAGCTTGTATTTCCACACTGATTGTCCCTACGCATCATATATTGCGCCGCAGTTTGGACCCTTTCAAACACCATTCACATTATAATATTGCCTACCAACGTTCAATTTCTTGATCAACATGCACCTCTTGCACAATACGGCTGTACTTAGCCTTCTAGCTATCGTTGGCTTTGATTTGACCGCAGCCCTATCAAGCAAGGAAGATCATAGACTTGAAGCGAGAATCGACATCGGCTGGCCCGCTAATGCTGGGGAGGGATGGATGTGCATCCACCGAGGGGAAAAAATGAATAATGTACCAATATGTCGGATGGCAAAGCAGGCATGTTCAGCAACTGGTACATGGGGCGATCTTGATGATGGGACCGGATGGGCAGTACGTGTCTTATCGAAGCTGTAGTCTATAAGCTGACATATGCTAATGTTTTTAGTGCGGTTTAAAAAGAAACAATGCAGTTCGCGCAGAGTTCAATATATTATGTAACAAATTAGGAGCATTGAAAGGAATGGATACGATAGGGCGCCCGTCTCTACCTAGCGACTTCTGCAACAGGAACCCTTAGCTTAAGTTCTAGCTTTGTGACCAATACACAACATAGATGTATAGATAGGTTAGGTAATGCACTCTAATCTATATGATCTTGATAGGTGTTATTAGGGGTGATCTATACTTTTCTAACCTTAATCCTAATTTGGATTAAGGTAGATAGTATATTATTTTTCATTTAACTACTTATAGAAAAGATAGTAATACAGTGCCTCTATCTTTTAGACACATTGCTCTAGGTCCTACTAACTACAATATCTATCAAGTTGCTTAGCTAGTATGTATAGCTTCTCTATGTGCTGTCTATCCCTACGTGTACTATCTATAGATAGTGTGGTATTTACAAGGTAATACGTCACGTAATAGACCCCTTGCGTTAATTATTACCTTCTAACGAAAACATGTTTTCGACACTAAACCACTTATCTTTAATTAGGGAGCGAATCTCTCTTGTTACTTATAAAAGCTAGGAGTGTTTGCGAGCCTAGCGGCTGACAGGAGTGTGTTGAACTTTGTTGATCTATTTTACTAGAAGTGATACCTAAATTCGATTGGCGAAAAGAAAAACAGAAAATCACAGGCTATGATACTACTGCAAAGTCAAAGCACCTGCAATTCTATCCGTCACGGTGGTTGTTCTGTTATAAAGGGATACAAGTTACACTACGTATACGATACAGAAGAATCCCATACAACTCATTGATCAGCTAAGAGCAAAATGTATGAATCCTATCAATACAAGCTATTAATACATGAAATGTAAACAGCCGCCAGTTGAGCTGAGGAAAAGAACATGAATGCACACTTGTTATCCAAGACTCCAAACAGATACCATCCGCATAAATCTATACATCACATCCTTAAGCCCATAGCTGGAGTCATGTTGCTGTCTGCTACGCTTAACCCATGTGGATTATAGCAGGAAGAGCTCCCCGGGAAAACATCCATCGAATAGCTCCAGTAGGCGTTGTAGCTAGACTCGGGACACCAATAGCCAATCTGGTATTCTAGATGTGAAGAGGTGAAGTAGGGGGTTGGAGGTGTGTATGGGCGTGCATTGGGGTTGAGCGGTGACGAGGTACGGGAGTAGCGGGTGCTTGTGGAAGATGAGCCTCGACGACGCATGAATACAGGAGTGGGCCATGGGAGGTTGAAATCGTTCATGTCTCCAGCATCTTTGTCCGTGGTGAGAGTGTCGCTTTTACCAGGAGCCTGCAGCTTGATTTTGTGGCTGATAATGGCCGGGTCGTTCAGGTGCGGCGCATGAGAAGATGTTGGCTGTACAGGGGTAGACTGCACGGCTGCACGCATGCCATCCTCGATAGACTCCATTGGTTGAGAGCCAATCGACAGCTTGGTGGCCATATCTTCACGAGAGCAAGTTCCGCTCAAGATTTGCTGGATAGAAATCGGGGCGCGGTGACGTGCCTGAAGAGCAGAGGGCAGAAATACAACAATCTTCTCAGCCTCGAGATCATCTTGCTCATGATTCTTGGAAAACCCAGCAGGACTATTTTCATCAAGTTTAGACTCCGAGGCCCTAGCAAATAGCTCATCAATGGACAGTGGCAACCACGTTCCCTCAGAAGCAGGCCCGTCACGAGTATCCGGGTGCATGGCAGGAGAGATAATCTCGAAGCCATTATCATCAAGACACACGGCTCGAGGTAGCGATTCGACAGACTCTGTATCCTCGACGGAATCGTCTTCGATCATGGCATGGTACTCGGTATCCGTAGGAATAATGAAGTTGCAACGAATCAGCATCTCGAGCGGAGTCTCCATGTTCTCGTAGAGTGCAGCTTCCAGAGCCTTGCGATGTGCGACGATGTCGAATTTGTCTGCCGAGACAGAATTGAGAGAGCAGTTCTCCATCTGGATGTTGTTCGACTTGGTGAGGGACTCGTTGGTCTCGACTTTGGTGGGCGCGATCATAGTCACAGTTGGGATCTTGTCTTCGGAATCGGCGGTGGCAACAATGTTATAAGCACTGCATCCGACATCATGATACTGCTCCTCTGAGACTTTGCAGATTGTGTCTTTCTTTTTAGTGCCGTTCTCGACCTCGTTGGCCGACATGTCTTGAACGGATGCGACCTCCACTGGAACAACAAAGCCAACGGCGTTGGGAGAAATGCTCCTGGTCTTGGCCTTTTCAGCAGCAGCAGTGCGTTTTCCATGCTTCTTGTTCTTCTGCATCTTCTTGTAGTCTTTCAAGCCATGGGTCTTCTTGGCAACAAGGGCGTTATTGGTCTTGGGCGTGGCCATACTTGCGATGGAAGTCGAATAAGTAGCTGTCATCCAATCGCGAGTTGGCTGTATCCTGAGAAAAGATGAACTCCTATTCGATCTACGTCTTGAGGAAATCGTAGTGCTACCGGAAAGTAGTTTCACACCAAGTCCAATTGATCAGCTGATGGATGAGCAACAGGAGGCGTAAAGAGGAAGATTTGAGTGTGATGCTTCAGAAAGTCGGAATGGTGGAAAGAGTTGAAGAGTTGAAGAGCTGATGAGCTGATGAGAGGAGTAGAGCAGAGCGACAGGGTGCGCGAGAAGGTATAATGTTATGGTGGGGCTGAAGTAGAGTGAGTGCTACGCGCAATCCACATTCACCGGGCGCGGGAAATAGCCGCTGACGTGGTGGTCGCAGTGAACAAGTTGCTAGGGCAATCACTAAATGAGTGAAAGGATCAACGCGGCTATCAAACTTGGCGTGTTTGTGCATGTAGCTGGTCCGTAGCATTGGCAGACCCACTTATATTGCAGTGCACGCGGTGTTGGACTTGACATTGTGTTGTATCAACGCGATGTGTTAACAGTACAGCAGTAGCTCAGCGCTCGCATTGTGAAACAGATTTTGCTCTCGCCTTCCGGGAACCCTATGCTGTGGGTACCATAATGAATATGCACTGCATACCAAACTCACGATACCCGTCTCTTTGTTCTTCGATTCGGATATCAAAAACAGGTAACGTCCATCTCTAGGTCGCGAGACGCACCCTGTCGCGCGAAAAACTGCGTGTACTTTTAGAGTAAGCGACTCCAGAGTTCTCGGCACATGGGCTTTACCGAGAATTGCTGTTGATGGTTTCTAGGCTTACTTCACTCTCATGGTCCATTGAAATGCCAAAACCTGATTGCCGTTAACGTCGACGTGCCTGACGCAATGTGACCTTTGATGTGCATGAATCCACGCCATCGCTGTATAAGATACTCCTGAGTCTTGGAACTGACCTAATATGTTTAAGCTTCTACACGTTCGCATACAAACCGGCTTTCACTATCATCCATACATCGATCGTCATGCGCCTATTTATGCGTAGCTATTGCCCTGGCTGGCCTTGAGAATAGGTACAACTTCCTAGTCTAATTTCATGGATCTTAAACTGAAACTTGAAATAACGTATGTGGCAAGCGAGCGCCGCAGGTAAGCGAGCGCCGCACCCCACCAAACCTGCGCACCTCTCCTATCTCAACGAACAATGGCTCAACGTAGCGCTACTCAATTAGCTTTAAATGAAGCAGATATTTAGCTTGCTATTTCTTCTATTAATCTCCATCAAACACAAAGTAATCGTCGCGCTGCTGCTGTCTACAACGTGTCTGAACGAACAATCCGCCGCCGACGCGCTGGTATACCTGCTCGACGCGATTGCTA